ATTCAAATCCCAACTTCAAACAAATAACAATGTGGTAACAACTTTCCCTGGATCACCAAAGCTCAATGAGCAAGATACCCGAGAAAGAGGGAATGGCATGTCTGCCTTTGGTGCATATTCTTCTAGCATGCAAAGCGTTGCTGTGAAAGAGCAACCACCCAAACAAAGTACCGGGCAACAAGTATCAACTGGGAACATTCAGGGTGCACAAAAGATCAATTTGTCACAGGGAAAAGAATCCATTACAAATAATTTTTTTGAGGCATCTGTTTCAAGCTCTGTTGCTACTCAGAGAGATATTGAAGCTTTTGGCCGCTCTTTAAGGCCAAATAACAGTTTGCATCAAAGTTATTCCTTGCTGGACCAAGTGCAGGCTATAAGTACAGAGGTTGATGGAAATGATCGGAGTGTGAAGAGATTGAAAGGTCCAAATTCTGGTGTGGAGACTCAGCAGGTGGATGCCCAGGGAGGATCACAATTATCTTATGGATATAATAATATGGAAAGGAATTCATCAGGTGATAACATGTCAGTTCCCTCTGGAGATTCTAACATGCTTAGCTTTTCATCCAAGCTTGGGGATACTCGAAATTCAAATGCATCTTGTCAGGATACGTTCACTTTTAGTCGGAAAGATTCTCAGAATTTCTCTAGTAGTAGTAATGCATCGTTTTTTAGAGGTGAACAGTCTCACGTTAGCCCCCAGATGGCGCCATCCTGGTTTGATCAATATGGAACCTTTAAAAATGGGCAAATATTTCCGATGCATGATACACTGAGAACCACTATGAAGTCTCTGGAAAAACATTCTGTTACTGGAAAGCCAGGTGATGATACGCACACTCGGGAATCAATGGAGCAAGCTAGTGCCACTTCTGATGCTAGTAAGCTTGTCACCATCCCGCAGAGTTCCGTTCTTGTACCTATTCCCAGTGAGCAATTACCTTCCCCTCCTGCCGCGCGTTCTGATGTAACTGATGAAAGTTTAATTGTTGCAAGACCAAAGAAGCGCAAAAGTGCTACATCTGAACTTTCACCTTGGCATAAAGAGCTGACGAAGCTTTCCCAAAGGCTTCTGAATATCAGGTAGTTTGCTTGACACTTGCTCAGTTACTTTAGATGCTCCTTTCATTTTTGGTTCTTAGTTATCTTTAATTTAAGCAGAGAAATATTTTGTGTTGTTTCTTTCATGATTTTTTAACATATGGAAGGTTTATAATACTTGCAGTGCAGCGGAAACAGACTGGGCTCGATCAACAAACCGACTGGCTGAGAAGGTTCGCTTCTGGCTCAACCACTAAGCTCACGATTAAGCTCTGATATTCTGTAGCTCTTTTGGAGAGTTCTAATTTCTAATTGCTTCATATTGGGTTGACAGGTCGAAGATGAAACTGAAATAATTGAAGATAGACTGCCAATGCTTAGGCCCAAAAGAAGGCTAGTCTTGACAACACAGCTTATGCAGCAACTGCTTCGCCCTCCTTCTGCAGCAGTTCTTTTTGCAGATGCTAGCTTATGCTATGAGAGTGTGGCTTACTTTGTGTCCAGATTAGCACTAGGCGATGCTTGCAGTGCAATCTCCTGCTCTGGCAGTGGTTCTCAAACTCCATTGCCTCCTGACAGTGTTGACCTGTAAGAGTTATCTGGAAATTATTTAAATTTTCCCAATAAGGCAATGAGTTAATGGTTTACAGATTTTGCATTATTCAGTGCATGCTAACTTTAAAGTCTTTCAAAATATTTATAGTTTGCCCGAGAAGCCTAAAACACCTGAGAAAATCGGTCATCAATACTTCTCAAAAGTTGCGGAAGACTTTGTTGATAAAGCAAGGAAGCTAGAAAATGATTTGTTGAGGTAGCCTCCATGACCTCAATATTTCCTTCACATCACTGTTTCTGCTTAATAGTTTTGACAATTTTGTCTATTTCACTTTACATAATAGATGCCTACTATTTATCAGCATCCTGTGATTATTATGTATGTGGTCCCTCTCGTTTTCTTTCTTTCTCTACTGTAATGCTTCCTTCCGCTGATGCAGACTGGACAAAAGAACTTCAATCTTAGACTTGAGAGTGGAAAGCCAGGATCTGGAGAAGTTTTCTGTCATCAATCGTTTTGCTAAGTTCCACGGGCGAGCACAAGGTGATGCGGCTGAGGCCTCACCATCCTCTGATGCTCTTACAAATGCACAAAAAACCTGCCCCCAGAGATATGTTACTGCACTTCCAGTGCCTAGAAATCTGCCAGACAGGGTACAATGTCTTTCACTTTGATCATTAATTGATTCTTTTTCCCTCTCTCGGCCATTTGCCTCCACATTCCTTTTGATTGGCTGGTTCATTATCTTTCAACCTATCTAATGGGACATGCTTCAGAACAACAGTTTCACAAATGGGAATATAGGAGAAGAATGAATTCTAGATTGTCTCCTTCATAAGCAACGGAGACTTTTAGTTCTTTGCGCTATGGACCATTGATGTCAATTTTGAAAAATATAAGGTGGTCTATGTATACTGTGAAAGTCTAGAAAGGAACTGCGATGCCCCATCATTTTTTAGCTAAAGGGGGAGGATAGAAGCGCAGTCCCATTACTCAAAATTGTACACACTTCTGTAATTCAAGTAATCATGTGTTCTTGTTCGCAATCCTAAGCATGGGAAATTCATCGATTGAGGTTTTACCTTGACTTTGGACCAACTAAGAATTATGAGAAGAGGGACTCTCTATGGTCTTAAGTTCTGAAATTTTCAATCTTATTGCTAAAATTAAGAATACTTTTTGGGTAAAAGCAAGAATTAAGAGGTTGGCCCTAAAGAATGTTAGTTAATTAGTTATTTGGTGACTTGTTTAAGTTTTTAAAGAAGTAAGAGAAATTTTATCTGGATTTCGGTTTAGTTGTGCAAAAGTCAATGGGGATTTATTCTTCTGGGTGGTTCATGAAGTGTCCTGGTTTTAGTGATGTTGGAATCCCTCTTCGATTTGTTTTAGGTCCCCCTTGGTATCCCTACTTGATTTACCATGACTTCTACAGCAGGCATAAAAGATAGGGTAGTCCATAATATGCTGCCTGTTTTATCAAGCTTCTTGTGTGCCACTAGTTTCAGAGCCAAAAGAATAAATGATGTCTGGTTAACATCTGATCATTGGGATTGGAACTCGATAACCAAGTTTGAAACAGTGGTTAACTCTTTATTAGTATGTTAGATAAGCAGTGTATATAATATGTACGTTTCTGCTTTCGTTTTAGTTTTGAGGGTGAGCCAGCTTGTTGTTGCATAACCATTTGCATATATGGTCTGAACTTTTTTCTTTCACTAGAATTTTTGTTTCCTTTGTCCTTTATGTGTTGTAGCACTTTTAGATTTCAGAATATTCTCCTCAAAATTTAGGGGTGCCTTTGTGCGTCATTTTTGAAAATTACTGTAGGCAATGTATCTTGTTTGCCGAGTTGATACTGGAACCTGTTTCTTCATCTTGTTCTAGTAGTTACGTGTTACACATTTGTTATTGCACAATGTTGAAACCTGAGAGAGGCCTCTGGAGGGAACTGTGTGTATTGTAAGCAGGGGCAGACCCACAGAGGGACAAATGGGGTCTTTTGACCCCATGGACACTGGAAAACTCCCTGAGAATCTCCGCTGATGACCCCTTGAGACGTTGGTGGGGGACCCTGAGGTGCCCACCAAATGCTTGACGAAATGACCCAACCGGTTGCTGCTGTCTGTACGTTGCTTTAAGCCCAGCTGCGCGCGCTGGCTTCCTTTTTGTTTTTTAAACGCCTGGCCTGCCTTGTCTATCATTAGAATCAAAGTGGAACCCAATTTTTTTTCGTGCTTAAACGAGCTTGGACATGCTGTTTGACATGCATTTTAGCCTATGAAGGCCATATTGGTTGCTAAGTTGAATTGACAACCCAGCCAAGTAATCGAATTTTGATCACTTATGTCAATTTGATTGGCTGAATTTGGTTTATCAACAAGAAGTAAATTGTAGTTGCTCCCTTGATCATCATGATTTTCCATGTCAGTAAACTTGTGTGTTAAACCCAAACTAGGTTCAAAATTAAAAGTTAACAGATACAATAAGAGGAACATATTCATGAGCCAATTAAAGTCGTAGAACACGAGTATGTGTACTGAAAGGGGGTTTGTGTTTTACCATTAATTTGAATGAAAGTGTTACAATTTTTATTTTTTGGAGTTATTTTTGTCTTAAAAAGACAGAAACTTTTACACGTTGACCCTACGGTTATGAAGTAAAAATCTTGCATCTGCCACGGATTGTAAGGCGGTCATTGGCCATAAATCTGTCCGAGTCCTGAAAGGATTCTTACCTACTTTTGACGAACCGTGTAAAAGTTTGGGTAGTTTCCAACTGAATGGTATGGACTTGGATGAGGATTTTGGGATTTTCTTTCCATTTTTTCTTTTGTTTGCCGGATGTGCAATATAAATTTGCGGCTGGATTCAAATTCAGTTCCGATATAAGCGTCTGAAGAAGCTCCTCTGCCACATTTTCTGAGATTGTCCATAAGATGAGTCTGTTCCAGTCTTTGCATTGTCTTTTTGCATATAGAAGAGTCTATTTTGATGCAAAATATTTAGACGGTCGCTGATGTTGACAAATGGTTCGATGTACTGAAGCCCAAAATTGAAGTGGGCTTATTCCAGTTGAGATCTACACCTGTACATAAAGGAAAAATCTTCCAAATTCTAATTCCAATCAAACTAGAAAGCCACATAGTTTTTACAAGAGTTTCAACAATTGGTACACACGTATGTGTCATTTTAATTTACGAAGAATTAAGAGAATGTCGCTTCTATCCTACCACATTACAAAGAGCAATGAGGGTAGTATGGACTTTTTCTATTTTAATTTCATTTCGACTCTTGCTTGATATCTCAAATTTTGTCGTCGAGATCATTCCACATCCAACGTCTCAAAAACTGGTACCAAAAAACATAAAGCCAGAGCAGATTCGATCATTAGAGGAGGAGAGATGTCATCGACGGCCAATGATCCGCGTCAGCCATCGGCGGCGAAGCGCTACGTGCCGTCAGCGGTGGCGCCGCAAGATCTTCCAGTGGATTACTCCGGTTTGATCGCCGTCGTCTTCGGTATCGCCGGCGTCATGTTTCGCGTCCGTACTCTCTCTCTCTCTCTCTCTCTCTCTCTCTCATTAATTTTGGTTATTTTCGATTGAACTTAGAATATTGAATATGCTTGCTTCAGTATAAGCTGTGCTCGTGGCTTGCCATCATATTCTGTGCTCAATCACTGGTCAACATGAAGAACCTTGAAAACGACATCAAACAGATCTCCATGGCCATGATGTCAGTTCAACTCTTTCTCCTAATTCTCTCATCTACGTATTCACTCTTTTTTTTCCTTTTTCTTTTTGCTTATTTACTTAAATGTCTCATGTATTTTGTATGTAATTTATTAATTTATCAAAGCTACACAACAATAGTTTCCGAAGAACTGTTGTTTTTCTATGAGATTCAAAATTAAAAATCTCAGCTTTAGCTGAAAATAGTGAGTCTGTTACGCTCAAATGCAACTTGTATTCACCATAATTTATGGGTTTATTTCATTCTTCTGGAATGAATGTGATGGGATTGTAAATTTGTCATCCGTTCTATTCTGAAGCCTTCCCTTTTCTGTCTTTTGTCTCAATAACAGGTTTGCTATTATGGGATTGGTAACCAACTACTTTGGACCTCCTCGTCCGGGCACACAAAAGAGTTGAAACTCCTTGGACGAAAGAGTTTAGATGTAATACTAAGCGGTTTTTCTTTATCTGGTTATGATTTTGTTTTTCTAGATGCAAACTGTTGTTGAAGTTTGATGGACCAATATGAAGGCAAACTAATGTGCTTCTTATATCTATTCTATTGAAGTTTTTAATTCTTTCCTAGTCTGCAGTTCATCTGTCTTTTGGTGTTTTCTCATGCTAGTGCTCCTTTTAAACTCAAAGAGATGGGCTATGTAGAGGCTTATAGCCCTACTATGTCAAATTAACTTGCACTTTATGGTACAGTTGTTTGAGGATTATATTTCATCGTAATGGGAATGATTGTTGCTGCACATTCATCAAACCAGTCTATTGGTTAGGTTAATGTGCACATTTTTTCGATGCAATTTCATCATACTTTTGGCTATATCATCGAACGTAATATATTTGAAATCATGATCCTTATATTTTGGGATGTTTTTTTTTATAATTTCAAAGCATACAGCTGAGAGTGATAAGTTCCTCCTCCTCCTTCCTCCATTATTGAATGTGCTTATAGCACTCTGGAAGGTGCTGAATGTTTATGTTATGGGAAATAGTTTATGTGCTGAATGTTTTGTGTTCTCTTCTTTTGTGTCATGTCATGAATATTAGTAAAAGATGTTATAGCCAATAATTATTGTACTGTAAAATTAGTTTTCTCTTTTATTAGATTTCAATACTATGGCAGTCTATGGCCTCACTTGACATACTGTTCCCATGAATTTCAGCCTTCAAAATAGTTTTTTTGTTCACAATATCTGGCAGAGAAACTTCTTACATCAAGGATGAATGAGTACTATCAAGTATATTATAATCTTTCATGCAAAGCTGATGTTTGATTTTTGCATAACAAACACCAGACATGGCTGAATGCTACTTTAGAAACTAATATATATTCCTAAAAAAGAATGACAGAAATATCTAAACCAGTGGAGAAAGCATGCCATTTACCCTTTATAAAGGGCGATTGCATATTTTGAGCTCATAGTCTCTTCTTCTTCTCTTTTACTTGTGCTTTATTTTTACTTCTATCGGAGACAAAACCATACAGAAAGTGTGAGGAAAGACAAATAAGAAACATGGAACAAAGACACGTTCAAGAAAATTCTATCCATGTGCTACTTGTTTCATACCCTATACAAGGGCATGTTGCACCATTCATAAAGTTGGCATACCTATTTGCTGGTCGTGGAATTAAGGTCACACTTGTTATAACCGAGTTTGTACATGCACGTCTGGTAGCCGCACATCCGGAGTTGGATGATGAGCAGTATGATCAGGTCAGGCTTGTCGCGGTCCCTGATGGATTACCCAAAGAAGATGTGCGAAATGATGAACATAAGCTGGGTGAGAGTGTATTCAAAGTGATGCCTGGTCATGTGGAAAAATTGTTAAACAAGGCCAACCTGGAGGGTAATCAGGTGACCTGTGTCATAGCCGATGCAGTTTTTGGTTGGGCTTTGGAGATTGCGGAGAAGATGGAGCTTAAGTCAGCACTCTTCTGGCCATCTGCACCAGGAGTTTTGGCCTTGACACTCAACATTCGAAAGCTTATTGAGGCTGGGGTTATAGACTCCAATGGTACGCAACTAAGTCTTTGATGAAAGCTATACAAATTAGTTGATCTTTATACTTAGTCTAGTTTGAACTACATATCATATCTTTATATCTATATCTTTTCTACTGATGATCTATCTGATTACAAAATTGAACTTTTGTAGGAACTCCAACAATGAAGGGGAATAAGGTTCAACTATCATCGGACCTGCCCCCTGTGACTAGCGCTGACATTGTGTGGAGTTATCCCGGGAACGAGTCAACGCAGAAGATCATGTTCCAGCATTTCTTCGCCATTCACCAGAATGTGAAAAAAAGTGACTGGCTTCTGTGTAACTGGTTTCAGGAGCTCACCCCCTCTGTCGGTGATTTAGTCCCAAACATGTTTCCACTTGGTCCATTACTTGCAAATGGAAAACCTGCCGGGAACTTTTGGCCAGAGGACTCAACTTGCTTGGGCTGGCTAAACAGGCAACCGGTTGGATCAGTTGTTTATGTTGCATTTGGCAGCAGCTCCATGTTCAGCCAGCACCAAATTGATGAACTAGCATTAGGCCTTGAACTTTTTGGTCGACCGTTCTTATGGGTGAATCGATCAGACCTCATCAATGGCTCATCTGCCAAATTCCCAGACGGGTATGAAAAGAGAGTGGCTAACCATGGGAAGATGGTTCACTGGGCACCTCAAGAAAAGGTGCTGGCTCACCCAGCCATTGCTTGTTTCTTGACCCATTGTGGCTGGAACTCAACCATGGATGGCATAAGCATGGGGGTTCCATTTCTCTGTTGGCCTTATTTTGCAGATCAGTTTTACAACCGCAGTTGCATATGTAATGGTTACAAAGTTGGCTTGTGTTTGAACCCAGATGATTATGGGATTGTTACAAGGCATGAAATCAGAAGAAAATTGGATGGTTTGCTTGCTGATGAAGGTATAAAAGCAAATGCAACAAAGCTCAAACAAATGGCGGAAGAGAGCATCAGTGGAGGAGGATCTTCTGCAAATAATTTGGAACGTTTCATTGAACACATGAAGCAATGAAAGCATAAATAGTATATAAATACATGTCCTCATTTACAGTCATAAAATGCTTATTGCTGCCTTATTGCAGCTCTAAAAAATATATATAGAAGATTAGACTTCTATATACTTTAATTAAAGAATAAATGATCAAGTATTTTGCTTTTGGCTGCCTGTATTATTTAAAAAAATAAATGAAATTAAAAAAAAAAAAAAAAAAAAAAAAAAAAAAAAAAACTCCCCAAAGACCCATCCTCTCAAAGACCATTGTCCTTTCCTCTTTCAGTCGGCCCAATACCCATTCTCTTCTCTGCACTGCATCCAAAACTAATAGAGTTAATATGAAAAACTAGATGGCATTGGCAGCTATATTAGATATATAAATGAAAATGAAGAAGACTCAAAACGTAAAATTTTTTATAACCCTGAAAATAATTTTAGTTAACTTAATTGCTAAAAAACCACAATTTAATATAATGAGATTAAATTAGTAAAAACTAATCTTTTTAAATAAAGAAAATTACAAAAACTAAAACTCATTGTGTCCTATATACTCTTGTGGGGCTGACTTTATTAGAGAGGTGGTCAGTAAAGGTGGTACAAATAGAAAGACGGTAGCCACATAACACATTTCTCTTATGCCAAATGATTCAATATTTCTCACTTTCTTTTTGTTTGTTTGTTAATTTTAAGTAATATAATTTTATTTTTTTACCTAGTGTTATTTTTTTACCTTGGTACTCTTCTTCCGTGTGAGAGTCTGAGTGCAAATGGTATTCCACCATTTTCCAATGTGTTTTCTTTGCTTTCCTTAGACTTCCAGAAAAGTAAGTGAGAAAGATCTTGGAGGCATAGACATTGCCATCTTCATTGTGGATAGGGTTTTCTGATCCATTTGGTTTCCAAAACCCTACCCCATTTCCAACTACTCGAATATTTCTTCTTCCTTGGGCACTTGCACTGCAATTTTCGTCGTCTTCATGGATAAAGAAGAACCACTCTCTCTCTCCACAGGAGAATGTCACTGCAATTAATATATTAATATTACATCGAGAATCACTTAAAATTTGTAATTTTATATGTCATTGCATGTGACCTAAAATAGGCTTATAGCTCCAGGATCAAGATAATCACCAACTCACCGTCTTCCTCCCAGCTAGCTAGGGTTTACCTGAAACAAAGACATACATACATACATACATATCGATATAATATCATACAGCTCATGAATCTCATATATATATATATATATGATCACAAGGTAGAAAATTATTACCTAGATTCTTCGGATGGGTGCTGTAGAATTGGGTTGCATCAATGTCCTGAATTGCCTCAGCAGCTGGCACAGGCCTATCAAACACCTTGTTCATTAGATAGTGAGTGACCAACTCCTTATCTGTTGGCATAAACCTAAATCCCACTGGCAGCTGGCCTGAGCTCATCATTGCTCCTTGTCCATGTTCTGCTTCCATGTATGTATATCGTGGACCGTTTGATCATCACTTGGAAGAAATGATCAAGAAAATGGCTGGCAAAACAACTCAAGTAAATCAAGGCTGAATTAACTTATATATATATGTATAGGTGGTAATTGAATCCTAGTAGGACTCTTTTTGATTACAAAGACAGAACCCAATTCACCTTTTTTCTCTTTTTGTTGTTTATCGTTCTTGTGTATGTGTGTATACTTGGAAGATGTTGAGCTTAGAGTGGTGTTTAGTTTTTGACTCTGTTTTTCCAATGCGATATATATTGAAAAAAAAACTGAGAGACCTAGTCAGTCAAGAATTTGGGTATTTTAACAAAAAATAAAAAATAAAAAAAGGCTTACTTATAGCAATGACTTCAAAGCTATAGTCAAATTGCAATTTAGCCCGTGATCAAGGTATTGTGTTCAACATTGACTATCATAATTTTAATTCAGGGCTCGTTTAGGAGTGATTCTAAATAGGCCAAAACCACTTTTGGATAGTAATCCTAAAACACCGTCAAAATTGATGACGTGAATCTACGCGGGTGATGTTGCACCTCCGCATAGACCAAAAACATAATAGAGTATTCTTAATCTTTATCATTTGAGCTTGGGCCTACAATATAAAGAAAATAAATCTGCAAGCCTGAGCGCAAAGCTCATTTGGTTGGTCCCAAATATGGAATACTTGAAGAAGAAAAAGCCCAATCCATGAATCTAACTGAGAGAGAAAATAACAAATGGGGGTAGGGGTAAATATGTAGTTTCGGGTTTAGGCTCCATAGCCCAAACTAAATAAAACCCTAATCCCAAACCTCGCTTACACTCCTCTCATACGCACAAGTCAGAAGACTCGGAGGTGAGCTCCGCCGCAGCAGTAAGCAGCAGAAGAAGTAGAGAAAGAAGCAAAGCTTTACATAAACTGAAAATGGAGACGGCAAGAACAGTAAAAGACGTGTCCCCTCATGTGTTCGTCAAGGCCTACGCTGCTCACCTGAAACGCTCTGGCAAAGTCAGTCTCTCTCTCTCTCTCTCTCTCTCTCTCTCTCTCTCTCTCCTTATGTATTTGTATACGTATTTTGTCATTATTAGTCCTGTATGTAATAATGTAGGGATGCAGATATTGCAAGCTTAGATAATTCGAACTTTTAGGTTCAGTTTTGGTTCTGCAACATAAAAATTTATGATAGTTTGTATATTAATTTTGATTGGGAGTTAGTCTAGGTGGGTGAGAGGGAAAGAGTTTGTGTTCAGTTTCAGGAGGACCCATGTTGACAATGCCCTTAGGAAAGCGATTTTGTGAAAATAAGATGATAAGTAAGTGTTATTAGTGGGGGAAAAAATGAATGGGAGGCTGCGTTGGTGGGATTCATTGGATCTATTATATGGGTCAATTTTGGTTTTTCTTGAGTTGTTAAATATGTAGTTTTTTTAATAGAGGAAACTGATTTTGGCTTATAATGAGAACCAAATTATTGGATGATAATTCCTCAAAAAAGAAAAAAGAACTTAACTGCATATGGCATTTTCTCTATCCAGTGGTGCTGGTGGACTGATGGTATTAAATTGTGATGCCATATCTGCCTTGTGTTGTTTTGGTCCCTTAAGGCTCTGTTTCAAGAATATCACTTGTTTTAAGCATCTTGTAATATTTTCTGTTTCTCAGTGTTTTTGAGTGAACATAGGTGGCATACAATGTGCGTTATGGGTACTTGTAATGGTTGCTATAACTTTATGAAAAAACCTAGTTGTTGCCGTTGATGGTGCTACAATTTTTTACCTACTCTTTGCTAGCAGGTTTTTTGTTTTTTTTTTCTTTCATAATCTTTTTATGTAGGTGTTTTTATTTTGAAAATTAAAAAGAGAAGTGCTAATAGTTGAGTGACTTTGAATGTAGATATGTCTTTGCCGGTGTTGACTGTGGATCATTTCAATCATTTAGTGTCTTTCATTTGTTTGACGAACGTTTGTTTTTGAAAGTTCCTCTTTCCTCATTCACTAGCAGTTACTTTTTCCAGCTATGTTCCTTTTCAATGTGGATTTCTTCTCATGTTTTTGTTTGTTCTTCCTAATAGATTGAGCTTCCTGACTGGACGGATATTGTGAAGACTGGTACATTCAAGGAGCTTGCTCCGTATGACCCTGATTGGTACTATATTAGATCTGGTATGCAGACTTCTCTCTCCCTTTCTCCACATATGCACACACACAAAAACTCCAACAATTATTGGTCTGACTAAACTGTATACTGTGCATCTGCTTATCTTAAATCAATTTTCTTTGTAGCATCCATGGCGAGGAAAATCTACTTGAGGGGTGGTCTTGGTGTTGGTGCCTTCCGCAGGATTTATGGAGGAAGCAGGAGGAATGGCAGTCGCCCACCCCACTTCTGTAAAAGCAGTGGCGCTGTTGCTCGTCATATACTTCAGCAATTGCAGAAGATGAACATTATTGACCTTGACTCCAAAGGGTGAGTTTCTTTCATCAGTGTCGTATATAAATTTCGGGGGTAGGGCTGTGATTATGACAAACAACAACAACACGAGTTAAAGTTTTTGGCTATTGAACTAATTGTGTTCCTGTGTTTCAGTGGAAGGAAAATCACATCCAATGGCCAGCGGGATCTCGACCAAGTTGCTGGACGGATTGCTGTTGCAATCTAAGAGATTTACTTGAAAGTCTTCGATTATTGATGCAAAATGGTTATAAACTTTTTGCAGTTAAAGTTTGATTGAGAGCAGATATAGGAAGGATTTTGATATTTTATGTTGTGCCTGTCACTTTTACCATGAGCGTGGCTTCCTTTGTTATTCAGTTTAATTTCCATGTGCTACTTTGTTGACTTCGGCTTTTCTTAATTGAAGTTTTGTTCTTGAAGCCCAATCCTTCTCTCGTACTCCTACACAATGATGGGCCTATGTATTTAGGCTCCAGTGCCCATTGAATTTGTGCTTATCCGGAATTTCACTGCATTTAAATTGTAGGGCAAGAGCAGCCCAGTCATAAAACGCAGGAGAATTTTGTAGAAAAATCATCCAAAACTGAGCTCTTTGATTGTGTGACGCGGCTTGTCAAAAATTTGGATTTTTTCATTTGTTTCTATTTGTATAATTAAAGTAGTCTGGTAGAGATCGGTTTGGCCAGGTGATTAAGACAGTGAATTCGCCTTCTTGCACTTAAGTTGGGAGTCTGTTTATTTGTAAAATAGATTAATTTAGCTAATTCTAAGCCCTGAAAAATTAGTCCAATTATTTCATAAGAAATACTTGACAGTATATTAAATTACCACATAAGCTATCAAATTTTCGGTATTGAAGATAAAGGTTTTGATAAGCTTAACGATTAATGTGTTAATCTTAATTTTTTTTCTCAATTCAATATATATGTGTGTCGGCCCACAAAAGTCCGAACCGAAGGGGAGCTCTCATGTATTGGGGCAGTGGGACCCGCAAATAGCTCTCCACCTCATACCCTCTGCTTTGGCCACGTGGGGCCTCGACAAATAGATTCGTATCTCTACGCGCCATCTAGACTCGACTACCACTTTGCATCAGAATCTTAAAACTAATACAAATTAGCGCTCAAGAAACCCCAAAATCAAAAATAAAAAATTAAATAAGAAGAGTGGAAAAGCCTTTCCCTGGATTTGGGTTTTGTTTCGATTCCTACACTTTGAACTTTCCCCCTCAGCGTGGATCAAGCTAAGGCTAGGGTTTTCTCTGATCGGCGCGATCCATCCCCATCTCCACGGAACGTCACTGTATGTTTTTTTTTTTTTTTTTTTTTTTTTTTTTAAATCCTTTCACTTTTAATTTCCGAAATCTTCACGGTTCAATGTATTTATTGATTATTATTTCAAAATCGAGACATACTGATACATATGCATTCGTAGTTGCATATTAGAATGTATGTACGTATGTTATGTTTTGCTTTTAGACTATTCCGTTTGGTTTCCGAGAAATGGGAATAGAAAGTGCAGTATGAAGCTGGTTTTGTGTGGCGTGAAGGTTGTGTGTTGCTTTGGTCTCTTTTTTTTTTGTCATTTAAATTAAAAATATCACTAAATTATAATAGAACTAGGGAATTTGTATTTCCTTCATGTTACATGTATTTTGTATCTTGCTTTTACCTCTGATTATTGATATGAAACTACTACTCATGGTAGCAAGTGCTTTGTAGAAATATTTGGAATAATATTTGCTTTACTTGTGAAACGTTTTCGGTTATTTATAGGTTGAAGCGGTTACAGTAAGTAGCACCTATCAAAAGCATTGTTCGCCACTTTGTTGCACATCATGAATTGAGTTGGGTTCTCAAATGAGTTTAAGGCTTTTGATAATGTTATAGAATGATGAAACCATATTGGAGGATATATGAGTTTGATTCTAATTAAACTGGGATTGGGCAATTTGATGCTTATGTGAATGTAGATCAAAGTAGTCATTGAGGATGGATGATGATGGTGACATTGATATTTTTTTCTCCTATTGGAACAACAAGAATCCCACAGATCGCCTTTTTATTGTCTCTTGCCTTATCGCTGCTCTAGTTGGAATTTTGACTATAGCCTACTCCGCATTCCAATGGAGGAGAAATATCAATCTAAGTTGGATGAAAGCAATAGCCAGGTCAAAGAAAAATCCAAAGGCACGTCACAAAGTTCCTATAGCTCCTCATACTTGGGTTTTAGAATCGGTATCTCGTGGAAAGAACTTGAATTGCTGTGTATGCTTAAAGTCCATGAGCCCTTCTCAATCTCTTGGACCTATGACAGCTTCAGACAGTTTTAGTCACCGTTGCAGTATTTGTGGTGCAGCGTCTCACCTAAGCTGCTCTTCTAGTGCGCACAAGGATTGCAAGTGTGTATCCATGATGGGGTATGAGCAGGTGATGCACCAATGGGCTGTCCGTTGGAATGAGGTAACAGATCAACCCGATGAAACTTCTTTCTGCAGCTTTTGTGAAGAGCCATGTAGTGGGTCTTTTCTTGGTGGATCCCCAATATGGTGCTGCTTGTGGTGTCAAAGACTGGTACATGTTGATTGCCACAGTAGCTTGTCCAATGAAACAGGTGATATTTGTGATTTAGGTCCATTCAGAAGGTTGATTCTATCCCCTCTTCATGTAAAGGAATTGAACCAGACTTCTGCTGGTGGATTTTTGAGCTCCATTACTCAGGGGGCCAATGAGATAGCCTCTTCAGTACGTGCAACTATTAGGAGTCAGAGCAAGAAGTCCAAGCATGGAAATGAAACCTCTGTTGATACGGGAAATAGTGGTAGTACTGGGGATATGTCCACAGAAAGCACAGCTGATACTCATCAAGCTGTTAATGGTTCTCATGAAATTGAGGAAAACCGTAATGGTACTTTGAATGTGGATTTGCAGCACCAAGATGGTGATGTAGATAGGAAATTGGATTCTAAGCCTAGTTTCAAAAGGAGCTCCTCAAGCAATAAGAAGGATGAGTCTCAGGTTTTAGGGATGAAACAAAAATATGAGTTGATTGATTTGTCACCAGATGCAAGACCCTTGTTAGTTTTTATCAACAAGAAGAGTGGGGCTCAGCGTGGGAATTCACTGAGGCAACGATTGAATATTCTTCTCAATCCTGTTCAGGTTTGATTTCTCTACCATCTTGATTAATTGGAAAAATATATTTGCCTTCATTTGTTTAGCCCGGTGAGGTCTTTAAGTAAGGTTTAAGGTTTAAATTTCTGTAATGTGTAAAAAAGATTTCCCTTCTTTTCTTTTCAAATGAGCCAAGTAAGGTTATTACTAAGGCTTAAGGTTTAAATTAAATCTACATGGGTTTGAAAGATTAAGATTTACTAGTTTCGTTCCTTAGCGAAACAGGAAGTCCTAACAGTAAATTCTAATGTTTGATGGTTATCAACATCACATGCTGGGCTCTCTCCTCAGTTCATTTCTATGGAGTTTGGTTAATATTTCTGATATTTCATATATTGTTGCTTAATTGTTGCATGTGCTTGTGTTTCATGTAGGTTTTTGAGCTGAGCTCAACACAAGGACCGGAGGCGGGTCTTTATTTATTCAGAAAGGTGCCGCACTTCAGAGTTCTTGTTTGTGGGGGAGATGGTACTGTTGGTTGGGTTCTGAATGCCATAGAAAAGCAAAACTTTGTGTCTCCTCCTCCAGTTGCTATTCTACCTGCTGGAACAGGGAATGATCTGGCTAGAGTTTTGTCATGGGGAGGTGGTTTGGGCTCGGTGGAGAGACAAGGAGGCCTTTGCACAGTTTTGCACCACATAGAGCATGCTGCAGTAACCATTCTTGATCGTTGGAAGGTAGCAATTGTAAATCAACAGGGGAAGCAGCTTCAATCTCCAAAGTTTATGAACAACTATCTCGGTAAGTAATCATATTACCTTGTGATCATCTGGTTTATAAATGGGATAACTCAGAGTAGTTAGTTGGAGTGCTGGATTTTGGTTGGATTTTTCTGGTTCTCAGGTTCTTAGTATGTCTGTAGTTATTGACTTGAGTTATGGCTTCCACAAAGTTCTCAAATCAGCTCACATTAGTTTTCTGCCCCTAGTCTTACTTGGTTGTATTGGGTCAGTTATCAAGTGGTTTGTTGTTTATTATGAAAAATATTGCCAATTGGTTTGGCTTTACATCTTTACTGTCTTCTGATTTTTCAGTCCGTATAAATAACATACTGTTACTGTTAATTGGATTTCTTCTGTAAGAAAAAAAGGAAAAATAAAAATAAAAATTTTCCCGGACTCAAAACTTAATGGTCTGTGTTGGAGTTTATTCTGCGGATATTCTAAAACAGTCTACAATGAACCAATGACTATTTTGGTTGTTTGATGAGTCAGTTTGGCTAATATATTTTTGGGATTTAACAACTTATACTTTGTACTAACTGCATGGGGATGATTATTACTTCTATGCAGCTTTATTTATGCCCTACATCATGTTGACTGGTCTCTCATTTGTCTTCGCATTCATAACCTACTCTGGCATGCTTCATTTGCAGGAATTGGGTGTGATGCAAAGGTTGCTCTGGACATCCATAATCTACGGGAGGAGAATCCAGAGAAGTTTTATAATCAGGTAATGCCAAACCTTAACTAAAGTGGAGTTCAAATCAATCTCCCTTACACTGTACTAGGCATTAGACTCTGGTGGATCGGTTCTTGAGTTTAGTAGTAATAGGGGAACTATGGAGCAGAGGCTAGTGCACTATTGGAGTCCGAGATCAAATGTGGTTATAACTTATAAATCAGAATGGAATTAAAGTTGATATCATACTTCAACCTGTGTGGATCACATTTTAAATCTGTCTGCTGCTTGTTGTTACAATTGTTGTTTGTTAGTAGTTTTATTTGGATTTTACTTCGAGACTTCCTACTTAAGCTGTTGACATCAGTTATGTTGTTGCAATTGTTATATACCTGCAGTTCATGAATAAAGTCCTTTATGCAAGAGAAGGTGCTAAGGGTATAATGGATAGAACATTTGTGGATTTTCCTTGGCAAGTTCGAGTTGAAGTAGATGGTGTTGAGATAGAGGTCCCTGAGGTGAGTATGAAAAGATTTTAACCATAAGGACACAACACTTTGCTGATTCAGAAATCATCACCATATTGCTTGAGCTTTGGCTGTCTGGATATATCATGGTTGACTAATTTTGAGATTATTAGTGCTGGACAATTTCTAATTTTTAGACATATTTTCAGGATGCCGAAGGTGTACTTGTTGCGAATATTGGAAGCTACATGGGCGGTGTAGATTTGTGGCAAAATGAAGATGAAACTTATGATAATTTTGATCCACAATCTATGCATGATAAAATACTTGAGGTTGTGAGCATTTCTGGAACATGGCACCTTGGGAAACTTCAGGTATTTGGGTATTTGGGTATTTGGGTATTTGGGTATTTGTGGATGCTCTACCTCTTAATATGTGATACACATACTTACATATTGGAATGTTGTTTTTTCCAGAATATTAGGATATGTTGTTCTAGCATAAATACTCGTTTGGCTGTTTTGATTATTTACTTTGGCTTGTAGTCCCTAAAGTTTGGTAATGTCAATTTGATAATGGATCACTATAATTGGTAATGCGTGCTATGTCTCTGAACTGCTGTTCTGTTTGGGACAGGTTGGGCTTTCTCGTGCTCGAAGACTGGCCCAGGGGCAGTCAATTAAGATACATCTCTTTGCTGCATTGCCTGTTCAGGTTGATGGGGAGCCTTGGTTTCAGCAACCTTGTACATTGGCTATATCCCACCATGGCCAGGTCTCTCTTTCTCTCTCTCTCGACAAAAGGGTGTTGATTAGTTTCATCAAATTTAGGCTTTACTTGCAATAGTTCCTATAGATTCTCTTCCAATGACAATCTAGTTTATAGCTAAATCTTTCTCTACTTTGTCATATTATCTCATCTGGTGTTCAGGCCTTCATGTTGAAGAGGGCTGCTGAGGAGCCACTTGGTCATGCAGCTGCCATTATCACTGATGTTCTTGAGAATGCCGAGACCAATCATGTAATAAGTGCTGTGCAGAAGCGAGCTCTTCTTCAAGAAATGGCGCTGAGGCTGACTTAGAAGTTTCCTCTACCTGCTTAGATTAGTAATCAAAGTTTTGATTGCATCTTCCTTTTCTTTCTTTCGGAAATATTGACATTTTGTATACACCATATCACCACATGTATCTTTCTTTTTGTGGTTTTAATAGGATGCTTCTAGTTGGAGCATGGTTGTAAATGAACCTTGTTGAACATCAATGGAAAGGGAGCTTCACACGGTTTTGTTGATAACAGACTAAGACCGACTGCTATGTATTGTTTTTGCATTTTACAGCTTTGATTTATAAGGACATTTGGATTGAGGAAATCATATATTACAAGGCTTGAAATTGGGTATGAAATTACGTGCTCGGCTCGGTTTTGATGACAGACTAGAATGAAAGCAGACTAGAATACCACGCTTAATTATGCTATACATAATTGATCAAACTCCAGGCAAGTTGGGGAGGGGTGAGGACCTGAAATCAGTCATTCCTTGGCTTGTTCTTGAGAAATCCTTGCTTCACTTTCCTCCATGCCCTTGTCACAAACCCCATCGAAGCTGCCCCAGGAGGCCTTGTACTCGGCTTTTTGTCTGCGGTGGCAGCCGCACAAAACAGCTCCTGCTGGCACAGAAATCTCTTGGGTGTCTTGACACTTTGTTTGGAAATGCGACTCAAGCCTTGTGTACGAAAGGGTGAATTGAAGCAGTATATGTAATGAGGGGACGATGCTTTGGAAGCTTGAATGGCTTTGTTAAGTTGGTGAGTCACAGCTCGAAGCTCATACGAGTCATATAAGGTGCTACCGTTGTGCCTTGGGCTCAGCCTCCATATAGGGCTTAATGTGTGGGGAGGACGATCATGTGTAGCAGTGATCATTCTTTGTGGGTCTTTCTCAATTGGGATTTCCAGAAATGTTGCTAGGTCTATGTGTGTTGAAGCTTCTCCCATGTTCTTTTTTTTCCTTTTCTGGTTTTGTTTTGAGAGAGAGAGAGAGAGTAGTTAAGGGTTTTTTATTAGGTTTAAGAAAGTGGTTATGGGTGGATGCGGATGGGTAGTTTACCTTGTAAGTGACGTTGGTTAAGTAAATGTTAATGTCAAAAGCTAGAGACGTGCATTGTTTTATACGTCCTCAATAGGGCATGTTCTCAGATGGAGATTAAAATCTCAATTCTCCCTCGTTGTCATCTTTACAACTGATCAATGCAACATTTTTTTCTTTTTGGAAAAAAAAGGGTTTTTGGCATTGTGGAGGTGGGAAAGTGCGATTTCTCATTTATGTCTGCATGTGCTTGTTTGCTTTCTAATCTTGTAACTCTAATTACCTGCAAATAAACAAAGCTCTTATGCAAGTATTGACTTTTGGGTTGGGAGACATGTTAGTGTCTCATGACGCGTAGTCGTGCCATAATCTTATAAAGCAAGTGAGCTTACACCTTAGATCTGCTTTCTTTCTTTAAAACTTACTCTTAAGTAATTAAACTTCTTTTCTTAGTTACCTCTCGAATCTCCTCCATACCAGAGCCGGGCCTGGGTTTTTTTAAGGCCCAGGGCAAATTTCTAGAGAGTGCCCTTTTAGACAAATTTAAAACTAAAATTACAAAAAAAATTTGTCAACAAATGAATTTTATTAGGTAACAATTTTTAATTTTTATAAAAACACGAACAATAACAATAAAACTAAAGAACAAACAATAATAAAATTTGGATTTTGAGCATTTTTTTTCTTCAACTCAAAACTTCAAATTTCTAATTGTGAAGAACAAGAATCTCTGTTGAGTGTTTTTGCTAAATCAAATAAAAAGAAAAATAAGTTAACAAAGCTCTTACAAAATTCCTATTATACATCTATTTATAAAAAAGGAATGACACAAAGAAAAGACCTTCAAATTGCTAAAGCTTTCCAATGTGTGTTGATGCCATTGCCAGGTCTTTTTTTGTTTGTCTAAGATAAGAACGTTTGTTTGGTTTTTTTTGTTGTTTTTTTTTAAAGAACTCTTTGTTTCCATATGTTTAGTTTCATTAATTTTTGTTCTTTGAAATATTATATTATATAATTTATATTTAGTTTCCTAGAGAATCTCAAAGAGGTTTGGTGCTGCCATGATTAATGATTACATTTACTTCCTTCTAGGACACTAACGGTTTTGGGTTTTTTTTAATTTTAAAAAAATGTAATTATGTAGGCTGAAAAATCATATTTTTGTGCCCCCCACAGTTTTGGGCCCTGGGCTGTGGCCCTGGTAGCCCTGGGCCAGGGCCGGCTTTGCTCGATACATATCGTTACTAGAGAAAGAGAGAGTGGAGGGTCCTCTAAGTTAGCGAATTACTTACTAATTGAACTTCGAAGATAAATATTACTAGATTAATGACTAGAGGCACCATCGGAGCCTGATGAAAAAACATAAAATATTTACAAGTGACTCATAAAATCTTCCATTTTTATTTACAAAACGCATTAATACTTACCTTTCAAATTCTATTAAAACAAATGGAATGATTTCAAACCATGAAACCCATATATTATATATAAATGAAAATGTTTTAAAATTGAAACCAGAAAACAAACTTGCATTCATAAAAGTAAAACTCTTATGAAGGCAAAATATATTGTTGCCAATATTCACCAAAGGTCAAGGAAATCATTACGAAGTCAAAGCTTGCAACTACCCCATTTATGACATTCTGTTAGTCTAAACTTTATTGTGTGCGCCCGATCTCATACACAACTTTTATCACGATAATTCCACTAATTTATTATGTCACAAGCATAGCATGTGAGATGAATTTATATACAAACAATTGTTGCGGTATGATGGTAATACTTACATTGTGTTACAAGTCTATTTAAATTATAACACGTATTTTTATCGTTTATAAAGTTCATTATTAATTTAGAATTTAGAAATGAGATTGTATTTTCCACATTCATGTACTTAGTAAGTGAATCTATGCAAATCCTGTTAAGTAAGGTAACTTAATAAATATGCAATCCTGCTGCTCTGCCTCTGCTCCTCTGAGTCTGGTTGCATTTGTAATTTATTTCACTCTTCGCCATCATCAACTTCAATTTTCTTTGTGCTGATTTGTGGGCATCTTCTCAGGTATCAACACGTTAATCTCATTTGTTTCTTTTTGTTTCTGAATCAAGGTCATCATTAACTGCCCCTTTTCTTCAATTTTATATGTATAAATTGCAATCCTATGGCTTTCATCTTACTCAAACATTCTCCAAACCCCACCAAGCACGTCCTTTCTGCACTTTGAAGCTTCCTTTCACTAGCTATGGTAAAACTCAGTTACATCAACATCACATCACATGCCATGGAAAAGTACCAACTAAGACATGCTGTTTGTGTAGTGGCACATGAACCAAAAACGCGTTATGTCCAGCTTTTACTCATTTTGATCAGCCATTTGTTGTAATGTGATCTATGGGTTTGGTCAGACTCAGACCCTTGATATTGATATAAAACTTTGTTTTTATGCAAAACCTATTTTTCTTCTTCTGTTTTCTGTGTGTTTTAGATTTAGTGAGATGGGTAGTCTTGGAAATTTGACTTTGATAAATGGTTTTCATTCTTTGGAAGAGAAAATAGTGGATGGCAGAATTTCCCTTGTTTGTTACTGAAAGGCGTGTTTGGAAACGTGTTGAACGCTCCAGTCCAGCTTTCTTTTAATCTATCTGACTTTGCTTTGGTGTGTGAAAGTACATAGATAGATGTAGATCTTACAAGTTACAAGTGGCTTTTGGGTAATATTTAAAGAAGCTCTATGGTCTCTTACTTTCCTATACTAGTTGTAGTTGTAGTTGTGGTCTCTCTCTCCCCTATTCTCTCTATAGTTGTGGCGCTCTCTCTCTCCCCTATTTCCATATTTGAAGTATACAGAAAGCTTCTTCTTCTTGAGGTACTTCATTGTGAACTTTAAGGCCTGCAGGGACCCTTTGTAAATTAGGTTCATAATTCATCATTTTCTTGCATATTTGGATGCTTAACTGATGTGACTTTTTTGAATTCTCCTGTGTGTTTATTTTCACTTGTAGAAGTACTCTGTTTTCATCTTTGTTCTATTTTCACTTGTAATAAAGAAACCTTTATGTTTTTGGTTTTGTTTGTGTGTGGAAGGACAATGCTAGATGTAGTCAAACTTATGCCAAATTAAAGGTCATGTCTTTTCTCTTTCAGTTCGATTGAAATGCACTCGGTTTTTCCTTAGATTGGAAAATTTGACTCCATAAGCTTTGACAGGTTCATGTCATTGTCATGTAGACCATTCCTGCATCTATGTTATAGCCAAATGAGGCAGCTTCTATTCTGATTGTGGGAAAGAGGCAACCTATGGAGTTGACTGTAATTAGAAACTAATGTGATGAAGCAATTACTTCTTGTTTTTTCTGTGTATAAAACAAGTTTTTGTAGCCCTTTATTTTATCCTGACAGATTTCTTCTTTCAGGTTTTTATTAACAGAACAAAATGGTGAAGATCTGTTGCATTGGAGCCGGCTATGTTGGGGGGCCAACCATGGCAGTAATTGCCCTCAAGTGCCCCTCCATTGAAGTAGCTGTGGTGGATATCTCTGCGCCCCGGATCGCAGCCTGGAATAGTGACCAGCTCCCCATTTATGAGCCAGGTCTTGATGAGATTGTGAAGCAGTGCAGAGGAAAGAACCTCTTCTTCAGCACTGCCGTAGAAAAGCATGTCTCTGAGGCAGACATAATTTTCGTTTCGGTTAACACCCCAACGAAAACTCAGGGTCTTGGAGCTGGCAAAGCTGCAGACTTGACATACTGGGAAAGTGCAGCCCGGATGATTGCTGATGTTTCAAAGTCCAACAAGATTGTTGTTGAGAAATCAACTGTTCCAGTGAAAACTGCTGAGGCGATTGAAAAGATTCTCACCCACAATAGCAAGGGGATTAAGTATCAGATCCTTTCAAATCCAGAGTTTCTTGCTGAGGGTACGGCAATTGAGGACCTTTTTAGCCCCGACCGCGTTCTCATTGGAGGAAGAGAAACCCCTGATGGCCAGAAAGCAACCCAAGCATTGAAAGAAGTATATGCGCATTGGGTACCAGAAGACAGAATCATAACAACCAATCTTTGGTCAGCAGAACTCTCAAAGCTAGCTGCCAATGCCTTCCTGGCCCAGAGGATCTCATCTGTCAATGCCATGTCAGCTCTGTGTGAGGCTACTGGGGCAAATATCTCAGAAGTTGCCCATGCTGTTGGCAAGGACACCAGAATCGGACCCAAGTTCCTGAATGCTAGTGTTGGATTTGGAGGGTCTTGCTTTCAAAAGGACATACTCAACTTGGTCTATATCTGTGAGTGCAATGGCCTAACTGAAGTTGCGAACTACTGGAAACAAGTCATTAAGGTGAATGACTACCAAAAGAACCGATTTGTGAACAGGGTAGTTTCTTCAATGTTCAATACAGTTTCTGGTAAAAAGATTGCCATTCTTGGGTTTGCCTTCAAGAAAGATACCGGCGACACGAGGGAAACTCCAGCCATTGATGTTTGCAAGGGGCTGTTGGGGGACAAGGCACAGTTGAGCATATATGATCTGCAGGTCACAGAGGACCAGATCAGGAGGGATCTCTCAATGAAGAAATTTGATTGGGACCATCCAATTCATCTCCAGCCAATGAGCCCGGCTGCGGTCAAGGAAGTCAGTGTTGTTTGGGATGCTTATGAGGCAACCAAGGGTGCTCATGGGATCTGCATTCTTACTGAGTGGGATGAATTCAAGACACTTGATTACAAGAAGATTTTTGACAATATGCAGAAACCTGCATTTTTATTTGATGGAAGGAATGTTGTTGATGTTGAGAAGCTGAGAGAGATTGGATTCATTGTTTACTCAATTGGGAAGCCGTTGGATGCTTGGCTCAAGGACATGCCTGCTATGGCATAAGATGGAATTTTTTTTTGTCTCAGCTGCAGAAGTAATTCTTTGAAATTTTAATTTTCACCTCATGTTTTTACTTTACTTTCACATGTATTACTAGTTGCTGTTATCTCACACACTTCTCAGAGGGAAATTCTTACTTTTTCTTTATATTTTTATATATTGGGCATTACAAAATAAAAGAAAAGTTCATTGATCTGATCTGAGTAATGAATTAAGCAAAGTCACCATTTCGTCTTCCAGTAATCTGGTTTTGCTTCATATGAGTTTCATGTTTTGCATAAATAAATCAATATATCATTTGTTATCTTTTGGCCTAATTAGCATGCCAAACTATGCCTCATATCATGCATGCATGCAGTATCTTACCATGGGACTTTTGACTGAGTAATGAATTAGGCACATTGAATTGAAGGGACTTTTGACGTTAAACAATTTGCACTACTTCAAAAGTTGATTATGCCTTCTTCTCTTACTTTGATTTGAATTGAGCACATAGGCTTGCTAATAAGTTTCTGGCAAACAACCATTATTTTTTAGAATTAGGCAAACTGGCCCAGTCTCAAGAGTCTCAAGAAGAGTTCTACACTTGGCTACAAGTTGGTACAGAAGCACCTCTGGAACCTGAACAGAGAGAGGACTTGTAGCCTCCAGCATCCATATTTAGGCTCAATTTTCTCTTTTTTGGTTAAATAAAAGTCAAGACTAGGTCAACCACATTTAGGCAGATTCAAAAACCAGAGGTCACCTCCTCCAAAAGGGAGCTCCTAAAGTAACTGTCAAAAGTTTAAAGGCACAGCGAAAGAAAGAAGGCACCATCTTGATTGAAAACTCAAATAATATTCAATTTAAATATAAGAACGTCTATTCATGTACAGATTTGTCAGATACAGAATACACCTTAGTTGCCTAACTCCAAGTCGTTAGTGTATCAACTAAACCTGTAACCTAACAGTAAGAAAAGAATACCCTCGGATTCTCTTGCAATGACTGCAACAAGATTCAGTCTATAAGCCTCAAGTTGTTACTGTGTCAACTAGTTGAAAATGCAGTTTTGTTTTAGTACACAGAATTGTATTTACAGGCTCCTTTTGCTCTACCATCCCCAAACAACAAACCACCAGTCATAGTGATATCTACAATTATCTTCAAGTTCTCAATCCTGTTGTGCGCGCCCTTCTCCACGGGGCATTTTCTTTGACATCACTGCCATTGATAAAAATATTTCACCAATTCGTAGAATCAAATGATATAAGAAACTTGTTTAAATAGACATATCAAGCAGTTATATGATTGACACAGGCAAATATATGAAGCAGTCATATAACAGATATCAAGCAGTCATATAAGAAACTCGTTTAAACAGGGATATCAAGCAGTCATACAACAGATATCAAGCAGTATATGATTAAAGTAGTGAAATAACAATATACACAGAGAGAGAGAGAGAGAGAGAGAGAGAGAGAGAGAGAGAGAGAGAGAGAGAGAGATCTTACAATCTTCAACATCCTTCAGCTGGTAATAATGCGGAGCTATTTCCACTAATCACTCCGGCTCAAATTCTGTTACCTGCAATTTAATTGGAAGGCTTTAGCTATAATGCAAATAGCATATACGAGATTACCAACCAACAGGAAAAATGAAAGGTACAAGGGCACATATACCTGTTCTCATATATTCCTTTGTTGTAAGTACCAATTCATGATTGGTATATAACCCATCTCGGAAGCACCTGAAGATAAAAATTCAACAGAAAATCGAACAATGCATCAGATAATATTTGTCCAATTACTATGAAAGGCAAAAACCGACATTGACATACAAATAAATTAGAGGAAATAATTTAGTCATCCTTCTAGAGGAAATACTATGAACACGTACACATACACAATACCAATTACCAAAAACCGCCATCCTTCTACTGACTTTAGTCAACTCACCCACTTTATTTAATGCACTTAGTGCAAATAACAGTTCCAGGGCTTTTAGTAATGCTTCAGATGGTGGAGGGTCCATAAAATCAAAGTGTAATAAGTCATGAATACCAAGGCACTTCAGCGTAAGCAAAACATTTGCAAGATTAGTTCTTTGTACTTCTGGTACTGTGTTATCATCTAAATCATTGTAATAATTGTAGGCAGTAAATAACCGGAAGCACTTTCCAGGACCCGTTCGACCAGATCGACCTGCCCTCTGCATTGCTGATGCCTTTGAGATGGGAGTAACTAGCAATGACTCCATTCCAGTCTCCAGTCCTTGGGTTATACGACTTCATCTTGCAAAACCCTGGGTCAATAACATATTTGATCCCATCAACGAAGTTTCAGCTATATTTGTGGCAAGGACAACCTTCCTTGCCCCATTAGGCGTGGCTTCAAAAAATTTTGCTTGCAGCTCAGTAGGTAGGTTTGCATATATGGGACAAATAATCAGCTCAGCAAATTTTGTCCCCAGGCCCCTTGTTCTGTGCTTCAATATTTCTTCCGCTGTTTCAATTTCTTCTGCTGTTTCAATCTCTTCCTGACGAGTTAGGAATACCAAAATATCTCCAGGTGGTTGCGTCACATGGATTTGACGTGCAGTGACAATTGCTGCATCTAAGTGATCAGCTTCTGGTGCTTTCGTGGAATGTATTTCAACAGGTTACCGCCTCCCTGGAATTTTGAAAATTGAGCAGAATCAAAATCATCACTGAACTTCTCAGCATCAAGCGTTGCACTTGAGATAAGCAGTTTGAGATCCGGTCTCAATAGAGCAATATCCTATTACAAAAACCACTAACCATCAGATATTGAAGATTTTCAACAGCTTCAGGCAATTGATCACGGCAGGTGAAGATGGGTAATGTTTTTCTGTCATCCTGAATGAATATTAAAACATATATTATAATCTCTTATAATTTGATACCATTCAAAGGTTAATCATATAGTTAAATAATTAATGACAACCACAAAGTAAATGGACACCGCAACAATCTTTAAAACTTCCACAATGTTTGCATTTTTTAACGTTCTATATTTATTCATTCTCTTCAGGTTGTTCAAATGCAGCAGACATTTTTAACTTCCGCAATTTATTCATTCGTTTCTGAAGCATGCCACAGGCCGGAACTAGTTTTCTCAGAAACAACGGTGAGAATAAGTCATACCAAACATAGTTAAACATCTAAGCAAAAATGCCAAAGGAACTATGAACAAACAAATTAAGGAAACGAAAATTATTAGCCACCTGGAGCTTCTCTAAGGCCGTTTTCGCTTTCGACTCAAGTACCTCAGAGGGTTGCCCGTCATCATCAAACTGCATCCGGAAAACAAACAGATGGAACTGACTGTGATAACAGACAAAGGTGTCAAGTCAAAAATGATGATGCTAGTTGGCATACCTCATCACCATCCATCACTGATGCCTTGATAAAATCAATCTGATCCTCAAATACAAATCTAAGCATCAAAAGATATGAGTGAAAAAGACTTAGAAAGCTCATGCACAAACAAAAGAAGCTATTAGAATAAGCTTCTGCAATTAATTTGCTTCACTTATTAACAGATGCAACTTCAGATAGTGAAAATAAGCAGGTAAAACAGAAGCAAGAGGATGAAAATTCGTAAACTTACTGATACTCATCAGATAATTGTTTCTTGTTTTTTGAACCAAATTTCAGCGTTGCTTTTCCTGCAAGATGATCCTCAGGATGAAAATTCTGAATTTTTTTTTAAATTGCAAGGGAAAGGCGCTAAAACCTCACAAAAAACTCACCAACTTGGTGATCCTCCCAAGCTTCCTCTTCTGCAAATGGGTTCATTTTATCCCCGGCACTGAGGACCCTATACAACGCAATAGGTACAAAAAAAAAGATAAAAGACAAAACAAGATCTGTTTCAGGATTACGCATTTGTTTATTGAGTTAATTTTTTTTTTTTTGTGGGGGGGGGGGGGGGGGGGTGGGGGGGGGGGGTGGGGAGAGGAATGATGATGATGTAATTGTGAACATTTCCAAAATAGTGACCTGTAGCGTTGCACAGTGACAGAAAATTTCTTTTCCTGATTAACACCACCCTCTTCATCGTACGCATCTGGCATCCTGTACTGCATTTCAAAAAACCAATGCATCTCAATTACTCATCCACTCCAACGTGAGCAGGAGGAAAATTCTCAATACAGAACTCTTCTTGAAAGCAGCTCACATAGGCAAAAAGGATAACCATAGTTAATTATCAATAACTCCAATTACCTCAGTGGTATCCTCAACCTCATCTGACCTCTTCTTCACCAGCTCGTATATTTGTTTCTTGTAACTGTAGCACAAAATTCACAAATAGGGAAAAATATTAGATTCTGTAATAGATTTATCGGCTGGCAAAATAACTAAAATTAGTTTTTTTTTTATAACTTTGGTTTATTGGAGTAATAAAACAGTAAGCAATAACCACCGACTGATCATAGCAAAGTAATTAGGTAACTGCATTTTCATTACCTTAGTTTGTGATATTCTGCTTCAGTGAGGTTCTATATCAGTATTGCTCATCCTCTATATCGTCTCTGAGATACATGTCAAAACAATTAAGCACCACTGATTCTGCAGATATACGTTTCAAATTACAGAACTAAAACGGTTTTTTCTTTTTCTTTCTTTTAGGGGTAGGGGGTCGGGGGAGCTAACTTTAGGTAAAAGCAAAATATAATTCTTTCCATACCTGATTTCCTCCAATTTCTTTTGCTGCCTCTTCTTGAGATATTCTTGTCTAACTGAAGCAGAGACAATTGAAGGAGAAATATTAGAACCCTGCTTAGTGTCATATAGAACATACATATTTTGAGTACTTTATTTTGCTTTCTGGGATGAAATAAGTAGCTTCAAGATAATAACTAAAATGGAAAGACAGTCTTTTCCACTCTGAAAAATCACCAGAATGTTTGTGTACTATAATACCATTTAGAAACAAGCAGCTTTTTATGTGTAAGAAGAAAGAAAGGCAAGCAGGTACTCTTGCTCAAAAATTTAGAAAAGCGCTAACTACTAAGGGTGGATTTTTTTTCAAAAACCATTCATCTTTTAACTATTTCAAAGACAACTATTGCCTGCCAAAAGAATAGAATTTCACCTATAAGAATGATACCGAAAAAAAAAACAGAAGACTTCAGAATGAATCAAATACTATTTAGAAACTTCAAATACTATTTGTTTTAAAGCACTAATCTTTTAACTATTTGAAGTTTTCTATTGCCTGCCAAAAAATAGAATTTCACTTATAAGAACAATACCATAAAAACACAGAACCTCAGAATAACTTAATTCATGATATCTAGATAATGACAAACCTTAAATCTTCAAGGTCATTCCGCTCCAATGCATTGCTTTTCCGAATAGCCTCCTCTGCTGTACAGTAGAATGTATCATGACGAGGCAACAAAAACTACAAACATGAATATGAGCAAATGCAGCAAGTCTTAAGTATGTAATTCTCGAAATATATGTGTATGGATGTAAATGCTCTCGAGTTGTACTACCTTCTTCTTTTCGTGTTAATTTTCTCTCCGTTAACTGTTGGTAGGGAGGGAAAAAAAAGAAGAAATTTAGTGACAAGAAAACAACAAAAGCAATGTGATGATTATGCACATGTAGGTAGTTGTTCCAAATCAGAGACGAATACGAGAAGTCATAGCTCAATCTGAGAGTTGTTGCTAGGAAACACCGTAACAGTAGTTTGCAGGTAAAACAGGATAATCTCCATATCAAGGAGTAGACCCAGATAACAATATTCTAGCCGGAATAGACAATACAGGTGCAGTTTCAAAGCATACATCTTTGCATGATATCAATAAATCATTTAAGGATGCAACTTTTAAACAACTAGAACTAGCTCAAAGCAGGAAGACAATCCAAGCAGTTTTTATACCGAAAACTAAACGTAAGAAATGAAAATCAGTTCTGAACTAAATTTGTACCTTTCGTGTAGCTGCTGTATCCCGTTCCCTTGTATTCTGCTCCAATTGCTCCCTCTCTCTTTGATCACGCAATCTTTCTTCTTCTGACTGCATACCATTTTAAATAGAGGACATGTTCAAAACTGAGATATCAAGCCCATATTCCACTTTCACTCCCTTTGCAAAAATACATTTCACTAGCACATACTATAACGTACCTTCACGGACTGATCACCATTGATGCCAAGTCCAACTCTTCATCAGAATCAATCACTTCTTCAAAATTGTAAAAGGGATCCGCCTTTGGTCTTGGAGTAATTGCTTTGAAACTATGAAATATAGGATCATCGAAATTAGGGGGTTCCAAGATAATGTAAGCACCTTTATTTTTGTACCTCTCCTCTGTGTTCTGAAATTGTGGGTAGTCTGGAGCACTAAACAAAGTGATGAGCTTTCCTGACTCCACAATGTGATCGATGGTGTACCCTTCATCCATTCCACCAAGACCTGGCCTCTTTTCCCGTGCATCAGGGCCTTCATGTGATCTAATAATCAACTTGAGTTGAAATTCCTTGAGAAATTTCTCAGTGCAATCAGGACCCCAACGTAAACCAATGCCTCTCTCTGTATTTGGCGAAAGTCCTGGAGTCATCGAGGGATCTGACCACAGCACGTCACCAGGAATCAAGTTGAAACCAATCCATGGAGGATCAAGAACTGATCTTCGGGCCTTGTTTAATTCTTCAAGAGAGCCCAAAGATAATGAACTGGTTTCAGGATTGCAAGCTATCATACGACTCTTCTTTCCCTTTGATTTCTTGGGAATAGCAGACATGTGTCGAAATAAACCTCCATGTGCAGTGTACACATGTTTACCAACGATGGAAGCCAACGGAAGACCTCGAAAGCACCCAAGGCATTCACGATACACATGCTTGCCTCTATCACCATACTTTGTCAGCACTTCCTTCTCAAAACCATAAACAGAAGTGCAATACTTTGATTCGTGATTTCCTCGCAAAAGATACACCCTTTCTGGCATAAACACTTTCCAAGCTAACAAAATTAAGAAACTTTCGAGACCCCAAGCACCTCTGTCAACATAATCACCATTGAAGACGTAGAATCGATTTTCTGAGGGAAAGCCAGCATCATGGAGAAGGAAAAGAAGGTCGTGCAACTGCCCGTGAAGGTCTCCGACGACGATGACTGTGGATTCAGGGGTTAAGTTGTCAATGGTGACGCAATTGGGCTCTTTGTGGAGGATCTTGGAGGCACAGAGGACCAGACAATCACAAACCTCGACAGGAAACACGTCTGGCAATTGGGTCGGCTCAAGATCTCTAGAAGCCCAGTCAAAGACGGACATTAGGTTAAGGACCCAGTTGAGGGTGAGCTTGCCATCAGGAGGCCAACTAATTGGGGTTTCAAGTTGAGGCGACTGTGATGATGGGCTGTCTTTGGATTCTGAGTTGGTAGCTATGGAAGATGATGAGTTGAAGACTAGCTCCCTTAATTGGTATTGGCTTGGAGGTCGGTAACCCGGGCCAAATTGGCCAACCACTTCCACAAATCTTTTGAAGCTATCATTATCAATAGCATCAAAAGGAATGCCAGACTCATACACCCATTCAGCCAAAGATTGATGCACTTCAGGTGTTCTTTGCGTCAAAACTTCAATGTCTTCATCTTCTTTTCCAATTTGTTGAAGCTCAAGTTCTTCCCCCACTTCCCCTTTGCGTCCACTCCCTTGTCTATTCTTATTTTTTGCTTCTTCTAATGCAGCTTTACATTTGGCTTTATCCTCATCCGAAGACCTTGGGCACGGGGCTACATTTCCCTTAATGTGGGCTACATGTTGCTTGATTCTATATACGCCACCACTAACAAGTTTCCCACACAGCTTACACTTCAACTTATCCAAGTTTGTAGGATCCGCCAAAACCCCAAACTCCCAGCCCACATCACTTGAAGCACGCTTCAACGACGACGAACTCTCTCTCCCAATCTCCGAGGGTGCATTAGATGCTCCGGAAGATGCCATCATTATCAAAGCAACAAAAAAAAAAAAAAAAAAAAAAAAATAAATTTCATTATTATTACAAACAAAAGTTTAAGTAATATTTATAAATTATCACAGCTGTGAAAAAAGAAGAAGCATATGAAGCAAGAGATTGAGTGGTTAAACCAACAAAGTACCAGGACCTCACTCAAAGATATGAAAAAAATGAAGGCGTACTCATGTGGTTTTCTCATTGTATACGCTATGTATGCCTGAAATATATGGACTCTTTTCAATATCCCCTAGTATCATGTCCATGTATATTCATTATTGAGAAAACTCGCTTCAATTCCAAGATGGGTTTCATATGGTCTGCTCATTACATTACACTCTTATACAGACCAGTGTATGTCAATTAAGTTCACACACGCATGTAAATTTAAGGGGGGTGAAATGCACACATCAAAAAGGAAATGGACTGCTGCGAGCAATAATTTCAACCCTATATGTAAATAACAAAAGGTGCAACTATCCAATGATAACATATTTAAGGCATTAAATAAAATTAGACATATTTCAAAGCAACAATAATCATAAATAAACCAAAAGAAGCATACAATAGACAACAGGGTTCCTGCACTCTTGAGTGCCTCACTCAAAAAATGGTCAAGTGGGGTTAAACCAATGCCTCCGTATCGAATCAAACTGGAGGAAATCAGATATGTGAAATTCATGAACACAGCCCAAATTCTGACATAATAGCCATTTCCTCCAATTGTATGCAGTAGGAAAAAAAAAGAAAAGTTACAGAGTTTTTCATCATTTAGAACCTTCATGAAATTAAACCACACTAAACTAAGCCTGTGGAGAGGTTTCATTTTTGAAACTCAAAACTAACACATACTCTTAAAATATCATTGCTAATCGTTTCCTTTTGTCGTCCATTTTCTGAGCAACCAAATGAATGCTAAAGCCGCATTTATAGCTAACACACATAAGATCAAAAACAGAGCACTGAAATTTTAACTGTATAAGCTTTAGCTCTAAAAGAGCTGCCCAGCCATAAAATGCCAAAACCCTACCGCAGATTAGCATCCCTAACAAAAATGGTTCTTATGGACAGAAAATTAGGGTTTCTCGGAGATTAAAAGGGATCGGAAACTCACAAAGACGCTTAGAGTACACCATTGAAGCTCGAAAATGATCACCTGAGACCGTCAGATTACGAAGAGAGAGAGAGAAAGAGAAGAGAGCGCGATGGGCAATTGCACAATACTTAAGTCCAATGGGCTGAGCCGGCCCATAGCCCGTCAAGGACTGAGACTACCCCTGGCCCATCATGGGTCGAGCCAGCTTGTAACACAAATAATTATGTCAAATATGTTGATTTAAATACAATTTTATATTGAACACAGTTAATCGTGCTCAATTAGTTGTGTAAATTGATTTGTGTGCTATCTAACAAGTTTTTTAAAAAAGTGAATGATTTTACTTTCATAGATACAAACAATTGTGTCTTAATTTGACAAATGTGACAACATGATTCACAAAACTAATATGTGGGCCCAATATATATATTTTTGACATAAATGGCGCTGAATATATATATTTTCGTTACTTAAATCGTGCTCAATAATTTACACGTAGTAAAAAAATTTATTTTTATTCACTTGAAAACCCCACGCCCTTTAAGCAAAAATCCACGATCCCTCATCTTTCCAACTCTAAAAAATATCTCACCTTATCATCTAAAATCTTCTCAGTAGCCCACCCTTCTCCTTTTTTGAAGTCTTTCCCACTTGAAAACCTCTCTCTCTCTCTCTCTCTCTCTCTCTCTCTCTCTCTCCTCTCTCTCTCTTGGAGCTCTCTCTCCCTCTAACTCTTTCTCTTAGTTCGACGCTGTTGCCATCCACGACCCCCCACCTAAACCTAAACCTCCATATTTTGAAAAGATCTCTATTCTTTACTCCTCCGAAGATCTATCACTTGCACCACTACCACTAGAGGTGTCAAACAGACCGGGTCGGCCCGACATGGCTCGCTTAAGTAAGGCACAGTATGGCCCGTATTTTTGGGTTGTGTCGGGACGAGGTAATTAAGTCCAATGGATTGAGTTGGCCTGTAGCCCGTCATGGACCAAGACGACACCGCCGCTTTTGAATGCGATTCCTGCCCTGTCCGGCCACCGAACTCGAGGCTGTAACTTGTAAAATGCACCTCTCCACCTCCTCTACACGACCCACTAAATTTCCAGACTCGATTTTGAGCTGTGAAGCGACTGAAACGAGAGGAAATCGGGTCAATTTGGGTTATGCCACTTTCTAATCCTCCCCACCCTTTTATTCACTACTACAAAACTGATGAAACGGCACGATCATAAGATAATAAATACACAATTGTGTTGTCTTTTCTAACAAACATTAAGCACAAAAAAGTTATATTTATGTTCTTTTCATATAAAACACAAATAATTATGTCAAATATGTTGATATAAATACAATTTTATATTGACCACGGTTAATCGTGCTCAATTAGTTGGGTAAATTGATTTGTGTGCTATCTAACAAGTTTTTTAAAAAAGTGAATGATTTTACTTTCATAGACACAAACAATTGTGTCTTGATTTGACAGATGTGACAACATGATTCACAAAACCAATATTTGTGCCCAATATATATGTTTTTGACATAAATGGCGCTGAATATAAATATATATATTTATTTATTTTTGTTACTTAAATCGTGCCCAATAATTTACACGTAATAAAAAAATTTATTTTTATTCATTTAAAAACCCCACGCCCTTTAACCAAAAAACCACGATCCCTCATTTTTCCAACTCTAAAAAATATCTCACCTTATCATCTGAAATCTTCTCAGTAGCCCACCCTTCTCCTTTTTGAAGTCTTTCCCACTTGAAGACCTCTCTCTCTCTCTCTCTCTCTCTCCCTCCCTCCCATTCGCTTGAAGCTCTCTCTCCCTCTAGCTCTTTCTCTTAGTTCGACGCCGCTGCCATCCACCTAAATCTAAACCTCCATATTTTGAAAAGTTCTCTATTCTTCACTCCTCCGAAGATCTATCACTTGCACCAGTACCACTAGAGGTGTCAAACAGACCGGGTCGGCCCAACATGGCACGCTTAAGTAAGGCACGGCATGGCCCGTATTTTTGGGTCGTGTCGGGACGAGGTAATTAAGTCCAATGGACTGAGCTGGCCCGTAGCCCGTCATGGACCGAGACTACCCTTGGCCCATCATGGGCCGAGCCAACTTGTGGCTCGTCGTGGGCCGAGTCGACCCGAGAAGAGGGTGCTCTTCCCTCACTAGGGTTCTACTGACCGAGGGCGAGTAGCTTCCCGTCCTTGCTTGTCTCTTAGTTTGCTAAAGTCAAGGTTCTTTTGCTCTCCGTTTCGTCGAGTGTGATAAAGTGAGGAAAGCCGAGGAAAGAAGAAAAGCCTTCCCTCGATCGCGGTTCGCAGATCTTCCTCAAGGCAAGGGTAGCGTCTCATTATTCGCAATAATCGTTTTATGATTTTTGTACAAGAATGCTCTCCTCTCCTCCTGAGTCAAGCGGAGGCAGCAAGACATAGGAAGTCCAGACAAGACAAGTCCTTTCCTTCTAGGCCGGCCCGTTTAAAGCCCATATATTAAATTATACTTGTTTTAGGAAAAAATAAAACATAATATTACTACATTTATATCTTAAATTCAAGTCTATTTCTTTTCTCTAATAATATATATTAAAATTAATATTTTCTTTATATATAAAATAAGGATTTTGTTTTTCAAGTTTCAATTTTTAAAACCCACACAATAATCTAGCCATTTTCTATTTAAATGTACTTTAAATTAAGTTATTGTCCTCTTTTTTTAACAAATAATAAATCTTATTGGTATATACATAATTGCAAAAAGGATTTAAATAAAGTTGTAAAAAAATTACAACAAAAAAAGCAATACATAAGTCAAATTTGGCGTGGACCCATATCGGCCCGTTTAGTGGCCCGACACGAGAACGGCTTGAGCCCATATAGACTCGGGCCGGGATTGATGATTTTCCTAAATGGGCGGGCCCAACACGACCCGTTTATTAAAAGGGCTGACAATAAATAGACCGGACATGCCCAACACAACCCGTTTGACACCTCTAGGTACCACCCACCACCTCCACCACATCTCTCCTCTCATTCTCTCATTCTTAGGTTTTGGTTTTTGAGTGGTCAAACAATAAATAAAGAAGTCTAAGGTTTTGTTAGGCATGAACTCGTAGATCAGCTCATTTCATCTTCTCGATTGCAGCATCCCAGAAGCTTCACTATATTCCTGTGCTGAAGTTTGACAATATGTGTAACCTCATTCTTCAACTCATTGAGTCCTTGTCTAGGATGTTTTGAGAGCCTCTTCACAGCCATGTCTTGTCCATCTTTCAGTGTACCCTGAAGTCCATTAGCCCCATATGATGACCAAAATCCATACTCTGTAGTTTGCGAACGTACAATATACGACTTGTATCCCTAGTCCTGACCCAAATGACATGTGGAAACTGTCAAGCTAACTGTAGGGAGTACTATATTTGATTTTACCTTAAAAGGCTGATCCGAAATCACCCCTTCTCCAAGTCTATTGTTGTTTGAAAAGTTATTGGTTGCACAAACAACAGCGGCCAAGTCAAATAATGGTAATTCCAGATCTTCCCTTTGGCTGGGCCTCAGCTTTATCTTCCCCAATGTCATACTTTGCCCTTTGCATGCAACTGAGACATATAAGAACAATTATAATATTTACCTTCAGAAAGTAAGATGTCAGCAATTTCATATTAACTGATTATGTACTATTATCTTCAAATATCAGCATCTATTTCTATCATTTGGAATAATGAGGTCATATTTTGTTTGGCCTGGGTGATCATTATAGTTTATAATCGTTATAAACTACCATTTTCTTGCAGGATAAACTACCATTTGCAAACCAGTGATCTATAACCAATATCCAAAAAGCAATTCATGCACAAGAACCAATTGATCATCATATAAAGTCCCAAAGAGGAAAAGGCTTGTAACTCACAGGTTAAGTAGCTTGGAGGGTGCGGGACGTAATACAGTTAATGCCTCCTTCCACTGCCACTGGCATTCAGATAACGAGAAGACGCTGCAAAATTGACAACTGCCATTCCCATTCTTCAATGAAATGTTTAGCAATTGACGCTCTCCGCTCCAATGCTTGTCTTCCACCCCTACTTACGCCATCACTTAGAGCATGATCTAGTTCAGTTATAGTTGATGGAAGACAGTGATGTAATATATCAAGTAGTTTCCCCGTGAAAGATACAACCATTTTGTTTCCCTCTTCTCGTGTTAGATCAGTTTTCTGTGAAGCACATGTGTAATGTAATTCAGATTAGCTCCATGCTAAGGCACAATGAGCCAAATTGAGACAAAGATCATCCATATGTAAAAGCGAACTTTTGACATTCGCCATCATGATCTCACATCCCCAGCCCCAACTTCATATACCAATATCTCTACTTATGAGTTATCGCCCCCACACACAACAAGAAATAAATAAATAGGAAAACGACTAATTTTAGATATCCAAAATATGAGTAAACAAATAAAGTAGCAAAAAAGGATGGCAGCATAAAAAGTCATGGTTATTTGTAAACCCCAGCTCATAGAATCAAGAAATACTTCATATATGCAGCCATGTTTGATGCAGGAAAATTTCGTTCTTACGTAATATGCAGGGGAAACCAAGTACACATAATCTGCAACAATCAAGCACTAATAACTGCTGGAAGGGCATATTACTAACTTAGAAAAGAAAAGCAGCCATAGCATGTTATCAGTGGACTTTTGCCGCACTTCCCATTCACAAGATGCATAATCTTCGATGCATAATGCACACACAACAAAAAAGACTCCCACAAACTTGCGAGTTACAACACAATATGGTAGTATTATTATATTAACGTATCAAAACTAACAGAAATATTATATTAGCTTCTCTTGGGGCGTGTACGTTAAAGCATTTCAAAGACTACTTTGGGGTAACTCATGCTGATTGGACAGAGTTTGGGCTGAATGTAATCTGATTTCATATGTCATGTCATGATTGTTGGTCTGATTTTGATGGTTTTCTACAAGATATCTTTGAAGACGAAAAGAAGAAAGAAATAATTTTCCTTTCTCTGTTTTCTTTCTAGCCCTTCTTTCACGTAGGTTTTCTTTCTCTGTTTGGAATAAGATACAGTTTTCCTTGTAAAAACAACAAAGAAATAGACCAGACAAGATTATTTTGAGGATTTTGAGGACTTACCCGAAGTGGACTTTGATTTCCAGTACGAAATTCTCAACAAAAGGGTCAAACAGGTGATCTTCGCATGCTATTTGTTCTTTAGCAGACAACATCAACGATAATTTTCAATTCCATGCTTTTTTTTTTTTTTTTTTTTTTTTTTTTTTTTTTTTTTTTTTTTTTTTTTTTTTTTTTTTTTTTTTTTTTTTTTTTTTTTTTTTTTTTTTTTTTTTTTTTTTTTTTTTTTTTTTTTTTTTTTTTTTTTTTTTTTTTTTTTTTTTTTTTTTTTTTTTTTTTTTTTTTTTTTTTTTTTTTTTTTTTTTTTTTTTTTTTTTTTTTTTTTTTTTTTTTTTTTTTTTTTTTTTTTTTTTTTTTTTTTTTTTTTTTTTTTTTTTTTTTTTTTTTTTTTTTTTTTTTTTTTTTTTTTTTTTTTTTTTTTTTTTTTTTTTTTTTTTTTTTTTTTTTTTTTTTTTTTTTTTTTTTTTTTTTTTTTTTTTTTTTTTTTTTTTTTTTTTTTTTTTTTTTTTTTTTTGGGAATTTTGTCATGGAAGGCATGATGCTTGTGGTTTGTAGGTTGTTGGGTACCTTAACAGCAAGCTAGGGGCTTTCTTATTTTCTGTTTGTTGCATGGTTTCTTTTTATTTGTTGTCTATATTTTTGGCTTTAGAGTCTTTAGATTGAAAATCATTGAGATTATGTAGTTAAAATGATTATCAGTCCCTGCATTATTTGCCTCTTCATTCTCCTTAGCTCTGTGATTGTGCGGGAATTCTTCACTTTTGAAACTGACCTCTTTTCTTGTATTTGAGTTTATGTTTGCTGCATGTCATACGTGCGTTGTGATCTGAAGCATAGGCTTGGAAGTCTCACACTGCAAAACTGCGTTGAAAGTTTTCACTTCAATCTTATTATTTGCATTTGACTTATTTTTTGTTCTTTCGACTATCTGTGTATGTTTTACTGCCAGCGTTGAGTCTTATGTATTGATCTCTATATGCAACTTTAAATTTGGCAGGGAAAGAGTAGAAAACGAGCCAGAATGGCCAACAAAGCTGCTCCTGCTAAAAAGCCAGAAAAGGCTGTCTAAGTTTCTACTGTGATGGATACTAAGAATGTAAGTTAATAAACTGGTTTACGGTATTTTTGGTGCTTAAATTTTCCTGCAATGTTGATTGTCCTACTTATAATTTGTTTAACAAATACTAATGTGACATTTCGTTCTTGCAGAGGCTGAGTTCAAAAATTAACTATGATGCTTCGGATAAATTAAATGAAGAGCTTGTAAGCATCTTTTATATGTCTTATTTTAGAATCAATTTTGCTTTATTCATGCTTCGCAAATCCCATATTATGTTCTGTCAACATCCAAGGTCTCGTTAACTGATGCACAGACTACAAGCGACTAAAAGCGAATCAAATCTAATGGCATACGTTTAATTTCGATTGTCAAATGATGTTATTTGTTCAATATATTTTTTGTTTTCTTAATGTCTGGTTAGTGTGCAGACAACAAATTCCTTGTTTAATGGAATAAAGGTATATACAAGTATCACGAACCATGGCAAGATAGAACTTAATACATAAAAGAATGATCAATTGTGCAGGTTGTTTACTTATTGGGCAATTAACGGGAGACATCAAAAAATAGGAAAATCTTTCATCTTTTTACATGGTTAATAGTTTTTTTTGCCATGCAATGTAATTCCTAGGTAGAAATCCTGGTGGGTTTTAGAGAATAGAGGTGTCGTTCTAAGAGTAATTGCTAGAACCTTTTCTATTTTTTTTCCCCATGTGTAAAATCAGGGTTATGCACCTGCATTCGAAAAAGGCACAAAGTCTAATTGTGGCAGTCATGGTGATTTGCAACTGTAAACTGAGAAGAACAGTTTTGAAGGCAGCCATGATGATGATTTTGAGCATGAAAGTAATGGATACAGTGAAGAGGCTGAAGCCAGACAAGGCCATGATGATGATACATATGTTGCAAATGACGAATATAATGGATCTATGATGACGAATAAAATTAGATGAGGAATGCGATTTTGATGAATTACTCAAATAGTCAAATTCTTTTTTCATGATTCAGTTGTATCATGTTACGATCAAAGGGTTAAGCAATTAAAACTTCTGGTTTTTTTTAATAACTTTTTTGAATTGGTATCAGCCTGAGGAGCGATGCAATTAAGCATTGCTTGCATGTCAAATTATGTGAACTATAATCATGAGCACAAATTTGTAAATTGAAACACTAGTACTGAATGGTTGGTTCCAAGCCGTTCACACTTTATTTAGTGTAGAGAGAAGCACCAGTTTGACAACAATATTTCCCCCCAACATTGACAACACCAAAAGACTCCACCATGCATGAAATTGCCTCCCTTCAGTAAACGAGGGGGTACTTTGAAGGAGCAAAGAGTACGACCGGGTTCAAGGAGATCAACTTTAATGTCTTCCATGATAAGGGACTCAAAGAACTTGTCTGGCGGCCCATCCATTGTCATTGCCATTTCACCTTATTTCTCCAAGAACTTCTTACTTGTTTCCTCATTTCTCCAGAAGCCCTAGCCATCAGAGAAACAACAGATAAAAGAGTCACATTCAACATCAAGGGTCCTAATACCCTTAGCCCAAGCCATTTGCAAACCTCTAAGGAGACTCCATAACTCAGCCTATGAAGGAAACATGCAGTTTAATTTAAACTCATGGATTTTAAGCTACAACATACATGAATCAAACATTCAAAGAGGCGGAAGCGACTTTTATATCTTATTAAGCCTAATGCTACCAAATTCCAAGTATCTTTCTAGGTCTAATCTCACTTATGCACAAAAGAAAAGGGAGGAAAGGATGCGACTTTCTTATCCTTGAAGCTCTCTTTGATGGTCTTCGACTTTTCACCTTTGTAAAGACCTTCTTCCTTGTTGCTTGCTTCATAGAGTCTTCACAAGGTACCAAAGTAGATACCCTCTAGTTCATACACACAAAAGTAGTGTAAGAGATGAAGAAGATGACCAAGAGGAGGTAAGGTGCTAGCCCTCTCCTCTTGGTGGCCCATTCTAGCATGGTAGAGTGGAGATTTCTCTCCTCTCAAACCCGCTCCAAAGTTGGATTCTTCAAACCCTAGAAAGAAAACGGTCTAAGTGTGGCTTAAATAAGCCAATACAAAAGATGAAGCAAAACCCCATCCTTGTATTTTAGCCATAGTGTTTCTTGGGCTCATTTAACTTATGTTGTCATACAACACATGTTCTCTTGGGCTCGTTTAATTCCAATTTTTTTTAGATCTTGAAAATAGTTTGGAGTTCAATACTAAACAAGTTTATGATCTTAAAATCACTCTTTGAAAACTCATGTTTTTAACAAGAATCATAGTTTTTGAACTTACTTTTTTAAAGTAGGATACCAAACAGGGCTTAAAGCTCCCAAAATATTAAGGCTTATTTTATGATATGCCCCCTCAAAGTGTATTTGAGTCTCACTTTGCCCCTTGAAACTCATTTTGTCTCACTTTACTCCTTTTTTCACACATATTTGTTTAGATTCCGGTGAGGCCAACAATTTCCCGTCAAAATATTAATTAAAAATTAAAAACTCAATTAATATACATTATGTTTTAAATAATCACAGGCTAGGAGACAAAGAGATTATGGGCTCATATTTTTTGGAGTAGGATTAGGTTATAAAATTTGTACTATGTTTAGTATTTTAAAAATTTTACACGGTACTAGAGCCCAGCCTAGCCTGTACGTGGATCCGTTCTTATTCAGGGGGCAAAGTGTGACTCAAATACATTTTCTGGGGGTATATATAAAAAATAAAAAAAAGCCAAATATTAGTACAGAGAGAGAAAATGGAATGGGAAAGTCAATAAAAAATTAATTACAATATATCATTATGTTAAAAAAATATATAAAAAATTAGTTTGTGTAATTTTAGCCATTCATTGTACTCTAATTTGATGGTTGAAAACTAATAAAAGAAGGATAATTATCCGATAAAAGAATATTTTTGTTAAAAAGATCGATTCTATGATGACGTTAGTAGGGCTTAGTTTCCACATCATCAAACTGCTCGGCCATTCATCATCCTTGACAATTTGACATTTTGTCGTCCAAAATATCCAAGAAACCCTAAATCAAAGACATTGGAATATTTTAAAGGTATAGCCGAGTGGCTATACTCTTGGAATATATTCCAGACGAACACCAAGCTTGCACTTGGGAGAGTACGGATCTTGCACTCGCAGTCAAGCCATTTCGCTTTTCTTTGGTTTCGGCTGCTTCGTCCTTCGGTTTCGGCAACGAAAAAGGACCCAACCCGCCTAGGAGCCCATCTAGCTACCTTCTAGCCGCCTAGCCGCCTAGCGCCCGCCTAGCTACCGCCTAGCCGCCTAGCGACCGCCTAGCCGCCTCGCGCCCGCCTAGCCACCGCCTAGCCGCCTCGCGCCTTCCTTGCGACAGCCTAGTAGCTTCGAGCCCGCCTAGCGACCGCCTAGCCACCTAGCCACCTAGCCGCCCGCCTAGGCCGATATTTCGAACACTGCGATTGACTGAAAGTCTGGAACAACAATGGCCTCTTTCAGCGTCCTTTGGCTTCTTTTGCAGTCTATGCTTTCTCAGCTGCTTCTGGTTTCATGTGTCCATGGCATAAATACGTTATGTGATGTGTACGCAATGATTGAATTGAGAATGCAGTGACGACGTTGATCTCAATATTCAAACAATGGGACATGCAAGCCCTGCCTATCAGTGGAGGAGAGCAATGCATTGGATTTGCCATCAATGGAAGCGAGTTTGAAAAGCCAGAGAATAATCCAGCCATCACTTGTTCCTTTCCAGTCGAGTTCATGCTCTGAACAAACGAGGGGTGTTTCCAAAAGAATTTGAGGCTTTAAGATATCTGGCCGTTTTGTATGAAGGTTTTCCAACCCCCTTCTCTGTTGTTTGGTTTATCGCAGTCAACATTTTCATATAAAAGACACAGGTTTCTTACAGTTCAAAATTGTCACGAATATTTTTTATACTCAGAGATTAATCGCTGGTCATTGCATTTTGTTTCAATTCTTGTAGGAAACTTGATCTGAACTATTTCACCGGTCCCCTACCAGCATTCATCGGCAATATGTCTGCGTTGACAGTATTGTAAGTAGTGAAACATAGACTCCCAAGTGAGTTATACCATATGGCCAAAGAAGCACATAGTACTATACATAAAATTACTCTGTTTTTATCCTGAATTATAAACGGGTGCTAATATCTTTAATTGATATTTCCATTCAGGTCAATTGCCCACAATTCATTCTCTGGGCCCATCCCCAAGGAGCTTGGAAACCTTAAGGAGCTAACTATGCTGTAAGCAAAGACAACTGAGAAATGCTCTATTGGGACATGTTAAATATAGAACCCCCTATCATTTAATTCTATACCTCTTCAACATGACTTGTTGCAGGTCCTTTGGATCAAATAATTTCTCCGGAACACTCCCTCCAGAACTTGGTAACTTAGTCAACCTTGGGCTATTGTGAGTGCTTCATTTAACTCATCGAATTTGAATCACATGTTGCAATGTGTAATTATTTTCTCTTAAAGGAGCAGTTTTTATTTGTTAATTCATTATCGATGAGCAAGGAATGCGTTTATCGTATGAAATTGGTAGCAATCGGTTTATTATTTTCACAGTTACATGGACAGCTGTGGACTCGGTGGAGAAATTCATTTGCTAAGCTCATCAACATGAAAATCCTGTAAATTTTTTGTTTATTCAGTACTTTGAGATTTCTATTCTGGGATGAGCTTACTATGAGTCAACTTTTTGAATTTTAGCTATGCATCAGACAATCCTTCCTTAGGAAAGATACCTTCTTTCATTGGGAATTGGAGAAAACTGACTTCTTTGTAAGTATGGCAAACTTTTAACCCTCTGCAGTTTATGAAAGCAGATCTGCATGGCTGAGATGGGTCTTTTATTCACAAGCATCTCAAATTTTTTTTGTAGGAGACTTAAATTCCTTTGAACTTTCATGCATTTTTGTGCCTTCGCATTCTGTATTGTTATGTGCAGAGATTTGTCTTACAACTATTTCTCAGGAAGCTTTCCCCGATGGGTAACCACAATATCGCAACTGTATGTCTCCTTTTTATCTTTCACCTTCATTTTTATTGTCCATATCACCTTCATTGTGCATATATAATAACACATGAATGAAATTCAATAAACTAGAAGGGATGGCTTTGAAGTACTAATATGTTGACATCTTGAACACGAAATTTTCATCTTCATATGTGGTTTGATTAATGATTTTATGGAGGAATTTAGTGGTCAACAACTTCACATTTGACAGTTCAAACATAACGTGAGTTGAATCGAAATACCCTTTTTTTAGACAGATAGTTCAAACATAAAGTGATTGCTATTACACTTTTGCAGCTTAATGGATTCTTCCACTACAGTTTAATTATTATAAATAATAATTGTTCTCTGTGTTTACAGTCTTCCTGGATTGAATTGCCTCCCGAGGAATTTTCCATGCCATCGAAGTACCCCACGATGTAATCTTCTTCTATGTTTCACTAGCATTTATTTCTTTAATGCAAGATCATGTCACAGCATTAGGCGTTGCTTATCTCATTATGTATACATACTGTAGGAATGCCCTGATAAATTTATTAAGCATATCTTTTGCTATTACATCAGTTTGAAGTTTTTTCACTAATCATAGCTTGTGCTATTACATTGAATTGTACAGATGCGAACTTCTCAATCAAGTGTGGAGGACCACAAATGAGAGGAAATGATGGCATATTGTATAAGGCTGAAGACTCAGCTCTTGGCCCAGCAACATTTAATGTAACCAGTACACAGAAATGGGCTGTTAGCAATGCGGGTTTTTCTGATAATTTGAATCAATCATTTGTGGAAACCACCCTTACGCAAGTCTCCGGTGCAGATTTGACACCAGAGCTTTACAAGACTTCAAGAGTGTCCCCAGGTTCACTGAGATACTATGACCTGGGTCTTCAAAATGGACCTTATACTGTCTCATTGCAATTTGCAGAAACGGTTTTTGCTAGCCGCGATACACAAACGTCACAAAGTCCAGGAAGGCGTGTATTTGATATCGATATTCTAGTAAGGCTTCTAATAAAGAAAAAAAAAAGAAGCTATTTAAAGTAAAGGCAACCTCATTAGACAGAATTATTTAACTATCTCTTCATTTGCTTCCTAGGGGTACCTCAGAAGGAAGGACTTCGACATATCGAAGCAGGCAGGTGGGGTTAACAGAGCAGTTCCAAGACCCTTCAAGGTTAATGTGACAGAGAATTACCTGGATATTCATCTGTTCTGGGCTGGTAAGGGAATATGTTGCATACCTGAACAAGGTGATTAGAGCCCGCTAATATCGGCTGTCCACGCTGCTTCAGGTATATAATATAATGTCAAGTTATGAAGATTTCCTATGAATGGTTTAAATGTATTTATCTGCTGTCAATTGATTGACACACTGACCAATTATTCTGTTTCATTGCTCAGATCTTACACCAACTACTCCAGGAAAGAAGAGCAGGACTGGGTTGATAGTTGGTATTGCAGTCCCTGTCGGAGTAGTGATCTTGCTATTATTATTTGCAGTTTTATATATGCGGAGAAAAACATCAGAAAAAGATGACGATGAAGGTAAAAGAGCAATGAGCATATTATTAAGGGTTAATACTGCATGCGGTTCTAGGTTCTTTCTAATGTTGATAAGCATATTTGAGAGAAAATACTTCCGATGTGTTGTTTCGAAATTTAAACCTATGTCATACTCTCTTTTGAATATGCAGATCTTCTAGGATTAGGTCCCCGGCCAAATACTTTCAGTTCTGCTGAGTTGAGTGCTTTAACCGAAGATTTTAATCCTTCAAATAAGCTAGGAGAGGGGAGGATATGGACCTGTTTATAAGGTGAAATCTATTTTATATCAATATCTGCTACTTTAAGTAATGACTTTGACTTCTTACAAAAAGAAATTGAGAGAGAAGCAAAATAGATTCTTTCTACTTCCCTTTCATGCCACTGAATTGTATTTCTGTTTATAGGGTACGCTTTCTGATGGGAGGGTAGTGGCTGTGAAGCAACTTTCAGTAGCATCTCACCAAGGGAAGAGTCAATTTGTTACTGAGATTGCTATGATATCTGCAGTCCAACATCGCAATCTAGTGAAATTGTATGGATGCTGCATTGAAGGAAGCCACCGCATTTTGGTTTATGTGTATCTTGAAAACAAGAGCCTTGATCAGGCACTTTTTGTTAGGTTTTATAGAAACAGAATACTCTGCAGTATCAAGGACTCTAAAAGTTCATCCAAGTTTTTTACGAAACCATTTTGTTATAATTTTTCTCTGCTGAGGAGTGAAGATTAAAGAAACCAAAAGAGTAATATTCGAGTCATGTGAAATAAAAAACCTGCACATTCTTTCGCTACTTTACCTTCCATTTTGCATAAAAACAGAATCCTCTGCAGTTTAAAGTACTCTAAGGTTACATCCAATTTCTTTTTCTTTTTCTCTTCTACTTGTTATTAGTTGTTAACATTCATTGGTTGTTTTCCATGTAATGTTTCAGGAAGAAATGACTTGCACCTTTACTGCCCGACCCGCTTCAATATATTGTTGGGAACAGCCAGAGGACTTGCTTACCTTCATGAGGAGTCAACGCCCAGAATTATACATCGAGATGTCAAAGCAAGTAATATTTTGCTAGATGCAGAACCCTCCCCAAAAATATCAGATTTTGGATGGGCAAAGCTTTATGATAACGAGAAAACACACATGAGCACCCGGGTTGCAGGCACAATGTAAGCCCTCTTTTAAGTTATACATTGTTAATAATGACTAGGGAGGGTGTAATCCAAGCAACATTTTTAGTAAGCATTTGGCGCCGGAATTTGGTTTATGGCAATTTGGATGAAATTGCCTCAAATCTAATGAGTATAGCCGCAATATATATAGACAAGAAATTTTATACAACCGTATATTTAACATGTATACAAAATAAAATAAAAATAAACTCAAGTAGAAGGCGTGATGATGTGTGAAGTCAAGATTTGTAGCATCTTTAAAAGAAATTTTTCTATGCGAACATAACGCCATCATATGGTGTTATTAATGCACCTATTACAATGTAAGCAAACGATAAGTGCATAATTTAGTTTGGAGAGGCTTACTAAAAAACAACCCTCATTTTTACGGGAAATGTTGACAAATCATTGTATAATTAGTAGATACTATCCTAATTGATTACTGTATCTATTTCCTTGTAAAGTACTTATGTAAACTCTTACCCTCCGTTTGGATGAAGGAATTGAAAATTACATAGAATTCTAAAATGACGGAATTTAGATTTTCATCATTTCGATTTCTGACAATTGAAGATTTCAGTGTTTTGAGTTATGTATGTTAAATTTTGTAAATGACAGAATTTTGTAAATGGCACTATGGAAATTGAGAAATGACGCCTATATTTATGGAAATTAAACTCAGGAATTTGATACACCAATTTCCACAATTTTTTCCACGCGTCATTTAATAAATTCCGTGTTGAAGTTGCCAAACAAGGGAATTGTCAATTTCTCCTATTAAATTCCCGACTTTTAGTTAAATTCTGAGTCATTTTTCCTCATCCAAACGGAAGATTATATATACCATATTCATATTTTAACAGGAAACTCATGTTCTCTTCCAATTTAATTAAGATTTATTTATTTTTTTTCAAATGCGAGTTAAGCCAAATCCACGTGGACCTCTATGAATCTAGAAGATCAGTTAAGAAATGCTTTGCCCGCTAGTTTTTCTTACTTTTGGCTAGATTGGGCTTTTGTACCTACCTTGAATGATGATGATCCATTAAGTTGGGCTTGGAACACCTAAGTTAGGGGTGGGCCTTTAAACCTGTAAATTGGTGAATTGAACCCAGCTGGAAAAACTGCAAAAATCGATTTTGGCTTGGATCGTTTTAGTTCTTGATTTTTGTCATTTCTAATTTCTTTTGGGAGAGAGAATATTTCGGAGAGAGTAGGTAAGCTTTACAGATCAAATTGTGATATAAAATAGTAGCGCAGTAGCCCTTGTTTACCAATTCAAACCACAACTTTTCATGGAGAGGACTTTCATGATCTGACATACCCTTCAGAAAAGTGCAATGAAACGAGCATCATTGAGAAGGGTTGGAATTGTAAACTAATCTGGAAGTCCCCTTATATATAATTGATAAATTATAGACCTCAATAGTAGAAACTGATATGCGTCCAACACAATTGTTAAATGCATATCGTCTCTTCATTATACTATATATATTTGATAAATTATGTGCATATCTACTTAAAGAATTAAACTATAAATATAAATTAAAAAATAAATTTGAATATAGGTACAACACAATTGTTAAGTATAAATTTAATTTGTGTACAAAAGTGTAAAATTGGTATGAAAAGATGTTTGATCAGAATGAATCCTCATTGATCATTGATATATGTTTATATAATACATTCTGTAGGCTTCTCCTACAAGTAAGCTAACTAGCTAGGAAAGAGTATATACAGGAAATCAAATAATATAACATTTCTATTCTATTATACAATCCCTAAACTAAAGGATAATCTTTGATTCTCAACACTCCCCCTCAAGTTGGAGAGTGGATGTCAAGAACTCCCAACTTGCGTGACATACGAGCGAAATCATCTTTGCCCAATGCTTTGGTGAAGATGTCTGCTACTTGTTGGGAAGAAGAAACATGCTTTGTAGTTACAGAACCATGTTGGATTTTATCTCTGATAAAATGACAATCCATTTCAATGTGTCGTGTTCGCTCATGGAAAACATGATTTGTTGCTATATGTAACGCAGCTTGGTTGTCGCAATGAAGTATCGTTGCCTTCCGATGTGGCAACTGAAGATCTCGTAACAAACTACGCAACCAGGTCAGTTCACAACAAGTACCAGTCATAACTCTGTATTCTGCTTCTGCTGAAGAAAGTGAAACAGTTTTTTGTCTCTTTGATCTCCAAGAAATCAAGGAGTTTCCAAGAAAAACACAATATCCAGTGGTAGATCTTCTGGTGGTTGGACAACCTCCCCAGTTAGAATCACAATAAGCTCGCAATCTCAAGTCATTTTGAGCTGGAAAAAATAAACCTTGTCCTGGAGTGTTTTTGAGGTACTTCAAAATGCGCAACGCCACCTCCATATGAGGTTTACGTGGCTCATGCATAAATCTACTGAGCACATGCACTGCATGCATATGTAATGTCTGGTCTTGTGATGGTCAAGTAAATCAAACGACCCACTAACCTTCTGTACTTGGCTGGATCTTTAAGCAATTCACATGTGTTAGATAATTTCAAATTTTGTTCCCTGGGAAATAAGACAGGTCGTACCCCAAGAAAACCACTATCTTTAGGGATGTCAATAGTGTATTTCCTCTGAGAGATGCTAATGCCTTTCTTTGAACGTGAAACTTCAATACCCAAAAAGAATTTAAGGTCACCGAGATCCTTAATGCGGAAGCGGGTATGAAGAAAACGTTTAAGAGAATTAATGGCACCCAAGTTATTTCCTGTGATCAATATATCGTCAACATAAATCAAGAGAGCAATGAATGACTTTCCTCTTTGCACGTGAATAAGGAATAGTCTGCTTTGGACTGAGTAAAACCAGCAGCTTGAATAGCTTCAGAAAATTTTGCAAACCACAAACGAGAAGCTTGCTTTAGGCCATATAAAGACTTGTGGAGGCGACATACCAAATTCTCCCCCTGTCGCTGAAGACCAGGCGGTGGTGTCATATAAATTTCTTCATGGATATTCCCATGAAGGAAGACATTATGGACATCGAGTTGATGAAGGGGCCAAGAGGAAGCAGCGACAAGTGCAAGAAGGTTGCGAATAGTAACCAACTTGGCTATAGGAGAAAAAGTATCATGAAAATCAACACCTTTTGTCTGTGTATAACCCTTGGCGACTAACTGAGCTTTGTACTGTTCAATAGAGCCATCAGAGTTATGTTTGATCTTGTAGACCCACCGACAACCAATAGGGTGCTTACCAGGAGGAAGAGGAGTAAGAGTCCATGTATGATTGGACTCTAAAGCTTGAAGTTCAGAGCTCATGGCTTGTTGCCAGTTAGGATCAGAATTGGCCTCAGAGAAGGAACGTGGCTCCACACTGTGACTGAGGTGAGTAATGAAAGCAAGATTTGCTGGTGTATATCGGTGATAAGAAATAAAGTTGCTCAAGGGATAACGAGTACCTGAGGTGCGATGTGAAGACGAAGACTCCGATTGGGCATCTTTGGGTAGCGTGACCTGAGAGCAAACATAGTCTTGGAGGCGCACATTCGGAACCTTGTGACGTTCAGACCGGCGAGTGGGTTGAACGGGTGGTGCTGGTGAAGGCGGTGCAGTAGGCGGAATAGAGGATTGGATTGCAAGAGGATCTGGTGCTGGAAGAGGAAGATCTTCATAATGAGGCTGAGAAAGAGTAGGACTCATTGGACGAATAGACAAAGTGTGCTTCGTGGGCTCAGGAGCTAGATTGGAATTTTGTGGTGGAGATGAGTCATGGGCTGAAATGGGTAAAGGAAGGCTAGTGTTTGGGATGGTGGTGGGACCGGCAATTGGAGTAGAAAAAGGGAAGACATCTTCTTTAAATAAAACATCACGGCTAGTGAATATTTTTTGAGTGGACAAATCATAGAGTTTATATGGCTTTTGGCCAACTGGGTACCCAATAAAAATGGATTTAACTGCTTAAGAATCAAACTTTTTGGTAGGGTGGACTATAGTAGCATATGCAAGGCAACCAAATACTCTTAAATGTGAATATGATGGGGTTTTTTTGACATAAACGTTCAAAAGGGGTTTGTTTGGAAAGAACTAAAGTGGGAAATTGATTAATCAAATGAACGGCAGTGAGAATGCATTCCTCCCAAAAACGGAGAGGCAAGTGTGCTTGAAATTGCAAAGCACGTGCGGTCTCAAGAATATGGCGATGCTTACGTTCGACAACACCATTTTGTTGGGGTGTGTAGATGCAAGAATGTTGATAAATGGTGCCTTGTTCTTTAAAAAAATCTCGCAATGAAGAAAATTCACCCCCATTGTCTACCCTAATTGCTTGGATTGTAGCAGTGAATTGGGTCTGAACCATGGAAAAAAAGGACTTTAGAAGCCCTTGTGTTTCATACTTATGATGCATAACGAGCCCCAGAAAGGGAAGGAACTTTGTGAGGTCCCCACATATCACAATGAATAAGGGAAAAAGGTCTTGAAGTTGAAATTGAACTAATGCCAAAAGGAAGGCGAGTTTGTTTAGAAAAATGGCAAGCATCGCAAACATTATGGAAAGAAAATGAACAATTCAAATGTTTTGCTAAAAATTGTAAACGAGAGGATGAAATATGCCCTAAACGGTGATGCCATAAATCTCCAGGAGTTGTAACCAGGTGACAGGAAGGTCGGGTAGTGGATGGTGTTCTGTCAAACGCCAACGCCACAAGGTAGTAAACGCCACAAGGTGTTCTGTCAAAAAAATAAAAAAAATCTAGTATAGCCGGACGGCTATACTATTTTAAAAAAGGTAAAATCGTATAGGCGCCCACGTGTGAATATAAGTATAGATGCGTGGCGGTAATATATTGAAAACAATAAAAAGAGCCGGGTATAGCCGCGCGGCTATACTATATATAAAAAAGGACCCGCTTAGAGCTAGGCGCCATGTGTCAACAGTGAAGCCGACCGCCTATACTAATTCTTTAAAAAATTATAAAAATCGAGTATAGCCGCGCGGCGGTACTATTTGTAAAGTGCTGTCTTTGATTTGGATTTGTATATGATTGTTGCTTCAATTTTTTATTTTTGGAATTTTGTCATGGAAGGAATGATGCTTGTGGTTTGTAGGTTGTTGGGTACCTTAACAGCGAGCAGGAGGCAATGATTTGGGAAGCAAAGAACAAGGACTATGATAAGGTAATGCCTTTGGAAATCCGTAAATTTTATCATATGTGTGTTCACAAGGATTCGGTGCAATGCTAGGGGCTTTCTTATTTTCTGTTTGTTGCATGGTTTCTTTTGAGTCTTTAGATTGAAGATCATTGAGATTATGTAGTTAATCATGATTATCAGTCGCTGCATTATTTGCCTCTTCATTCTCCTTAGCTCTGTGATTGTGCGGGAATTCTTCACTTTTAAAACTGACCTCTTTTCTTGTATTTGAGTTTATGTTTGCTGCATGTCATATGTGCGTTGTGATATGAAGCATAGGCTTGGAAGTCTCATCCAGCTTAGAGTTCTTGCCTAGTTCTGAGCTGTTATTGGAGTCACACACTGCAAAACTGTGTTGAAAGTTTTCACTTCAATCTTATTATTTCCATTTGACTTATTTTTTGTTCTTTCGACTATCTGTGTATGTTTTACTACAGAGAGAGAAAATGGAATGGGAAAGTCAATAAAAAATTAATTACAATATATCATTATGTTAAAAATATATATAAAAAATTAGTTTGTGTAATTTTAGCCATTCATTGTACTCTAATCTGATAGTTGAAAACTTGTGTCAAATAAATGAAGGATAATTCTCCGATAAAAGAATATTTTTGTTAAAAAGATCGATTCTATGATAACGTTAGTAGGGCTTAGTTTCCACATCATCAAACTGCTCGGCCATTCATCATCCTTGACAATTTGACATTTTGCCGTCCAAAATATCCAATAAACCCTAAATCAAAGATATTGGAATATTTTAAAGGTATAGCCGAGTGGCTATACTCTTGGAATATATTCCAGACGAACACCAAGCTTGCACTTGGAGAGTACGGATCTTGCACTCGCAGTCAAGCCATTTCGCTTTTCTTTGGTTTCGGCTGCTTCGTCCTTCGGTTTCGGCAACGAAAAAAGACCCAACACGCCTAGGAGCCCATCTAGCTACCTTCTAGCCGCCTAGCCGCCTAGCGCCCGCCTAGCTACCGCCTAGCCGCCTAGCGACCGCCTAGCCGCCTCGCGCCCGCCTAGCAACCGCCTAGCCGCCTTGCGCCTTCCTAGCGACAGCCTAGCCGCCTCGAGCCCGCCTAGCGACCGCCTAGCCACCTAGCCGCCCGCCTAGGCCGATATTTCGAACACTGCGATTGACTGAAGGTCTGAAACAACAATGGCCTCTTTCAGCGTCCTTTGGCTTCTTTTGCTGTCTATGCTTTCTCAGCTGCTTCTGGTTTCATGTGTCCATGGCTCAAAATGCTACTACCGATCCATCTGAAGGTACTAGCCATCTTTCAGGTATAGCATAAATACGTTATGTGATGTGTACGCAATGATTGAATTGAGAATGCAGTGACGACGTTGATCTCAATATTCAAGTAATGGGACATGCAAGCCCTGCCTATCAGTGGAGGAGAGCAATGCATTGGATTTGCCATCAATGGAAGCGAGTTTGAAAAGCCAGAGAATAATCCAGCCATCACTTGTGACTCTACTTGTGACAAAAATACTACCTGCCACATCACCAAACTGTATGTTATTACCCTCCTCTCTCTCTCTCTCTCTCTCTCTCTCTCTCTCTCTCTCTCTCTCTCTCTCTTTTTGTTGACTGTAGCAAATCAATTAATTATCAAGTTTAGAAAACTAAGCAGAACATGCCTGATATATCAATTGTAATATTAAGTGCCTAACTGCTCAATCTTTTTTCTTTCCAGTCGAGTTCATGCTCTGAACAAACGAGGGGTGTTTCCAAAAGAATTTGAGGCTTTAAGATATCTGGCCGTTTTGTATGAAGTTTTTCCAACCCCCTTCTCTGTTGTTTGGTTTATCGCAGTTAACATTTTCATATAAAAGACACAGGTTTCTTACCGTTCAAAATTGTCACGAATAGTTTTTATACTCAGAGATTAGTAGCTCTGGTCATTGCATTTTGTTTCAATTCTTGTAGGAAACTTGATCTGAACTATTTCACTGGTCCCCTACCAGCATTCATTGGCAATATGTCTGCGTTGACAGTATTGTAAGTAGTGAAACATAGACTCCCAAGTGAGTTATACCATATGGCCAAATTTCCCCTTTTCTGTACTTATGCCATTGAATTTCCTGCTCAGAAACTTAGTCGTTCATCTGACCTTTTTCTTGTTTCTTTGTTTGTTTGTTTTTTTGTTTTTTTTTTTCTGGGGGCCTCCTATAATTGATATGGCCAGATTTCTTGGAAACAATAGTCTGTCTGGACCTCTTCCAAGCCAAAAGAGCAATCAACTTCAGAGTATGTAAGTCCTAATGTCATAAAAGTATACTATATGTACTGGCAATGAAACCAGTTCTCTTTGTGTTGTGCACACATTCCGGCAGCCTTTTTCTTACTTAAATTCCTTTGAACTTTCATGCATTTTTGTGCCTTCTCATTCTGTATTGTTATGTGCAGAGATTTGTCTTTACAACTATTTCTCAGGAAGCTTTCCCCGATGGGTAACCACAATATCGCAACTGTATGTCTCCTTTTTATCTTTCACCTTCATTTTTATGGTCCATATCACCTTCATTGTGCATATATAATAACACATGAATGAAATTCAATAAACTAGAAGGGATGGCTTTGAAGTACTAATATGTTGACATCTTGAACACGAAATTTTCATCTTCATATGTGGTTTGATTAATGATTTTATGGAGGAATTTAGTGGTCAACAACTTCACATTTGACAGTTCAAACATAACGTGAGTTGAATCGAAATACCCTTTTTTTAGACAGATAGTTCAAACATAAAGTGATTGCTATTACACTTTTGCAGCTTAATGGATTCTTCCACTACAGTTTAATTATTATAAATAATAATTGTTCTCTGTGTTTACAGTCTTCCTGGATTGAATTGCCTCCCGAGGAATTTTCCATGCCATCAAGGTACCCCACGATGTAATCTTCTTCTCTGTTTCACTAGCATTTATTTCTTTAATGCAAGATCATGTTACAGCATTAGGCGTTGCTTATCTCATTATGTATACATACTGTAGGAATGCCTTGATAAATTTATTAAGCATATCTTTTGCTATTACATCAGTTTGAAGTTTTTTCACTAATCATAGCTTGTGCTATTACATTGAATTGTACAGATGCAAACTTCTCAATCAAGTGTGGAGGACCACAAATGAGAGGAAATGATGGCATATTGTATAAGGCTGAAGACTCAGCTCTTGGCCCAGCAACATTTAATGTAACCAGTACACAGAAATGGGCTGTTAGCAATGCGGGTTTTTCTGATAATTTGAATCAATCATTTGTGGAAACCACCCTTACGCAAGTCTCCGGTGCAGATTTGACACCAGAGCTTTACAAGACTTCAAGAGTGTCCCCAGGTTCACTGAGATACTATGACCTGGGTCTTCAAAATGGACCTTATACTGTCTCATTGCAATTTGCAGAAACGGTTTTTGCTAGCCGCGATACACAAACGTCACAAAGTCCAGGAAGGCGTGTATTTGATATCGATATTCTAGTAAGGCTTCTAATAAAGAAAAAAAAAGAAGCTATTTAAAGTAAAGGCAACCTCATTAGACAGAATTATTTAACTATCTCTTCATTTGCTTCCTAGGGGTACCTCAGAAGGAAGGACTTCGACATATCGAAGCAGGCAGGTGGGGTTAACAGAGCAGTTCCAAGACCCTTCAAGGTTAATGTGACAGAGAATTACCTGGATATTCATCTGTTCTGGGCTGGTAAGGGAATATGTTGCATACCTGAACAAGGTGATTAGAGCCTGCTAATATCGGCTGTCCACGCTGCTTCAGGTATATAATATAATGTCAAGTTATGAAGATTTCCTATGAATGGTTTAAATGTATTTATCTGCTGTCAATTGATTGACACACTGAACAATTATTCTGTTTCATTGCTCAGATCTTACACCAACTACTCCAGGAAAGAAGAGCAGGACTGGGTTGATAGTTGGTATTGCAGTCCCTGTCGGAGTAGTGATCTTGCTATTATTATTTGCGGAGAAAAACATCAGAAAAAGATGACGATGAAGGTAAAAGAGAAATGAGCATATTATTAAGGATTAATTCTGCATGCGGTTCTAGGTTCTTTCTAGTGTTGATAAGCATATTTGAGAGAAAATACTTCCGATGTGTTGTTTTGAAATTTAAACCTATGTCATACTCTCTTTTGAATATGCAGATCTTCTAGGATTAGGTCCCCGACCAAATACTTTCAGCTATGCTGAGTTGAGCGCTGCAACAGAAGATTTTAATCCTTCAAATAGGCTAGGAGAGGGAGGATATTGACCTGTTTATAAGGTGAAATCTATTTTACATCAATATCTGCTACTTCAAAGTAATGACTTTGACTTCTTACAAAAAGAAATTGAGAGAGAATCAAAATAGATTCTTTCTACTTCCCTTTCATGTCACTGAATTGTATTTCTGTTTATAGGGTACACTTTCTGATGGGTGGGTAGTGGCTGTTAAGCAACTTTCAGTAGCATCTCACCAAGGGAAGAGTCAATTTGTTACCGAGATTGCTACAATATCTGCAGTCCAACATCGCAATCTAGTGAAATTGTATGGATGCTGCTTTGAAGGAAGCCACCGCATTTTGGTTTATGAGTATCTTGAAAACAAGAGCCTTGATCATGCACTTTTTGGTAGGTTTTATAGAAACAGAATACTCTGCAGTATCAAGGACTCTAAAAGTTCATCCATGTTTTTTACACAACCATTTTGTTATAATTTTTCTCTGCTGAGGAATGAAGATTAAAGAAACCAAAAGAGTAATATTCGAGTCATATGAAATAAAAAACCTGCACATTCTTTTGCTACTTTGCCTTCTATTTTGCATAAAAACAGAATACTCTGCAGTTTAAAGTACTCTAAGGTTACATCCAATTTCTTTTTCTTTTTCTCTTCTGCTTGTTATTAGTTGTTAACATTCATTGGTTGTTTTCCATGTAATGTTTCAGGAAGAAATGACTTGCACCTTAACTGGCCTACCCGCTTCAATATATTGTTGGGAACAGCAAGAGGACTTGCTTACCTTCATGAGGAGTCAATGCCCAGAATTATACATCGAGATGTCAAAGCAAGTAATATTTTGCTAGATGCAGAACTCTCCCCAAAAATATCAGATTTTGGATGGGCAAAGCTTTATGATGACGAGAAAACACACATGAGCATCCGCGTTGCAGGCACAATGTAAGCCCTCGTTTAAGTTATACATTGTTAATCATGACTAGGGAGGGTGTAATCCAAGCAACATTTTTAGTAAGCATTTGATAATCTTGTAGAGGCTATTTGACGCCGGATTATGCAATGCGCGGACATCTGACAGAAAAGGCTGATGTTTTTGGTTTCAAGGTTGTTGCTTTGGAGATCCTCAGCGGGAGACCAAATTCTGACGAGAACTTGGATCCTGAGAAGATTTATCTTCTTGAATGGGTAGGAAAACCTAGCCTGGCTACTTTTATTTTAGCATTGTTGTGAAAAGTTCTTTATTTTTTCCCTTTTGACCATGCCATGATGTTTGTTTTCAGGCATGGACTCTACATGAAAAGGACCAGAGTCTGGGGCCGGTGGATCCGAGATTGACAGAGTTTGATGAAAATGACGCAACTAGATTGATAAAAGCAGCTCTCCTCTGCACTCTGGCTTCACCAATGATGAGGCCATCGATGTCACGTGTGGTGGCAGTGATTTCTGTAGATATCGAAGCAAGCACTGTTATGTCAAAGCCAAGTTATTTGACAGATTGGGATTTCAAAGATGTAACCACAAGTAGCTTTTTGGTGGATGATGATACCTCATCAACTGAGAGCATTGTTGTCCACAAGTAGAATTAGATGAACTAATGCTTGGATGCTTGGATGAAATGCTTAAAGGCTTTTATAATACAAAAAATCCAACGTTAACTTACCTAGAGCAGTGGAATTTCTGACCAAAAAACAACCTAGACCAGTGAAATGGGGCTAGCTTTCCTATATTTGTTTAAAAATCAGACATGAGGCGCATGTGTAACCTAATTTGAGGGCAATTTGGTCCTTCTAACCTTTTCCCTGTCGAAACCCATCATCCCCCTTTCCCTGAAAACTTGAAAAGCAAACTAGAAAAAGAAAATGAAGTTTGCAGCCCACCTCGAGAAAATATGCAGAGAAATCAAGTTCCCCATTCGGTAAGTCTATCTATACCAAAATACTAACTATTTGTGATTTGTGATTATTTTGCATATCAAAACCAGCTATGCTTGGTTGCATATCAAAACCAGCTATGCTTGGTTGCATGTCAAAACCGGCTATGCTTGTTTTTGCTTTATGAAAAATGTAAAACACCCTTCTCAGTAATACCAAATTTTTGTTTTAAAATCTAATAATGTTTGGAACTACAACTTTCTCGGCAGCCAAATAGATCCTTAACTTTATTTCGATGCTAATTGTGAAAAGTTTTGTTCTTGGTTTATGGCAATTTGGACCCGCATAGCGCTAGGCACCATCTGTCAAAACAGTATCTATACTACTATATAAAAAAATTATAAAAACCGAGTATAGCCGCGCGGCTGTACGAGTTTTTTTATTTAAATTTAAATTTTTAACAAAAAGCCGATGTTATATTGCTCTTGCTTTTCTTGAGTTTGAATCATGGTTACACATTTTTCTCAAGTTGATTAATAGAAAGTAGATGCTCAAATTACTCAATGATGATTTGAATTTAATCTACGTATCAATGCTCTTGGAATTTCCTTTCATGGTTATTGTGAAAAGTTTTCTTCTTGGTTCATCATGACAATCGACCACATTTTCTATGTTTTAAAATAAAGGGTAAAAATTAATGAAAGATAAAAGCAGTGATCCTGGTCTAGACTTATCTGTAAAGTGCTGTCTTTGATTTGGATTTGTATATGATTGTTGCTTCAATTTTTTATTTTTGGAATTTTGTCATGGAAGGCATGATGCTTGTGGTTTGTAGGTTGTTGGGTACCTTAACAGCAAGCTAGGGGCTTTCTTATTTTCTGTTTGTTGCATGGTTTCTTTTTATTTGTTGTCTATATTTTTGGCTTTAGAGTCTTTAGATTGAAAATCATTGAGATTATGTAGTTAAAATGATTATCAGTCCCTGCATTATTTGCCTCTTCATTCTCCTTAGCTCTGTGATTGTGCGGGAATTCTTCACTTTTGAAACTGACCTCTTTTCTTGTATTTGAGTTTATGTTTGCTGCATGTCATACGTGCGTTGTGATCTGAAGCATAGGCTTGGAAGTCTCACACTGCAAAACTGCGTTGAAAGTTTTCACTTCAATCTTATTATTTGCATTTGACTTATTTTTTGTTCTTTCGACTATCTGTGTATGTTTTACTGCCAGCGTTGAGTCTTATGTATTGATCTCTATATGCAACTTTAAATTTGGCAGGGAAAGAGTAGAAAACGAGCCAGAATGGCCAACAAAGCTGCTCCTGCTAAAAAGCCAGAAAAGGCTGTCTAAGTTTCTACTGTGATGGATACTAAGAATGTAAGTTAATAAACTGGTTTACGGTATTTTTGGTGCTTAAATTTTCCTGCAATGTTGATTGTCCTACTTATAATTTGTTTAACAAATACTAATGTGACATTTCGTTCTTGCAGAGGCTGAGTTCAAAAATTAACTATGATGCTTCGGATAAATTAAATGAAGAGCTTGTAAGCATCTTTTATATGTTTTATTTTAGAATCAATTTTGCTTTATTCATGCTTCGCAAATCCCATATTATGTTCTGTCAACATCCAAGGTCTCGTTAACTGATGCACAGACTACAAGCGACTAAAAGCGAATCAAATCTAATGGCATACGTTTAATTTCGATTGTCAAATGATGTTATTTGTTCAATATATTTTTTGTTTTCTTAATGTCTGGTTAGTGTGCAGACAACAAATTCCTTGTTTAATGGAATAAAGGTATATACAAGTATCACGAACCATGGCAAGATAGAACTTAATGCATAAAAGAATGGTCAATTGTGCAGGTTGTTTACTTATTGGGCAATTAACGGGAGACATCAAAAAATAGGAAAATCTTTCATCTTTTTACATGGTTAATAGTTTTTTTTGCCATGCAATGTAATTCCTAGGTAGAAATCCTGGTGGGTTTTAGAGAATAGAGGTGTCTTTCTAAGAGTAATTGCTAGAACCTTTTCTATTTTTTTTCCCCATGTGTAAAATCAGGGTTATGCACCTGCATTCGAAAAAGGCACAAAGTCTAATTGTGGCAGTCATGGTGATTTGCAACTGTAAACTGAGAAGAACAGTTTTGAAGGCAGCCATGATGATGATTTTGAGCATGAAAGTAATGGATACAGTGAAGAGGCTGAAGCCAGACAAGGCCATGATGATGATACATATGTTGCAAATGACGAATATAATGGATCTATGATGACGAATAAAATTAGATGAGGAATGCGATTTTGATGAATTACTCAAATAGTCAATTCTTTTTTCATGATTCAGTTGTATCATGTTACGATCAAAGGGTTAAGCAATTAAAACTTCTGGTTTTTTTTAATAACTTTTTTGAATTGGTATCAGCCTGAGGAGCGATGCAATTAAGCATTGCTTGCATGTCAAATTATGTGAACTATAATCATGAGCACAAATTTGTAAATTGAAACACTAGTACTGAATGGTTGGTTCCAAGCCGTTCACACTTTATTTAGTGTAGAGAGAAGCACCAGTTTGACAACAATATTTCCCCCCAACATTGACAACACCAAAAGACTCCACCATGCATGAAATTGCCTCCCTTCAGTAAACGAGGGGGTACTTTGAAGGAGCAAAGAGTACGACCGGGTTCAAGGAGATCAACTTTAATGTCTTCCATGATAAGGGACTCAAAGAACTTGTCTGGCGGCCCATCCATTGTCATTGCCATTTCACCTTATTTCTCCAAGAACTTCTTACTTGTTTCCTCATTTCTCCAGAAGCCCTAGCCATCAGAGAAACAACAGATAAAAGAGTCACATTCAACATCAAGGGTCCTAATACCCTTAGCCCAAGCCATTTGCAAACCTCTAAGGAGACTCCATAACTCAGCCTATGAAGGAAACATGCAGTTTAATTTAAACTCATGGATTTTAAGCTACAACATACATGAATCAAACATTCAAAGAGGCGGAAGCGACTTTTATATCTTATTAAGCCTAATGCTACCAAATTCCAAGTATCTTTCTAGGTCTAATCTCACTTATGCACAAAAGAAAAGGGAGGAAAGGATGTGACTTTCTTATCCTTGAAGCTCTCTTTGATGGTCTTCGAGTTTTCACCTTTGTAAAGACCTTCTTCCTTGTTGCTTGCTTCATAGAGTCTTCACAAGGTACCAAAGTAGATACCCTCTAGTTCATACACACAAAAGTAGTGTAAGAGATGAAGAAGATGACCAAGAGGAGGTAAGGTGCTAGCCCTCTCCTCTTGGTGGCCCATTCTAGCATGGTAGAGTGGAGATTTCTCTCCTCTCAAACCCGCTCCAAAGTTGGATTCTTCAAACCCTAGAAAGAAAACGGTCTAAGTGTGGCTTAAATAAGCCAATACAAAAGATGAAGCAAAACCCCATCCTTGTATTTTAGCCATAGTGTTTCTTGGGCTCATTTAACTTATGTTGTCATACAACACATGTTCTCTTGGGCTCGTTTAATTCCAATTTTTTTTAGATCTTGAAAATAGTTTGGAGTTCAATACTAAACAAGTTTATGATCTTAAAATCACTCTTTGAAAACTCATGTTTTTAACAAGAATCATAGTTTTTGAACTTACTTTTTTAAAGTAGGATACCAAAACAGGGCTTAAAGCTCCCAAAATATTAAGGCTTATTTTATGATATGCCCCCTCAAAGTGTATTTGAGTCTCACTTTGCCCCTTGAAACTCATTTTGTCTCACTTTACTCCTTTTTTCACACATATTTGTTTAGATTCCGGTGAGGCCAACAATTTCCCGTCAAAATATTAATTAAAAATTAAAAACTCAATTAATATACATTATGTTTTAAATAATCACAGGCTAGGAGACAAAGAGATTATGGGCTCATATTTTTTGGAGTAGGATTAGGTTATAAAATTTGTACTATGTTTAGTATTTTAAAAATTTTACACGGTACTAGAGCCCAGCCTAGCCTGTACATGGATCCGTTCTTATTCAGGGGGCAAAGTGTGACTCAAATACATTTTCTGGGGGTATATATAAAAAATAAAAAAAGCCAAATATTAGTACAGAGAGAGAAAATGGAATGGGAAAGTCAATAAAAAATTAATTACAATATATCATTATGTTAAAAAAATATATAAAAAATTAGTTTGTGTAATTTTAGCCATTCATTGTACTCTAATTTGATGGTTGAAAACTAATAAAAGAAGGATAATTATCCGATAAAAGAATATTTTTGTTAAAAAGATCGATTCTATGATGACGTTAGTAGGGCTTAGTTTCCACATCATCAAACTGCTCGGCCATTCATCATCCTTGACAATTTGACATTTTGTCGTCCAAAATATCCAAGAAACCCTAAATCAAAGACATTGGAATATTTTAAAGGTATAGCCGAGTGGCTATACTCTTGGAATATATTCCAGACGAACACCAAGCTTGCACTTGGGAGAGTACGGATCTTGCACTCGCAGTCAAGCCATTTCGCTTTTCTTTGGTTTCGGCTGCTTCGTCCTTCGGTTTCGGCAACGAAAAAGGACCCAACCCGCCTAGGAGCCCATCTAGCTACCTTCTAGCCGCCTAGCCGCCTAGCGCCCGCCTAGCTACCGCCTAGCCGCCTAGCGACCGCCTAGCCGCCTCGCGCCCGCCTAGCCACCGCCTAGCCGCCTCGCGCCTTCCTTGCGACAGCCTAGTAGCTTCGAGCCCGCCTAGCGACCGCCTAGCCACCTAGCCACCTAGCCGCCCGCCTAGGCCGATATTTCGAACACTGCGATTGACTGAAAGTCTGGAACAACAATGGCCTCTTTCAGCGTCCTTTGGCTTCTTTTGCAGTCTATGCTTTCTCAGCTGCTTCTGGTTTCATGTGTCCATGGCATAAATACGTTATGTGATGTGTACGCAATGATTGAATTGAGAATGCAGTGACGACGTTGATCTCAATATTCAAACAATGGGACATGCAAGCCCTGCCTATCAGTGGAGGAGAGCAATGCATTGGATTTGCCATCAATGGAAGCGAGTTTGAAAAGCCAGAGAATAATCCAGCCATCACTTGTTCCTTTCCAGTCGAGTTCATGCTCTGAACAAACGAGGGGTGTTTCCAAAAGAATTTGAGGCTTTAAGATATCTGGCCGTTTTGTATGAAGGTTTTCCAACCCCCTTCTCTGTTGTTTGGTTTATCGCAGTCAACATTTTCATATAAAAGACACAGGTTTCTTACAGTTCAAAATTGTCACGAATATTTTTTATACTCAGAGATTAATCGCTGGTCATTGCATTTTGTTTCAATTCTTGTAGGAAACTTGATCTGAACTATTTCACCGGTCCCCTACCAGCATTCATCGGCAATATGTCTGCGTTGACAGTATTGTAAGTAGTGAAACATAGACTCCCAAGTGAGTTATACCATATGGCCAAAGAAGCACATAGTACTATACATAAAATTACTCTGTTTTTATCCTGAATTATAAACGGGTGCTAATATCTTTAATTGATATTTCCATTCAGGTCAATTGCCCACAATTCATTCTCTGGGCCCATCCCCAAGGAGCTTGGAAACCTTAAGGAGCTAACTATGCTGTAAGCAAAGACAACTGAGAAATGCTCTATTGGGACATGTTAAATATAGAACCCCCTATCATTTAATTCTATACCTCTTCAACATGACTTGTTGCAGGTCCTTTGGATCAAATAATTTCTCCGGAACACTCCCTCCAGAACTTGGTAACTTAGTCAACCTTGGGCTATTGTGAGTGCTTCATTTAACTCATCGAATTTGAATCACATGTTGCAATGTGTAATTATTTTCTCTTAAAGGAGCAGTTTTTATTTGTTAATTCATTATCGATGAGCAAGGAATGCGTTTATCGTATGAAATTGGTAGCAATCGGTTTATTATTTTCACAGTTACATGGACAGCTGTGGACTCGGTGGAGAAATTCATTTGCTAAGCTCATCAACATGAAAATCCTGTAAATTTTTTGTTTATTCAGTACTTTGAGATTTCTATTCTGGGATGAGCTTACTATGAGTCAACTTTTTGAATTTTAGCTATGCATCAGACAATCCTTAGGAGAGATACCTTCTTTCATTGGGAATTGGAGAAAACTGACTTCTTTGTAAGTATGGCAAACTTTTAACCCTCTGCAGTTTATGAAAGCAGATCTGCATGGCTGAGATGGGTCTTTTATTCACAAGCATCTCAAATTTTTTTTGTAGGAGACTTAAATTCCTTTGAACTTTCATGCATTTTTGTGCCTTCGCATTCTGTATTGTTATGTGCAGAGATTTGTCTTACAACTATTTCTCAGGAAGCTTTCCCCGATGGGTAACCACAATATCGCAACTGTATGTCTCCTTTTTATCTTTCACCTTCATTTTTATGGTCCATATCACCTTCATTGTGCATATATAATAACACATGAATGAAATTCAATAAACTAGGGGCTTTGAAGTACTAATATGTTGACATCTTGAACACGAAATTTTCATCTTCATATGTGGTTTGATTAATGATTTTATGGAGGAATTTAGTGGTCAACAACTTCACATTTGACAGTTCAAACATAACGTGAGTTGAATCGAAATACCCTTTTTTTAGACAGATAGTTCAAACATAAAGTGATTGCTATTACACTTTTGCAGCTTAATGGATTCTTCCACTACAGTTTAATTATTATAAATAATATCGTAAACACGTAGTGGGCTCAAATCGGAATTTTAACGAAGAAGTTATGGTCAACGGAAGTGGAGTGGCACAACTGTAAATTTGTTGAATTCTCTCTCTCTCTCTCTCTCTCTCTCTCTCTCTCTCTCTCTCTCTCTCTCTCTCCGGCGACAACACCGCCACTTTTGACTGTGATTCCGGCACCGTCCAGCCTCCAAACTTGATGCCATAACTTGTCAAACGCTCCTCTCCACTTCCTCTACACAACCCACTAAATTTTCATACCTGATTTTGAGCCGTGAAGCGACTGAAACGAGATGAAATCTGGTCAATTTAGTTTATATATGCCCCACTTTCTAATCCTCCCCACCCTTTCATTCACTACTACAAAACTGATGAAACGACATGATCATAAGAGAATAAATACAAAATTGTGTTGTCTTTTCTAACATCAAACACAAATAAGTTATATTATGTTATTTTCATATAAAACACAAATAATTGTGCCAAATATGTTGATATAAAAGCACAATCTTATATTGAACACAGTTATTATTGTAGCTAAGTATTATGTTAGTTGTGTTAAATTGATTTGTGTTTTTTTTTTTTTTTTTTTTTTTTTTTTTTTTTTTTTTTTTTTATGATTTTACTTTCATAGATATAAACAAATTGTGTCTTAATTTGAAAAGATGTGTTTTTAAAAAAAAGATGACAACAACACAATATTTGTGCCCAAGATATATGTTTTTTTTTACATAAATGGTGCTGAATATATATATTTTTGTTACTTAAATCGTGCCCAGTAATTTACACGAATTAAAATTTTTTATTTTTATTCACTTAAAAGCCCCACGCCCTTTAACCAAAAAACCATGATCCCTCATCTTTCCAACCCTAAAAAATATCTCACCTTCTCCTTTTTTTAATACCTTCTCATCTGAAATCTTCTCGGTAGCCCACCCTTCTCCTTTTTTGAAGTCCTTCCCACTTGAAAACCTCTCTCTCTCTCTCTCTCTCTCTCTCTCTCTCTCTCTCTCTCTCTCATTCGCTTCAAGCTCTCTCTCCCTCTATCTCTTTCTCTCAGTTCGACGCTGCTACCATCCACAACCCCCACCTAAACCTAAACCTCCATATTTTGAAAAGTTCTCTATTTTTCACTCCTCCTTCGAAGATCTATCACTTGCACAAGTACCACTAGAGGTGTCAAATAGACCAGGTCGGCCCGACATGGCATGCTTAAGTAAGGCACAGCACGGCCCGTATTTTTGGATCATGTCGGGACAAGGTAATTAAGTCCAATGGGTTGAGCCAGCCCATAGCCCGTCATGGATTGAGACTACCCGTGGCCCATCATAGGTCGAGCTAGCTTGTGGCCCGTCGTGGGACGAGTCAACCCGAAATTCAACGAGCCGGCCTGTTTAAAGCCCATTTATTAAATTATACTTGTTTTATGAAAAAGAAAAAGAAAAACATAACAGTATTACATTTATATCTTAAATTCAAGTCTATTTCTTTTCTCTAATTATATATATTAAAATTTAATATATTCTTTATATATAAAATAATGATTTTGATTTTCAAGTTCCAATTTTTAAAATCCACACAATAATCTAGCCATTTTCTATTTAAATGTAATTTAAATTAAGTTATTGTCCTCTTTTTTTAACAAATAATGAATCTTATTAGTATATACATAATTGCAAAAAAGATTTAAATAAAGTTGTAAAAAAATTACAACAAAAGAAGAAATACATAAGTCAAATTTGGCGTGGACCCATGTTGGCCCGTTTAGTGGCCCAACACGAGCACGGCTTGAGCCCATATAGACTCGGGCCGGGATTGATGATTTTCCTAAATGGGCAGGCCCAACATGACCCGTTTATTAAATGGGCCGACTCTAAATAGGCCGGACCAACCCAACACAAACAACAGTGGCCAAGTCTCAAATAATGGTAATTCCATATCTTCCTTTTGGCTGGGCCTCTGTTTTCCTGTGAAGTACGTAGTAAAGTAAATAATGTAGCATGGAACCTTAGCTTTGAAAACAGAGAGTCAACAGCAAAAATTCCATGTTGTTATAGAAATAAAATAACATAGTATGAAAAGTACCACTGAATATTTGGAGTAGAATTGTATTTGTTCTTGCGATGTTTACACTGACAGAATTTCCTCCACATATAGAACTCACTCTCTTTTGTTTCCTCTCGCTCTTCCTTTCTTTCCTCTCTTCTCCTTTTGGTGTGTTCTACAATTGAATGAGCAAGCCTATTTATAGGCAAATTGGATGGCTTCATTACACAACATCATCATTAAGCTTTTGACTACTATTTCCTTCTTTTCCTTTATGTCGGCTTCACCACTTTCTTTACAACACCTATAGAACTGAACCTGCCTATCTTAGAAAATGGAGGGGCAGAAGAGTACCAAATCAAATAGCTATTGCCACATTTCCGTCTATAGGTATTGCCTCTGCAAGGCTTGATTGGAGTAACTGTGTTTCAACTCAACTCCCTTCCATTTTCTGAAAATTCAGCTTTTCTAAGACTTTCCTTGAAACCTTTTTATAATGGCTTCCTCTTCTTCTCCCCCAAATCATCTCGATTTAAATGTTGCTCCCAAAACAACCCATGACGCCAAAGTTTGGCGTCCATCCTTTTTATCCGAAAATCGTCATCTCACGATTAATGATTCTGTGATGATGAATGATATGACTGTTGTCATAGTAGCTAGGAATTTCCTAATTTCCTTACATAGTAGCTAGGAATTTCCTTACTCCTATGGATGAAATACTGTTAACAGGAAGGTCTGACGAAGAGGCTATTGATGACTCAATGGCTTCTAGCATTCAGAGTGCTGCTTATGTTTCTAACATGGCTTATTGTTTGCATGCCATAGCAAATGAGATTCAGGAGCTGAACACTGAAATTCGTCTCTTCGTAGAATGCTTCATGAGTCTCAGGAAGATGTTGAAAAACTTAAAGAGGAAAATAAGGCCTTGTTGAAACTGGTGAGTTCATACTCCATTGATATGCAAACAAGACTTGACATGCTATAGATTTCCAATGAAAAGATTCTGGGATACCACGAAAGGCACATGACTAAGCTTAAGAGGCGTCGTCCTCTTCCTTCGAAGGCTTCCAAAACATAATGGAATTTTGTAGATTTTACAGAGCATGCTCCTTCCTTGCAAGTGAAAAGAATCTACCCGTTGTATGCTCCTTTCCTATTATAATAATTGGGTAAATTCTTAAATTTGCATATGTGGTTTTTACGTCTTTTCAAAATGACGGTTTGGAACCTTGTGCCTTATAGGTTCAAAAAACCACATCAAATCTCTCAAATTACATATTTCAATGGATGTGAGTCCGGAACTTCTTGCCCGGGCTAAACACGACCTCAGAATTTATTTGCCATTTTCAAATGGGTATGAAATATAAATTGAGTAAAAGTCATGATAATATTGCAATATAGTAGTGAAGAGCATTAACTACTATATACCTACAACTTCAAGTTCGGGATCTCTCATATATTTGGATCCATGGGCTTCCAGCCCAGATCACATAATATAACAAAATATCTGGGGAGTCTCAATTCATCCTTTTGAGGTTTATCCTGATATTATCCATTTCACGGTGTATTCTTAACAACTGGAATTCACAAAATATATTGCTTCCTTGAGGTGTCGATTATAACATAATTGAACTTTATTAAATTCATCATTTTCTTATGCCAAAGAAATATGTGGTTTACCACAATTAATAATACCTCAAGGGTTGTCCATTTAACTGTTGGAACTTCAGGTTCTCAATATTGTTAGATTTTGAACTTCATGCCAAAATCACATATTTTAATGGTATGAACATTCAATACTCTTAGATTTTGAACTTCATGCCAAAATACATATTCTGACTATATGGACATTTTCTTAATTTCCTGTACATATTTCAGGACTTCAGGCCCTTACATAATTATCCATGTTTTGAGGAGCTTCTGACTTCTCATTTAATTGCTCATCCATGAGTACATTTACCAGTATAGTTACTATTCATGTGTATGGCACTACTAACCAATACGGTACTGTTACATTATCAAGGAACTCCAAGTCCTTATTTACATGTCAAGGATCAAGAATCTTAAGGTCCGATCACTTGTTTACAAATATAGTACGGGAGAGACTGCCAGCTCTCATATCATTGTCATCATCAAGGATCTTCAGGTCCTGATGTAGTTGTATGATGAGGATCAAGGAACTTCTAGTCCTGATATCTGTTTACTGTAAAACTCATCATACTGTACAATTAATTCATAAAATAAATTGCTTGTTGTATGGATGTTAATTCTGCACCATACTTTAAATAAAAGTAAATGTGCGATAAAGTAAATTCATAAGGTAAATTGTTTGCTGGTATGGACGATAATCCCGCACCATACTTTAAATAATAAAGTAAATGTGCGATAAAGTAAACGTGCTGGTGTAGGCACTAATTCTACTCCATACTTTTAAATAAAAAGTAAAAGCAGTTGTGTAGACGATAAACCTACGCCACACTTTTAAATAAATATTGTCGTATGGGTAACAAACCTACACCATACAGTAAATAAAGTAAATGCTAAAGGCAGTTGTGTGGACAATAAAACCACGCCAAACTTTTAAATAAATACTGTCGTATGGATAATAAACCTACACCATATAGTAAATAAAGTAAATTCGGGGATAAAACCACCACCTAATAGATATGAAGTATATAACATATTATATATTATGGACAATATATCTGTGCCACTATTCAAAATATAATAAAATAGGTTTTAAGATCACACCATCATTTTTATTACGATAATGTGTTACAACGTGATGGGTAATGAAATTACACCACCTATAACATCCCACATCGACCAACGGAGAAGGTGTGATGTGCCTTATATGTGCATGCCCGCCTCCATCTAGCACGAGGCCTTTTGGGAGCTCACTAGCTTTGGAGTCATCGGAACTCCGAAGTTAAGCGAGTTGGGAGCTAGAGATCTCAGGATGGGTGACCCACTGGGAAGTTGCTCGTGAGTTCCCAGAAACAAAACCGTGAGGGCAGAGAGGGGGGCCCAAAAAGGACAATATCGTGTTATGGCGGAGCCGATCCTGGGATATGACAATTTGGTATCAGAGCCACTCTGCTGTGTGGTGCGAGTGTGCCGACGAGGACGTCAGGCCCCTAAGGGGGGTGGATTGTAACATCCCACATCGACCAACGGAGAGGGGGTGATGTGCCTTATATGTGCATGCCCGCCTCCATCTAGCACGAGGCTTTTTGGGAGTTCACTAGCTTCGGAGTCATGGGAACTCCGAAATTAAGCGAGTTGGGGGCTAGAGCAATCCCAGGATAGGTGACCCACTAGGAAGTTGCTCGTGAGTTCCCAGAAATAAAACCGTGAGGGCAGAGAGGGGGGCCCAAAGCGGACAATATCGTGCTTCGGCGGAGCCAATCCCGAGATGTGACACCACCATAAAATAACATGATGGGGTATAAAACCGCCCAATTCCAAATTACAGTACGAAAAAATAAATTAAACAAACATGGATGAAGCAACATACAAATTGAGAGAAAACCAAAAAAAAAAAAAAAAAAAAAAAAAAAAAAAAAAAAAAAAATGTTTGCATGTCGTAGTAATAAAGTGAGAGGAGACATATAACAGAGAGGAGATAGAGAAATAACCACATAGTGTTGAGCTGGGAAAATTTAGAAGTAAAGAGGAGAGACTATCGTTGTGATGTTTACACTGACAGAATTTCCTCCACAGATAGAACTCACACTCTTTTGTTTCCTCTCACTCTTCCTTTCTTCTCTTCCTTTCTTTCCTCTCTTCTCCTTTTGGTGTATTCTACAATTGAATGAGCAAGCCTATTTATGGGCAAATTGGATGGCTTCATTACATAACATCATAAGCTTTTGACTAAGCTTCCAACATCATCATTAAGCTTTTGACTACTATTTCCTTATTTTCCTTTATGTGGGCTTCACCACTTTCTTTACAACATTTATAGAACTGAACCTGCCTATCTTAGAAAATGGAGGGGCAGAAGAGTACAAAATCAAATAGCTTAAATAGATAAGGTTAAGATATTACTTAATTGCAAATATTAAACTTAACAAACTAATTTTGTATAAATAATAAATAAAAAACAAAGTCTGCAAAATAATTTTAAAAATTTAATTACTATTTATTAAGTAATTTATGATATTAGAAAATATTTATATACTAATTATTCACTAAATAAATAATAATTAAAACATAATTACTAATTAAAGCATATCCAATTCCTATATATATATATAGAATCATTGATCTGATCTGAGTAATGAATTAAGCAAAGTCACCATTTCCTTTTCCGGTAATCTGGAGAGTAGCATTTAACTTTTAAGACCAGGCAGATGTAATTCCTAACAAATTCAAAGATGTCACTTCAACAACAAAACTCCTTCAAAGCTAGATATACCTTTGATTTATTTAAGACCCGGCATAGTTGATTCAACATAAGTATTTTAGTATAATTTCGTTTTAAGTCTTTGGAGTTTTATGTTTTGCATAAGTTAATATATCATTTTTTTTATCTTCTGGCTTAATTAGCATGCTAAACTATGCCTTATATCATGCATGCAGTATCTTACCATCTACGGTTGTGAATATTTCCATCACAATAATATTATTATTATGATAAAAATATTTCCATCTCAATAATATTATACAAATTTATAAATAAACCCAACCCTAGACATATATTTATAAAAAAACCCAAGCACTATTTAAACATAGAAACACACCCAAAATCAACCCCAAAGTCAACTTTTTGGGTGTGTTTATAAATGGGTTTTGAGTGTGTGTAATGATGGGTTTTGGGTGTGTTTATATGTTTAAATAGTGCTTGGGTTTTTTTATAATTTCAGACCCCATTTTGGGTGTTTTAGTGACGACTGGCTTGCAAAGACATTTTCAAGAGTTGATTTTGTCTTCTCTAACTTTGATTTGAATGGAGCAAATAGGTTGGTAATAAGTTTCTAGCAAACAACCATTACTTGTTAGAATTAGGCAAACTGGCTACAAGTTGGTACATAAGCACCTCTGGAACTGAACACAGAGAGGACTTGTAGCCTCCAGCATCCATATTTAGGTTCAATTTTCTCCTTTTTTTGTTAAATAAAAGTCAAAGCTAGGTCAATTACATTTAGGCAGATTCAAAAACCAGAGGTCACCTCCTCCTCCAAAAAGGAGCTCCTAAAGTAACTGACAAAGTTCAAAAGAAAGAAGACACCATCTCGATTGAAAACTCAAATAATATACAATTTAAATATAAGAACGTCTATTCTTGTACAGATTTGTCAGATACAGAATACACCTTAGTTGCCTAACTTCAAGTCGTTAGTGTGTCGACTAAACCTGTAACCTAACAGTAAGAAAAGAATACCCTCAGGTTCTCTTGTAATGACTGCAACAAGATTCAGTCTATAATCCCTAAGTTGTTACTGTATCAACTAGTTGAAAATGCAGTTTTGTTTTAATACACAGAATTGTATTTACAGGCTCCTTTTGCTCTACCATCCCCAACCAACAAACCACCAGTCATAGCGATATCTACAATTATCTTCAAGTTCTCAATCCTGTTGTGCGCGCCCTTCTCCACGGGGCATTTTCTTTGACATCGCTGCGATTGATAAAAATATTTCAGCAATTCGTAGAATCAAATGATTTAAGCAACTCGTTTAAATAGAGATAACAAGCAGTTATATGATTGACTAACATACAGGCAATTATATGAAGCAGTCATATAACAGATATCAAGCAGTTATATGATTAAGGAAGTGAAATAACAATACACATATATAGAGAAATGAAGAGAGAGAGAGAGAGATCTTACAATCTTCAACATCCTTCAGCTGGTAAAAATGCGGAGCTATTTCCACTAACCACTCCGGCTTTAATTCTGTTACCTGCAATTTAATTGGAAGGCTTTAGATATAATGCAAATAGCATATACGAGATAACCAACCAACAGGGAAAATGAAAGGTACAAGGGGACATATACCTGTCTCATATATTCCTTTGTTGTAAGTACCAGTTCATGGTATATAACCCATCTCGGAAGCACCTGAAGATAAAAATTCAACAGAAAATCAAACAATGCATCAGATAATATTTGTCCAATTACTATGAAAGGCAAAAACCGACATTGACATACAAATAAATTATTTCCTCAAATGAATATCCAAATATACAAAAGCCTGTGAGTTTTTGGTAATTGGTATTGTGTACATGTGTTCACAAGCGAAATGATGTGTTGGAAAAGCAGTAAAGTTTGTCCTCATTTTTTGAATAATGCATAATAAATCTCCTCTTTTTTGTATAAGGCATAATAAATCTCCTCAGCTCTTAATGCAATGAAAGTAATGACCCAAACCCATATTCCACTTTCACTCCCTTTGCAAAAATATGTGTCACTAACACATACTATATTCAATACATAGCATTTGTGGATCAATTTATATTGTGATTCAAAAGACTAAGCTCATATGCAAAGTAGCCACCAGGACAATGCAATTCATCTTTACCTGTGACAGCCCTGAGCTGGGATGTATATGGACAGTCTGTGGATGTTTGACTGTTCTATAAGATCCATTCTTTTGAAGCTTTGCGGAATGAGGGAAGAAGCCTAATAGAAATATCAACACAGTTTAATTTGACAAGGAACAGAGGAGAAAAAAAACAGAAGGAATCACTTTTAGATCATTATGGCTAACAATAGTGGTAAAATTACCAGATGTAATGGCCTTCTTTATGGTCTCGTAATCACTGAGATTTGAGACCAGCTCAATCTCAACCCTCTCCAAGAGTCCCTCAAGCTGGTCTCTAATATCTCTAGCACGCTTCATGCTCCTCACCTGTAAATTTTTGGGATTACAAACAACCGTGTGAGGAGTATTGATAAAGAATCAATATATTTTAATTTGACATGGTCAACTTTATATGTTAATCAGTATCTAAAAAAAAGGAAATAATTAACCTAAACTAGTATCAATTTGTTTAAAAAAAAAAAAAAAAAAAAAAAAAAATAAAGATTAGATTAGATTTTGGCATTGGTATCATTCTGTTGTCACCATACACGGTGGCATCAGCATGAGCAACAGTGAAATATTAAACCGTACCTGTATATAATTTTCATAACACCACTGGGTTGAGAAGTTGGTCTCTTTCCATGAGTTATATAGACCTAAGAGGAAAAGAAAGAAAAAAAAAAAAAAAAAAAAAAAAAAAAAAAACATTCAAAAACATTTGACAACAAAAACTTGACCACAGTTAATAATGAGGATCTATACCAACCTTATTCAAGTCATTATAAATACTTAACATATAAAATTTACCATTTTCCCATCCTCCAGGTCCCAAAGTCATGGGCCCTAAACAGCAGATATGTTCACTAAAGGGAAAATAGAAATAAACTCTATGGAAAAAGAAAGAAACTACACCTTGAGCAATGCAATGTGGTCTCCCACGTTCCCGGTGTGAAAATTCAAACGTGCATTGTCAGCATGGACTTGTTTGTCCTTGGGACGGTAAAAGATGGAATTACCAATGGAAAGCATGGCAGCTATGGAAATGACTTCATCTGAACACTTGTACTTATCAGAAGCAACTATCATCTTAGATAGCATGGGATCAAGTGGAAACTCCGCCATCCTTCTACCTACTTTAGTCAACTCACCCACTTTATTTAATGCACTTAGTGCAAATAACAGTTCCAGGGCTTTTAGTAATGCTTCAGATGGTGGAGGGTCCATAAAATCAAAGTGTAATAAGTCATGAATACCAAGGCTCTTCAGCGTAAGCACAACATTTGCAAGATTAGTTCTTTGTACTTCTGGTACTGTGTTATCATCTAAATCATTGTAATAATTGTAGGCAGTATATAACCGGAAGCACTTTCCAGGACCCGTTCGACCAGATCGACCTGCCCTCTGCATTGCTGATGCCTTTGAGATGGGAGTAACTAGCAATGACTCCATTCCAGTCCTTGGGTTATATGACTTCATCTTGCAAAACCCTGGGTCAATAACATATTTGATCCCATCAATAGTCAACGAAGTTTCAGCTATATTTGTGGCAAGGACAACCTTCCTTGCCCCATCAGGTGTGGCTTCAAAAATTTTTCCTTGCAGCTCAGTAGGTAGGTTTGCATATATGGGACAAATAATCAGCTCAGCAATTTTTGTCCCTAGGCCCCTTGTTCTGTGCTTCAATATTTCTTCCGCTGTTTCAATCTCTTCCTGACCAGTGAGGAATACCAATATATCTCCAGGTGGTTGCGTCACATGGATTTGAAGTGCAGTGACAATTGCTGCATCTAAGTAATCAGCCTCTGGTGCTTTCGTGTAATGTATTTCAACAGGATACCGCCTCCCTGGAATTTTGAAAATTGGAGCAGAATCAAAATAATCACTGAACTTCTCAGCATCAAGCGTTGCACTTGAGATAAGCAGTTTGAGATCCGGTCTAAATCGAGCAATGTCCTATTACAAAAACCACTAACCATCAGATATTGAAGAAACAAAAGGTATTTATCAGTTATTATAAGTGCTTCCAGAAGAAAAGTAGATAGGGAAATCATTAAGAAACAATCTCCAAGAGAAAACCATAGATGAAATTTCCACAAAAATTGTCAGAGGTATAACTTAGAGACAACATCATCACAGCCAAGAAAAATAAATTGGTCCTACAATCGATGCATAATGCACTTCAATAAGCAAGACAACATAAAGAAATGACTGAGAAACATGAAGAGTTACTGCTTACCTTTACTAGTCCAAATAGAATATCAGTCGAGAGTGTTCGTTCATGGGCCTCGTCCACCATCACCACACTGAAATATTTGCAGACAGAAAGTGAACCAATGCAAATAATCCAAGTATCGAACTGTATATACACCAAGTTAGCTTACCTGTAACTCGCCAGATCTGGTTCACCAAGGAATTCTCGCAACAGCATTCCATCTGTCATATATTTCAAAACAGTCTTTTCGGATGTGCAATCCTCAAAACGAATAGAATAACCAACCTGCATATGGCATAAAAAGCCCCCATGACTGTCAAATAGACATAGAATTCATCTAAGCAAGGACAAACTGAATCAAGAACCTAGAGAACCATTTGAAATAAGTAAACAAAGAATAAGCATACCATCAGAATATCTTTTTTCTCTTAAATAAAGGGAATCACAGGTCATAACCTTTTTCTTTTTATCTGATCACAGGTTATTAACTTATTAGCTTAATGCACAAAGATCATTAGTGGAATACCTCGTGCCCAAGTTTAACCCCCATTTCTTGAGAAACCCTTGCAGCAACACTCATAGCAGCAACTCGTCGTGGCTGTGTGCACCCAATCTGTAAGAAAAATATAAAAAAATTATCTAACCCATACTACCCATTTAGATAGTTTTAATATAATCAGGAGTCCACCTATTTTTTAAACCTTTCAGGTTGTTTGAGATAAATTGTTCAGTCTCCAGGAGCATGTTGAATATACTAAAAATACAATGTTGCAAAACCAAACAAAAAGGAGGAAAAAAAAAAAAAAAAAAAAAAAAAAAGGATATCCATTATCAAGTGTCCACTTCAATTAGCATTTCATCTGAGAGTTAAATTTTTGCATCAAGAAGCTGCAATAAACACTCAATGATTTCCAGGACATAGCAAGAAAATTGCAAGAAACAAAGCTTACACCTTTCCACGCTTTGTGTATCCAGCCTCGTGAAGATATTGGGGTATCTGTGTAGTTTTTCCAGAACCAGTTTCACCAACAATAACAAGAACCTACAAAGCATAAGTTGAAGGCATGTCATACAAAAAGAAAATTCATAGATGTACTTTTGTTAATGAGGATATTTGTTAGAAATGCCTATGGCTCAAAATGATTGTGAAAGTAAAACATAACAATCTGACTAAACCATCAGCTGCATTTCGTTTGAATAGGTGCATTCCTAGTCAAAATTTCAAACAAAAAGCTAAAAAACCTGATGATTTTCAACAGCTTCAAGCAATTGATCACGGTAGGTGTAGATGGGTAATGTTTTTCTGTCATCCTGAATGAGCAAAAACGTAAATGATTATTAAAACATATATTATAATCTCCTATGATTTGATACCATTCAACGGTTAATCATATAGTTAAATAATTAATGACAACCACAAAGTAAATGGACACCGCAACAATATTTAAAACTTCCACAATGTTTTTAACGTTCTATATTTATTCATTCTCTTCAGGTTGTTTACATGTAGCAGACATTTTTAACTTCTGCAATTTATTCATTTGTTTCTAAAGCATGCCACAGGCTGGAACTAGTTTTCTCAGAAACAACAGTAAGAATAAGTCATATACCAAACACAGTTAAACATCTAAGCAAAAAAGCCAAAGGAAATATGAACAACCAAATTAAGAAAAAGAAAATGATTAGTAACCTGGAGCTTCTCTAAGGCCGTTTTCGCCTTCGACTCAAGTACCTCAGAGGGTTGCCCGTCATCATCAAACTGCATCCGGAAAACAAACAGATGAGACTTTGTCTCTGGTAACAGACAAATGTGTCAAGTCAAAAATGATGAAGCTAGTGGACATACCTCATCACCATCCATCACTGATGCCTTGATAAAATCAATCTGATCCTCAAATACAAATCTAAGCATCAAAAGATATGAGTGAAAAAGACTTAGAATGCTCATGCACAAACAAAAGAAGCTATTAGAATAAGCTTCTGCAACTAATTTGCTTCACTTATTAACAGATGCAACTTCAGATAGTGAAAATAAGCAGGTAAAACAGAAGCAAGAGGATGAAAATTCGTAAACTTACTGATACTCATCAGATATTTGTTTCTTGTTTTTTGAACCAAATTTCAGCGTTGCTTTTCCTGCAAGATGAGCCTCAGGATGAAAATTCTGAAATTTTTTTAAAATTACAAGGTAAAGGCGCTAAAACCTCACAAAAAACTCACCAATTTGGTGATCCTCCCAAGCTTCCTGTTCTGCAAATGGGTTCATTTTATCCCCAGCACCGAGGTCTCTATACAATGCAACAGGTAAAAAAAAAAAAGAGTTAAAGACAGAACAAGATCTGTTTCAGGATTGCGGATTTGTTTATTGAGTTAAGAATATTTTTTGGGAGGGAGGAATGATGATTGTAGTAATTGTGAACATTTCCAAAATAGTTACCTGTAGCGTTGCACAGCGACAGAAAATCTCTTTTCCTGATTAACACCACCCTCCTCATCATATGCATCTGGCATCCTGTACTGCATTTCAAAAAGATTGGAAATACCAATGCATCTCAATTACTCATCCACTCCAAAGTGAGCAGGAGGAAAATTCTCAATACAGAACTCTTCTTGAAAACAGTTCACATAGGCAAAAAAGATAACCATAGTTAATTATCAATAACTCCAAATTACCTCAGTGGTATCCTCAACCTCATCTGACCTCTTCTTCACCAGCTCGTATATTTGTTTCTTGTAACTGTAGCACAAAATTCACAAATAGGGAAAATTATTAGATTCTGTAATAGATTTATAGGCTGGCAAAATAACTAAAATTAGTTTTTTTTTTTTAACTTTGGTTTATTGGAGTAATAAAACACTAAGCAATAACCACCGACTGATCACAGCAAAGCAATTAGGTAACTGCATTTTCATTACCTTAGTTCGCGATATTCTGCTTCAGTGAGCTTCACACCATCAAATAAGTATTGCTCATCCTCTATATCGTCTCTGAGATACATGTCAAAACAAATCAGCACCACTGATTGTGCAGTTATACGTTTTAAATTACAGAACTACAACAGTTTTTTCTTTTTCTTTTTTTTTCTTTTGGGTGTAGGGGGTCAGGGGAGCTAACTTTAGGTAAAAGCAAATGATAATTCATTCCATACCTGATTTCCTCCAATTTCTTTTGCTCCCTCTTCTTGAGATATTCTTGTCTTGAAACTTTTCTGAAGCAGAGACAATTGAAGGAGAAATATTAGAACCCTGCTTAGTGTCATATAGAACATAATTTTTTTAGTACTTTATTTTGCTTTCTAGGATGAAAATAAGTAGCTTCAAGAGAATAACTAAAATGGAAAGACAGTCTTTTCCACTCTGACAAATCACCAGATTGTTTGGGTACTATACCATTTAGAAACAAACAGCTTTTTATGTGTAAGAAGAAAGAAAGGCAAGCAGGTACTCTTGCTCAAAAATTTAGTAAAGTGCTAACTACTAAGGGTGGATTTTACTTTTGAAAACCATTAATCTTTTAACTATTTCAAAAACAACCATTGCCTGCCAAAAGAATAGAATTTCACCTATAAACCTAAAAAACAATAAACAAAACAGAGGACTTCAGAATGAATCAAATACTATTTAGAAACTTCAAATACTATTTGTTTTAAAGCACTAATCTTTTAACTATTTGAAGTTTTCTATTGCCTGCCAAAAAATAGAATTTCACCTATAAGAACGATACCAAAAAACACAGAACTTCAGAATAAATTAATTCATGATATCTAGATAATGACAAACCTTAAATCTTCAAGGTCATTCCGCTCCAATGCATTGCTTCTCCGAATAGCCTCCTCTGTTGTACAGTACAATGTATCATGATGAACCAACAAAAATTATAAACATGAATAGAGCAAATGCAGCAAGTCTTAAGTATGTAATTCTCGAAATATATGTGTATGGACGTAATTACTCTCAAGTTGTAGTACCTTCTTCCTTTCGTGTTAATTTTCTATCTGTTAACTGTTGGTAGGGAGGGGAAAAAAAAAGGAAGTTAGTGACAAGAAAACAACAAAAGCAATGTGATGATTATGCACATGTAGGTAGTTGTTCCAAATCAGAGGCGAATATGAGAAGTCATAGCTCAATGTAACAGTTGTAGCTAGGAACACCGTAACAGTAGTTTCTAGGTAAAACAGGATAATCTCCATATCAAGGACTAAACCCGGATAATAATATTCTAGCCGGAATAGACAATACAGCTGGAGTTTTAAAGCATACATCTTTGCATGATATCAATAAATCATTTAAGGATGCAACTTTTAAACGACTAGAACTAGCTTGAACTTGAAGCAGGAAGACAATCCAAGCAGATTTTATACCGAAAACTAAACGTAAGAAATGAAAATCAGTTCTGAACTAAATTTGTACCTTTCGTGTAGCTGCTGTATCCCGTTCCCTTATATTCTGCTCCAATTGCTCCCTCTCTCTTTGATCACGCAATCTTTCTTCTTCTGACTGCATACCATTTAAATAGAGGACATGAACTGGTACAGAAATATTAGGAAAAATGTATAAAGAAAATGAATGCAAACATGTTCCTCTATGCATATATGAGACATAGCAAAAAATGTATATATAATTATAATGAACATAATGGCATGATTAGTGAACCATACAGATTCTATCATCAGATAACAAGATAATTAACCAATCCGACCACAAAGTGAAAGCCTAGCCAAGTATTGAAGCACTACCTATTGATAAATTTTAAAATATATATAAAAATAAAAGAAGAAAACCTCTGAACCATCATCGTCATCTGGGGAAATTCGTCTTTTAACTCGTCTCTCTTCTTCCTCTTGTGCAATCACCTGCAGCATTGCACTGAGTTAAAACAACAGTTACCATGAGAAACAAAATAGAATATTACCTTTCAAGAAGTTAAAAGAATTAACCTCATCATCTTCATCTTCTTGACTCAAGACCTTCTTCCTGAATCGTTTCTTATGGGAGTCAGCTTTCCTGGACTCAGAAACAACCTGGGCAGAAGATCTATCGCCATCATCGTCATCTTGGTCATCTGCATCCAAGAGAGAATATGTCTTCTGCTTCTTCACCAACATCGCAGCTTCCCTCTCTTGTTTCTGATATAGCTGATATACACAAGTAACAAGCAGGAAAGACATGATGTCATAGACAGATAAAACTGGAGGCTAAAATCCTAAGTCTACACATTCATTTAATTTGGAATAATAACTCACATTCAAACCAGATACTTTATGGGGCACTCTTGCGAAGATGTCTTCAGCAAATGCACTTGTTTCGGCCGAAGAGGACAACCCAAATTCTACAAGCTTGCCCACAACATCAGCCGATGATTTTGCTTGTTTGGCTGCAAGAAATGTGAAGTTTCGATTAGAAACAGTGTGCACAATGTAAACTTTTAAATTAAGTGCACAAAAGCAAGAGAAAATTAACAGGTAAAAACTAAGAGGTAAGGACAACTAACTTAATCCAATAATGTACTGAACAACAGTGGGCTGAGAATATCCGAGAAACGTCATCAACTTATCGGATACCCAAGTCTTCAGATTGCTCTCGCTCCCCATTTTTTCTGCATTCAAAATTAAATCATTCTCAACATATACTAGAGAAAATAATGGTAAAACTTTATTTCAAAATAAAACAAAAGAACAAAGGTGAAGAAGAATTTAAGCAATTCCTGCTAATTTAAACTCACAATCAAGTGAAGGCAAATTCAAATTCAGAAACGAGAAGGAAGAATATCAAGTACAAAGAGAATTTATCCATGTTGATTAAGCTAAAAAGCAAATAACTTTTTCAACGTAATTACCGTAAACAAAACAAGAAGGATCACATTGAAACCTAAGTACTGTTTTCCGTTTAGATAATGGATTTAACTAAGGAAACTCACCTTAGGGCTACAAATATTTCTCGCGTTTGTTTGTTTGGCTGAGAAAAGGATTGGTCTTCCGAGAGAAAGGCTCTGTGTGAGCTTTGCACGTGCGGCAATGCGAGGAACGTGTGGACAGTACGGCTACTTCCGAGACCACTGTAAACGGCCGGAGTTGACAGTTCGCCGTGCGTTCAAAACGGCGTCGCGTCAGGGCGACGACACAGAAAGAGAGAAGGAAAGTGCGGGCTTTGCGGTATTGGGTCGGAGAGGAGAGAGAAATATAAAGGAAGGGCTTTGGGCCGTAATTTTTCAGATGTTGGAGCCAAAATTTTAGTCGAGGGGCCCAGTATCATCATCCAATAACATAAGGGCAAAGCCAAATTTTATCGGGATGAGGATACCTCGTGGTATTTACTATATATATATTGACTTCACTTTCTGGGTCCACATAAATAATGAAAAAAAATAGTTAATACTCACTCCAATTGTAAATATATTTTTTAATACAAGTGATTGAGAGGAGGGGGTTTACACAACAGTCATTGGGTGTCTAAGGATTTCTAACATTTGCTCATATGGATGGAGATGGAAGAGTGCAACCAACCGAGCTATACCCGATTGGCCCTATTGAAACAAAAAAAATTTAGTACAATCGATAGTTTAAACTAAATGGGAGGAGGATTTCACACTCACACACACAATTAAGAAGCCATGGCAAGGGCGAAGCCAATGAAGGCTCACAATGGTCAAGTGACCCTTCTCATGTTTCATATTTTATCTTTTATATGTTTGTATTTTATTTTTTATATATAATATTTCTAAAATTTGACCATTTTCACTATCTTATCTTTTGAAAACATTACATAAGTATAATGTTGAGTTACAGAAGATGAAAACTTTTGTCTCACATCACTAACTTGTGCTACTTACCTTTGTAATTATTTTTTTATTTGTAGTAACTTAATAATTATTAACCTAATTACCTAAAACTAAAAGCTAACATAATCTTACCCAAAAAAAAAAACTCAGACAATTCAAATTGAAGATCAACAACCTTTGTAAATATTTTGGAATGATATATAAATTAATACAAAAGATTTTTTTTATTAGATGAATTTTTTTTGTTTTGCTTCATTTGATGTTGATCTCTCTTGATAGATTTTTTGGCTCCGCCATTGACCATGGGGATTCGAACCTAAGATCTCTTGTATACAAGTCAAGGCTATTTTTCCACAGGGGTACACCTCGTTGGATGCCCAATTGAAATGTTAAATCCTACTTGAAATAGTGTTTCTCCATTGTGATGTTGTTTTTGGCTTTTTGACTTTGTGAAGTTATTTCATTATTTTGTTTAGGTGAAGTTTAAAACTCTGTGAAATATCAAATTGTCACATAAGTCTTTAAATTTAAAATTAATGTTTCGTACTTACATATCCCTTGGAGATGCTAAAAGTCCGATTCCGACTCGTAGAAAGAGGAAAATATATAGCAAAAGTGTTGGGCTTTTATTTAACATATTGGAGCTTAAGCCTGATCCGATGTCCAAATACCAAGGCCCAAAATTTTAATCAAGCCTAATGTTCTTATACGTTGCTCATTTAAATACTCAATGCGAAGTTGCCTCAAAAGCACCAAGAATTTCAAAATATTTAATTTAATTTAATTTTTTTTATTTTAATGAAAGGATTGGGGTTGCGCAACCCAACCCCAACCCTTTCATTAAAAGAAATTATTCTCAACATAGAGAGAAAATAATGGTAAAACTTTATTTCATAATAAAACAAAAGAACAAGGGTGAAGAAGAAGTTAAGCAATTCCTGCTAATTTAAAATAAACAATCTAAGTGAAGGCAATTTCAAATTTAGAAACCATAAGGAAGAATATCAAGTACAAAGCGAATTTATCCATGTTGCTTAAGCTAAAAAGATGTGGGGGCTTTTTCGTTCCGGTAGCTACAAATGAGTTTGGTTGCCGTAAGGAGCAAATGGTTGAAATTACCCCTTGTGTCTGAGTTCAAGAATCATACCCCAAGAATGCTTCGAAAGGGTAGTGAAGCCTTAGGAAGTACCCTGGTTATCTTCACCAACGAAACCAACAATGGCTTACAAATAGATTATTAGCTTGGCATAAGAAGCTTGTGGCATGGAAGCAAAGCAGTCATGAGTTTAGCATTAAAAAGAAAGAGAGAGAGAGAGAGAGAGAGAGAGAGAGAGAGAGAGAGAGAGAGAGAGAGAGAGAGAGAGGGCTATGAGTTTCTATGAGAAACAGGGGTTTTAAGGCAATGGGAAGGGATTCTAAGAGGGTTAGTTGAAGATAGAGAAAGAGATAGAGAGAGATAGGGGAATAACAATGGGTGTGTTAAATAGTTTCCGGCACGGCAGCTTGACGAAAGCTCTATCAAGTTCTAGAATGATTTACCATAAGAGAAAATAGGAGGAGATGGAGGAATGTAGCTCGAAATTGCAGAGGTTTCAGGGATGAGAGATGAAGCTTGCTATCTAGATCTATGTTGTGTTTAATGGGTAGGAGGTACCTCATTTTATAGCCACTAGAAGCTCCTTCTTCCCAAGAAACCCTAATGGGTTCTCTCCAATTTTACCAAGTCTCTTGAAATCCCTATCTACCCAATACACAGAGACCAGATTTTAGGGGTTTAGAAGTCTTCCTGCAGCCGCTCTAGTGATAGTCTCCTATCTCTGGTAATTACATCTCCTTCTTTCTTCCCCTATTTCATGGCAAGATCTGGTAAATGAAGGAGATAAGTAACATCATTGGTATGAAGGATGCCTTTTCTCATGCGCGCGCTAATATTCTCTGGTTTTTTTAGCTTTCTGCCTTGAGGTTTGCTTTGCCCAAGTGTTGGAGTCTCCCAGCAGCTCACATACATGGGCAACTTTGGCTTTTTTCGTGGTCTTTGTCTCCAGCCATGTGCTGGAGACCTGCAAATATTTTTCTTGGTTGCTTGGGCCTTCCTAAGGTGATGGGTTAGCCCACTATGGGAATGGGCTAACTCTATAAAGTGATGAGCTATTTTACTAAGGGAATGAGCCAACTTCCTAAAGTGATGGGCTATTTTAATTAAGGTGATGGCCCAATTTCCTTTCTTTTATGCTTACTCACATATTTGGGCTCAAGAAATAGACTCGAGTTTTGGGGCTCTCAAGCAGCCCAAAACTTCCATTTCTTGGCTCATCAATGGGCCTCATGAATGCTCGTTACCATCCATACCACAATCCACTCAGCAAGCTCCGAGCATTTGCGTGGCTTGGGCCCACTTAAGCTTATAGCGCGGTTAGGTGTAATTATAATGATTTTTCACTTGGCATTGCATGTCGCTTGACATGCTTGAATTTTGTCACCTTTGAAAAAGGATAAAACGCTTGATGAGATAATTAGCATGGTCTTATAAAGCCAGCGCCTTTTATAGGCTCATTTCGATTCTTAGCATGACGGATTGCATATTTATTTGGCATGGCACGTGGTCGTGGCTCATGCAAGTGTGTATGACGAACTTTCACATGCCTAAATCGGGTTTCTTCTCAGTTAAGTGTCGCATTTAACCAGAAATTTATTTGGGCCAAACCCTGAATTTTTTGGGCCTCAACAAAAGCAAATAACATTTTCAACATAATTATCGTAAACAAAACAAGAAAGATCACATTGAAACCTTAAGTACTGTTTTCTGTTTAGATAATGGAATTAACTAAGAGTACTCATCTCATGGCTACAAATATGTATTGCGTTTGTTTGTTTGGATGAGAAAAGGAATGTCTTCTAAGAGAAAGCCTCTGTGTGAGCTTTGTACGTGTGGTAATGCGAGGAACGTGTGGACATTACGGTTACTTTCAAGACCATTGTAAACAGCTGGAGTTGACAATTCGGTGTGCCTTCAAAATGGGGTCTCATCAAGGTAACGACACAGAAAGAGAAAAGGAAAGTGCGGTCGGAGAGACAGAAATATAAAGGACGAGCTTTGGGCCGTAAATTTTTACATGTTGGGGCCAAAATTTTAGTCGGTCTAAGGGAGATGTTAAATCCTAAAATATTTAGGATGTAAAAGGATGGAAATGCTATTTTAAGGGGTTTTGAGTGGGGTTCAATCTCACAATCCAATATAAAGGAAATATTGACTTGAACTTGAGGCTGGCCATCTGAAATTGCAACCTGAGCAAACCGACCAAACCCGGTTATCTTAAGCCCGATCCGATGTCCAAAATACCAAGGCCCAAAATTTTAGTCAGGCCAAAAGGTCCGATCCGATGCCCATTTAAAAACTCGGCGCGAAGTCCACCTAAAAAGCGCCAAAAATTCCAATAAATTAAATTAAATTTATTTGTTTTCTTTTATTGAAAGGGTTGGGGTTCCGCGTCAATCGTGTGAGGTAAGAGCCACACCAAGCCTTAGAGATGCGAGTCACAGGCAAACACGTGGAGGAAATGACGCGGTTTTTTGGGTCCCTGAATGGAAAATGAAGTCGTTGAAAATGACGATGACTGCTTCTTCTTCACCTCCTCCGTAGCTTTGGAGGCTCTGGAGACCTTGACCCCCACCTAAACCTCTCTGCACAACGCTAATCAAATTTCATTGTCTCAAACTTTGAATCCAAGAGACGAAATTTTATTTGTGCAGAGAGACAAAATTGAAGAATATATACATATATAGATACAGCGCCCTCTTCAATTCCGTTGCCTTCTCTTCTCAAAATTTATAAGATTAATTTGTTGGTGACAAAATGGGTTGCAATTCCAGCAAAAGCGTAGACTCAAAAGCGAACAGAGCCGCCCGATGGCGATCCACCGGCATTGTTGGTTTGCGGGACTCCAAATTGAAGGCAATTTCTCTCTCTCTCTCTCTCTCTCTCCTCTCTCCTCTCCTCTCTCTCTCTCTCCCCTATTGATATGCTTGATTTTGAGTTGGATAATTGTTTTGAATTTGAATTAATGGAGGTTATTAACTGTTGGGGAGGTGAGAGTAGGAGGGTGGGTGGGATAAATTGATCAAATTTTAATAAAGTTGCTTCATATTGGTGGGCTATGCATATTGCTACATTTCCGTGATGGCTTGTGATTACAAATTAGAAGCAAGAATTATGTAAAGCTAAATTTTTTTCATAATTGAGAGGTCTCAATGGTCTGGCTCAGATGTAAATTGAAGTTGAAAGAGAGCTCATGTTAATCCAAAATGGTTTCTCTTTGAGTTGACGGATGAAAAAGTTAGCTTTTTGGTTGAGCGAGTAAAGCAGTCATTTGACATTCCCATTTGTACTGTATTTATAGAAATGTATGCATAAACTAGCATATTTATGGTTGATGTACGCTGCACATTTTAGGCAATGAGCATCACAGGTTGGTGGTTTCATTCACGTGTTTCAGAAGAGATGCTTTGCCTCATTGTGTGCTCTTGTGTGTTCTAGGTTGTTTACTTATTGGTTACTTTCTCTGCAACAGTCATTTCCAGATGAAATTCTTGACCTGGACAGATCAGTACGTACTCTTGACTTAACACACAACAAAATAGGTAACGTACTTTTCTCAGCGAGGCATCCAATTCACCAATTTAGCTGTGTAGTTGTCACTGTAAGGCATCTGATTTTCACTGAACTAATCTTAACTATAGAGGTTTTCTCGTGGCTTGGTTTTCAAGGTTTCAGTATTTTTAAATCTTACAGAATGAAGCATACTTAAACATCTAGTTTACTTCTCTTTTTCTGCATGCAGTTGACATTCCTGTGGAAATTAGCAAATTAGTAAACCTGCAGCGACTGGTAAGAATTATGTTTTTGACTTTTGTACATATACTGTGGCTCTCATTCCTAAATTCATGCTCTACAACCAATTTGTCATATATAACATTTTTAAGACTTCAACTTTCATTTGGTTTACATTCATCATTAGAATAGAGCATATAGTGACACAAATTTTTTTGATGAAAATGATGGTCCTTCTATGTTCAACAGAGAAAATCCCATGAGTTTTCTCTGTTGAACATAGAAGGATGAGTATAGAGTGACACAAATTTTTTTTGATGAAAATGATGGTCCTTATTTTAAAGGTTACAATCATGTGGACTGTTGGATGAGATTTAGTGATTTTTAAATATGTTAATGAATTGCTTAGATTATTCAATTCAACATATATGAAAATACAAAGTTGTTTTTTTACGAGAAATCAAAAGGTTTTTTGTTTTTTTTTAACGAACAACTTAAATAGTTGACACAAATTGAATAATGTCTACATGATGAAGATTTGTTGAGTATTAATGCAAAATTGTTCTATCGTACATTGGGATGATCAATTTAGACAGTTGAATATGAGTTGCTCTATCTTTCAGGTCTTAGCTCATAACCTCATTGACAGACTACCGATAAATTTGGCAAAACTAGAGTCTCTAAAAGTTATGACACTTGATGCAAATCGAGTGACTTCCTTACCTGATGAATGTAATTCTCTTCTCTAAGTAAGATAATGTTATATTTAATTTGGTTTCTTCAACTTCATGGGAGTTTCTTTCAAGGACTTCATCACTGGACGCCTAACTAACAATATGTATGTTTCCTTTTTCTAGTGGGACAGCTGGTGAGACTTGAGCAGTTATCCATCTCTGGAAATTCCTTACAATATTTGCCTGAGACTATTGGAAGCTTGCGCAATGTAAGTGATTTGGGCTTTACAACCTGTTTGTCTGTTTTTCTGTTCATGTGGTTAGGAATTTTATATCTGAATTATATATCAATCTCATATTCCCCTATAACAAACTTGCATTATGTCAATAATTACTGCATCCATGAACCTAGTGCTGCGCCTTGATCTAAATTTTTCCAAAACATTACTAGCATAGAAGGTAAAAGTTCATATTCTCTGAGTGGCTAGGAAAGAAAATTAAAAACCTATTTTAGAGAAATGGTGAGAGTGGCACGTATTAGTGATAAGAGAAAGTTGGCTTAGGTGGTATAAACATATGCAACATCAACCATTAGATACACCTATAACCAAAGAACGGTAGTTAAAGTAGAAGATAGAAGAAGTAATATGAAGATATCTAAACAGTTAGATTTAATTGGAGATACTGAATATAATAAAAAGAATGAAAGACGAGAGTTCATGTAGCTCAACCACATATGATTGGACAAAAGCAAGGATGATGATGATGATGAAAAAGAAATCATTGGAAAATACATTAATGGAATCTTAATTCGATTTCTAACATTTTTGAATATCAAACATTTAGTATTTCTTGTGAAATCCAGGATCTAACAATGGATTGTTTAATGCAGTTAAAGCTTTTAAATGTATCGAACAACAAATTAAAGTCTCTTCCAGAATCCATCGGTAGTTGCTTCTCTCTGGAAGAATTACAAGCAGATGGTATGTTTAAACTTTTCTATTGTTCTACTAGTTGATGTCCGTTTTATGTGGTTTTTTCTGTGTTCAATTTTTAGATTATGGGTTGATTTTTTTTCTTTCTCTAATGTGGTTCTAAGGTTGGTATTTTTTTATTTTTTTATTTTTTTTTACCACTCACAGCTTCATGATTCTGGATTGCTTTTCAGATAATTCAATTGAAGATCTTCCTGAATCAGTCTGCAACCTTGTCCACTTAAAGGCACTTTGCTTAAACAATAATAATGTGAAGCAGGTATAGCTTGTACAGATCACACGAGTTTCATTTGGCTTTCTTAACTACATGAAAGATGACTAGTTGGAGTATTTCTTGGGCTTTTGGTTTCCATGTGCTCCCTAACTCCCCCTACCCCTACCCGTCTTAAAATGGGTGCTTAGTACAGTTTTGTAATGTAATGTGATGGCTAGATCTAGACATGGCTCCCTGGAAGGAAATCTTTTACTGGTTCTACTAATTTATAGATTCAAGTTTGGATGTTGTTAGTGGTTGGCAGATATGATTGCCAGCCCCTTAACCACTCACCCACCATTTACTTTTGGATGTTAATTTTTCCTAGAATTTTTCTGTGGCTGGCCATGCCTGTGTTAATTTATAACTCTCTTGTTTGACAGATACCTACTAATCTGTTGAAAGACTGTAAAGCTCTGCAGAATATTTCCCTGCATGGAAACCCTATATCAATGGATCAGTTTCAGCAGGTATGCCACATTTTCCTGATGTTTGTTTTAATTCTGTCCTTTTTATCTCCCAGCAGTACTTTCTATGGAGATTTGAACATTTACCAATTTAGATGGAAGGATTCCAAGAGTTTGAAGCAAGGAGGAAGAAGAAGTTCGACAAACAAATTGACTCAAATGTGATGATCAGTTCCAAAGGCCTTGATGAGGGTGTCGATCATTGAGAGTATGACATTGACATTCCTGAAACAGTAAGTTCTGAACCAAAGTCTCAATGAAGTTCTAGTGTTTGTATTGTACTAGCGAAAAGAGAGGAGTCTTTGGTTGGGCGGGTTTATTGGTTGTGGCTCTGGTAAAATCTTTGATATTACCAGAATTGCACTTTGTATTTGTCCTCTCAGTTTTTCTGATTTGACAATCAATTCTGTAAGTATCTATTAATGGTCACTGCTGTTCTGGTTTTGCCTACTGTGCTGATTTTTGAAGTAAAATTGACATGTTCAAACACCATAAGCATACTCAAGCTAAGTTGCTCATCGTCCTCCCGTACCTATCTTAAAACAAATGATAGTGATGGGTTGACACACAAGATTTGCATATTTCTTCTTGCTTTCTACCATGGCTTGCATTTAACGTTTCCTTTTTATAAACTGATTCGACAACAGAGGTTAACGAGTCAACGCCGTTCAAATGTGAAAGAGGGGTGGTTTCTTCGCCGCTGTAAATTGAGATGAGCTCTGCTGTAGCTTGGGAATGGACGACAGCATTGTTATTTATGATCACTCGTCATGTGCAAAATAAAAAGTATCCGAACTCAATTCTGTTGCATTGTACACTTGATAATGTTTTCTTCCTTACTTGCCGGTCATTGGCAAGCTTTGTATATGAAAGGGTGGGAACTCATTTTGGTTACGCATTTGAACTGTAAAATAAAATGTTACATGTACTGATACAAAATGGAAAAGTGAATATAATGAGAACACTGAACGCAATTTCTGGACAGATTTTCATTCGACCAAAGTGGCAGATGATAAGGCCATCTCCAGCCGTAGGACTAAATATAGTCCAGGATTAAAAATTTAGCCCCCCAAAATATTAATTTTTTAAAGAATAGTGCATGGCTAAATTTTTCCATCTCCAGCCATACATGACTATATTTTAGAGTCCTTTATATTTTATTATTTTGAGAAAAACTATGGTACAACACTCATACATTCCACAACCATGTATTGTTTAATTTAATTAAACTACTATTTTTTTTAAAAAAATAAAGCCAACAAAGGCAATTAAAATAAAATAAAATTGGAAGGGTTTCAAGGGTCTGACCTTCAATGGCCATGACCCAGAATTTTTTATAATTTTTTAAAACAATACCAAACATTTAAAAATGTGAAGACAAAAAAAAAAGAAAAAAAGGATAGGTTTCAATGTTTGAGCTCCAATGTCATGAACAAGACTTTTTTTATAATTGTTTTTAAACAATACTTGAAAAGATTTGAAAAGTTTACCACATTTATTATTATTTATAAATTAAAAAAATAAAAGAGTGGGTAGGTTTGACCTCCAACGTCATTGCCAACAATTTTTTTTGTACTTTTTTCTTAAACATTACAAATTGAAACATTCAAAAGGCTTTTAAAAATCTATATATATCAATGTTGGCTGTTGAAAATCACATGAATGAGCCCCACTACAAATTTGGCATAGGCTAAAGCTGGGCTACATTTGGTCCGGTTGGAGGGCTAAAGGGCCAAATGTGGCTCTCCAAATTTGCCCAAAATTTTGTTTAGTCTATGACTGGAGATGAGTTTTGTATTATTTTAGAGTTATATTTGGGATATAGACCATGACTGGAGATAAGCAGTTGCCATTTTTGGCTGGGCGGGCTAAACCTCTAACCAATTTTTTTGTTCTTTCAATTTAAATAATAAAAACTACCAGCAATTTACAAGGCTATAATTTTCGGCAAACTAAAAAATCTATTCCCTCTCCCCAATATCGCTATTGTTAAAAAGTAAAAAAACTAAATTTATATCATTTATAGCTACAGAAGCTAAACACTAGAGCAAAAATCCTCCTCCCTCTATTTTGGAGCTCTAATAACGAAAATATTTTATTTTAAAACAAAATTCAAAATCGAAAGATTTGTCGATTGTAAGCATTAGAGCAAAAATACACAATTAATCAATAAAAAACCGAAATCCAATTTTCTCATTGAATGGCAAAGGCCATGTTCTAAAGGTAAAAGACAACTTTTATACCATCATTGTCTCTCTTTTTTCCTTTTTTTTTGTCCTAGTATCATAATTGTCTTAATCTATATATATAAAGCAAAAGGTAGAGAATGGTAAAATATTTAAAATATAAGAAAATGCTCTTGGTTAATGCAAACATTAAGAATTGAAATTATTAATTAAATAAGGCTAATATGATAAATTTACACTTTTTTATATTAAAAAATTTAAAATTAAAAAAAAAGATAATAGATCCTATTTTTATATAATACAATTATTTATTATCTTTTTTAATTCTTAAATAAATTTTTAATTTATAAATAAATAAATAAATAAATAAACCTCTTGCAAACGCGTAAGTACGTGCAAAGAGACTACTTTCATGATAAGGAAAAGATCTAGGTCACTTTATGTGTTGTATTTTATCCACAAATAAAATCACATAAGCACCGAAAAAGGCAAGAGACAAATTTGAAAGCTTAGTTGTCCTGGCCACTTTCCGCTAACCAAATGCCACGTGTCACACTCACCCGAGGCTAATATAAAATTCCAAATCACCACACCACCCTTCATACACCTCATTTGTAGAGCTTGTCTGTCTCTACGTCCAATCTCTTCCCGTATTCGGAGGGGTATTTTCCGTAATTTTGGAATAGACACGTGTCTCTTTTCGTTATTTCCGTCCTCGGACAGCCACTTACAAAAAAGGCTAACCCTACTTAGCCCCTTTTCTTCAATCGCCGCCTCTTTTTCGATCTCAATAATTTTTTCATCCGATTCCATCTTGATCTTTCGTCTCAATTCCGAAATTGAGATTAGATTCGATTAATTCGTTATCTCCCCTATCGTTCGATCCCAATTTCAACTATATCCGTGTTCCCAATCCGATTCTAGGGTTAGGGTTTCAGAAATTGTTCGATCTTCTTCTGCGATCGTAGATCTAAGAAACCATTTTTTGGATTAGCGATTTCCGTTCTCAATTTTTTCGGATTCCGTAAATTCTTTTGAATTATTTTGGATGTTTAGGTTTTCTGATTTCTGGGTTTTGATCCATTTAGGCTGAATTAATCCATAGATCTATTAGCCTTTGAGGTTTTTCTATCACACAGCTGCTGTATTTGTCCGTGGATCAGATGCAATTTTTGAGATTTCGACGAAAATTGAACATCTAGGGTTAGGGTTGTCAAGATTTTAGGGCTTTTCTTTATTTTCTTAAATTAGGTTGGGAAAAGTTCAGATTCATTCAAGTAAAACAGTTTTGCCCTTTGGTTGCGCTTCGAATTGAGCTTTTATCTTCCAATTCAGCGATCTGCTTCATTTCTTGAAGACTATTTTTTGAGGTACAAACCAATTCCTCTTGTTAATTTATGAAATTATTAGTGCTTAAAAATTAGAATCAATTTTAATTACTTGCTCAAATTTTGGGCTTTGATATGGCACCCATATTTTTAGCTAAATGGGGCGCCCTTTTTAAGAAATAGAATAGCAAGCATATTTACCAAATTGCCCTTCATTAGTGATGTCTCTTCTATGCCTCAGGGTGCCCAAATAATTGGCCCCACAAACCCTTTAAGAATATCAGTTATAATCATAAATTGATTCATAATTCTTAACTAGATTATAATTATCATAAAATTATGTCAGGGACTTGTAGTGGTGTCATTAACTGACATATATACTGATTCTTTAAGTTCTTGCGTGTATATGTCAAAGACATAGGTGTGTTTACTGAATTAAAATCTTTTGGTAAGCCTATTTGGGTTTGCTGGATCTGTTTGAGTTTGCTTTGTTTATTGAAAGCGTTTAGTTTATGCAGACTCTAAACTGTTAAAGATGTGTTTATGTCAGTGGAAGCAAGTTAAGATAGCATTGATTTGTGATTGTAATGGTATGTTTTGGATGAGGTCCTGCTTAGTTTCATTCAAATGAAATGCGCTTGTACTGTCTGCTATCTGAGGGATAGAATCATGGTAGAGTTAGACAATCATTTAGCTTGAGTAATTTTAGCTGAAAATTTGTACTAGAGATACTTCACTTGTGCTTTCTTTTAGATATATAGAAACATAGGTGCTGGCTTCACGGTTAATGATGGTATTAAGAAGTTTTAGGAGTTTCTTTTGCATTTTATCTAAACTTATTTTATCTCTGTCCTGCAGTTTAATATGGTACAAAAACGGCCTCTCGATGATGAGCAAATATTTGTTTCTTTCAAGCACCCAAGACAAGTGGGGCACAGTAAAGAGCTAGTTTCTTTTTCAGAATCTGTTTTTCCTGAAGATGTGCAGACTTTAGGTGAGGGACTGTAGTCTCTGTAAATATATGTCGAACCTCAGAGGGAAAATTTTGTTTGTCTGTCCTAATCAATTTTTGTGAGTTTTTCTAAGACGTTTGATAATTGAATGTCAAACAAACTCAAATCATAGCGTTTTTCACTTGTTTCTCATTTTTGTTTATAACTATTTTTGGTCACATAAAGACAGCCTAATCAGCTGGTTTTTGTTTTTCATTTTGATTTGAACTCTTGAGAAAAGTTCTGATTTTTAATTGGTAGAGAATGGATGGGCAAAAGACAATGATAAAGGTGAAGAGAAGCTTTCTGATGACATATTTTCTGATCTTCGTAAAGGTGGTGAGGATGTTGAAACCAGTGCACCTGGAAGCTTCACCATCTCCTCATGGACCACAAGCAGTACCAGTGAAGAAGATTCTCTGTTGGAAGCACCATTTCATGGATCCTTCCCGGACTGCTTCAATCCTGAACGTCCAATAAGGACATTGGCTCAATCTGAGGATATTTATTCTTTTCTTTTGGATCATCCTCCTCGGAAGTCTGTCTCCATTGGACCAGAGCATCAAGCTGATGTTCCACTGTGGGGTGCACAGAGAACCAATAATAATTCAAATAATTTAGATACATCTGAAGCAGTTTCAAACTCTGACCTTGAGGATGAGAAACGACTGATGGGGACCTGTGTTATTCCAATGCCTGATTCTGATTCATCTGCCGACACTAGTTGCATAGTTGGAATTGGTAGAACTGATTGCAGCTGTGAAGATGAGGATTCTGTTAGATGTGTCAGGCAGCACATTTTGGAAGCAAGAGAAAAACTTATAAAGACAATCGGGCCAAAGAGATTTGAGGAGCTAGGATTTAGTGACATGGGAGAGCAAGTCGCACAAAGATGGAGTGAAGAGGAGGAACAATTATTCCACCAGGTTGTCTTCTCAAATCCAGCATCATTGGGCAAGAATTTCTGGGACAATCTTTCAACCGTCTTTCCCTCCCGGACAAAAAAGGAGATTGTCAGTTACTATTTCAATGTCTTTATGCTTGTGAAAAGGGCTGGGCAGAACAGGTATGACCCAATAAATGTCGATAGTGACAATGATGAATGGCAGGGCAGTAATGATTATGGTGACAATCAACTAGCAGTTACAGAGGATGAGGACTCAGTGGTTGAGTCTCCCATATGTCAAAATGTTCCTGGTTATTATCAAAGTTGGAAGGATAATTTGCAAGAGTACGATGAGGAAGTTGTGGATGATACTTGTGATGATAATGTCAATGTGGATATGTTTGGTGGGGGAACCAAGCAAATTTTAGATAGATGCTATGGGCTGGTTGACAACTGCAGTACCTGTCCCATAGCTCAGCTTCAGGATAAGATTTCTTGGGATGAAAAGGGAGATCAAGAAGTCCAAGATGATTCATGCACGTCCTTTGATGCAGCGGCTGCTTCACAAGAGAATCAGCTGAAGTCTGAGGAGGGGAATCATTGGTCGGGTGGTTTCAATGGATCTAGCAATCGAGGTGACCATGAATATGTCTTGGAGCCTTGTGATACGAAAATCTGGGATGCTGGATATATGACTTGCCCTGAGAATAAGGTTGACTTCTTGCCAACTTGCAACATGATTGAAGAGGTTTTCGGGAAAGAGTCTTGGAATTACAAAGCAAGGGATGGTAAAAACTTGGGCTAGAGTTGCTTGTCCTTTATCAAGGTGGTTTTGGAAAAGCAGCATTGAGGTGTTCATATCCGGTGGTCCGCCCAGAGGTTTTTCCTCCGAATTTTTTTTAGAGGAGTTGAGTTTTCCTTGTGTACATCTGATTTGTTGGGAGATGGAAGCTCGCCGTCCCTGTAAAATAGTGTATTAGAAGGTGATTTGTTGTTTAGGTCTCTTTTTCATTAGCTAGTGTGGAAATGGAAAATTCCCTTCATACCTTCTTCCTAAAGAGATCCAGAGTTGTCATCTTTGTAGGGTTCTGCCGAAAATATACATATATTGTAAGCGCAACGGTCATCTTCGTACGAAGATACCGCAATGTAATTTTGAATGATTTTTCTAATGAAATTTTTTTACTGAGGATTTTATCCCTCATTCTTCACTTTGATATCTGCCTAATTCATATCCATCATCCCCTAGATAGGTGAAACAGAATGAATAATTATGCCTTGAATCCTGATTAATTTTGGTAGGGGACTTTTGGTGCTCAATGGTTTTGCAATTATGTTGAAAGGTAAGAGAAGCAAAGCTTTTATGTCTTATTATTTGAGCTAATCTTTGATTCCATCATCCACTTGGCTTGGGATAAAGAAATATGCACTGCAGTTTCTCACTGAGCTGAAAGGCAACAAATAAACAAGTTTAAGAGACTCATATCATATAATAGAGCTAGTGGTAGCCTAGGGGAATGCTAACCCTAAACCAAACCATCATCTTCCAACCAAAAGGCTGTCTAGGTAAGGAGGGCCCCACATGATGATAATTTTATTTTCTATACAATTTTGTTTTCTTTTTTGAAGTTCATTGACTCTTTTGAGTATCCCCTAAGCCTTGTTTGCTGGTGAGTGCTTGCTCGCTAACACATGCACCATTATTACTCTTGAAGAAACACATGTATCTTTATGATTGGACCATATTTACATAAAATAAATAAAAAGGAAAGGAAATTTTGGCATCAAACAAATATTAGCAAATAATTTACTTTTTTCAGAGGTAAAAGTAGTGTGATTGCGATTGAAGATACTTTTTCATTTTTTTCTTTCTTGGGTCCACTCAATTTGAGTTCATTTTTCTCACTGTGAAGCTAATAGTGATGGCATTCGAGTAAAAATGCCCCAACTGCCAAGACTATACATACATATTAGCTTATGATTCAATTAAAGCTTAATATGCTTATAATCCGTGCAACTTTTTCATGATTTTATATTATTTGTCATTGATGTCAAATGGTGTCGGCCAAGCCCAACTGACAAATCAATGTAAATGTTGTGTTGTCACATGTTTGCTTCATGCAGTGAAAGATCGAAGCAACATGGCATGATCTCCATTACACCTTTCAACCAACTTATTTTATTTCCTCCTCACCAAGATAGAGAAAAAAAGGTCATTGTAAAAATGTTTCCCCAAAACTTAATTCAAATTAATAGTTTTTTAAGAGAAAAATAAAAAAAATCATTTTCTTGTTGACATAAACGTGACATGAGTGGGAGTCGATAGATTAATTTCGAATAAAATGTGTGGATATACAAACTAATTAATGTTGCGCTTGTAATGAAACAATAAGATCAAGCACGAAACAAAACAAATGATGTCTGCTTCAAAATTAGGTGCAGGTTTAATGGTCAATGGTTGGCATCTCTCTTAAACCAATTACCAACATTTTACCGATGTGTGCTCTGGTCAACGAGTGTGTGATTCAATATTTGGTTGATGTGATTATTCACCAATCGTTGTGCTTGTGATCAGTTTGTTTTATTTTGAAAAATTTGCAGCAACTTTGAGTTCAACTGAGCCCAAAAATACTAAAAACAGCTGCTTTAGATCCAAGTACAAATATTTCTCAAATTATCTCTGTGGTGGAGTGGAGATAAGTTAGCGAAGTGGGCAGTTCAACAACTGGTGTCAACTGGTGTGGCTGCCAGAAATTTACAAAAAAAAAACAAAAAAACAATTGCTTTCTGATCAATATACAACTCCACCTTCACTTTTTTCAGCTCTCTATCCTAACACATCAAAAAGTCATTACTGAATCTTCCAAGCACATAGCCACAACAACAAGATGTCATGTTTAATTTAGCAGGTAAGGTAGACCGGAAGTATTTATAAAGTATTTATAAACCCACCTAGCTAGTTGCTGGGTTGGGACCAAATTAAACTTCATAATTAGTTCAAATTAAGGTAATTACACACAAAAAATTGATTAATATATTCATTAACAAGTAGAATCTGCACATATATAGAATAGAACAAGTGGGAAGGGTGTCCAAAAATGAAAGTAACAGAAAATATGTGTTCTCTTCTCTGCCATGATGGTTTGGTGTTGGATGGTGAGGAATGGGGATGGAAGCTTGAGAAAGCATAAAGCCAAAGTGGGCATCTTATCTCAAGTCTTGTACATGTTACAAGGCATGGCAGAAAACAAGGAGTGGCCTGTGGCCATTCTTTCATTTGAAGGAGTCTACTAGTCAATTTTGAGCATCACTTTTGGAGGGCCATCTCTCTTGACTCTCAAGCGAAGTCTTCTGTGGGCTACCATTCATATCTCTCACGTACGTATTTATACGTATGTATGTTCCCGAATGGAACGCGTGTACATTATACGTACACGCGTACAAACATAAAAGAAACACTATATTGAATCTGCTGATGGACCAGTAGACATAATAGTATGTGCACATCTCGTGGATCCATTAAAAATAGACAACAAAAGAAGAGAAAAAAAGAAATGCAAGTACAGAGGGGTTACAGCTAAACATTGTACTAATTAAAGAAGCCGGCAAAAAGGGCAAAAAGGAAGGGAATTATGCAGCCAAATAAGTGTGATTAGTGGCTGCTAATAAGACATTAACATTACGATTAGAGCAATGAAAGCCGGCTCCTCCATCATCATCAATAAAGGCCGGCCAGCAGCACCCTCACTCGTTTTGGCCATGCTTCTGCCCAATTTTCTGACTTTCTTTGTATGGCTGCTGCACCCACAACTCTAGACATGCAGCATGTACTAATTCTTTATAGAATTAACTTGCTTGTATCATTGGGTTAGGAATTAATCCTAAACTAATCAACACCTTTTATTATTAACTACCAAACTATGGCCCCCATCTACTTCTGTTATTTCATTAGACCCTTTATACTATAAGTTAGTGATCATTTTAAATTTTCTGATATATATGTTGAATTGTTCTTCTCATGTACAGAACTGTATAGGTTATTTGACCTCTATATATATATATATATGATGTTATATATTTGTTGAAGTGGGTTGTGAGTAGGACATGCAAATCCACTTAAATCAAGATTCAGAAAAGGGATGAACTATATTTGTACTGATATATACAATTAGATTCTAGCTACCCCATTCTTTAAAGTTAGTTTTGATTTTGTTAGATATGTTGAAAATTGAATACATGCATGTATTTAAGATCTGGATAGAAATTATATTATCTTCCCTGTATATATTATTTCCAGATCAATATAATTATATATCAGAATAACTTCAACTTCTATATATGAAAATATTGCTGCCTTAAAACCCTTCCTGGGCACAAAGGGATTGAATTAATACTTGAAGGCTTCCTTGCATTTCATAATGATCCGTAGGTGAGCGGGACTGTTATTTGGTTTTTCATTTGTTTTAAAAGATAGCTTCCAAAAGAAAGAAATCTGATATGGTTTGCATATATAGAAAGTGTGCTGGTTTGTAGAAGGCATGGTGAAAATATAATCAAAATTAATTACCTTATCAGAGAGATCATGTCTACCAAACTCTGCTGCTTTTTTCATACATATTTCAAAGGTTACCTATAAAAAAAAAGGAAAAAAAAACTTACTTTATTCCAGCCATGGAGGTTAAGATTGATGATTTGATCATTTTGGCTCTTGGGGTAAAGTTGGATTTTAATTGTTTAAGGATTAAAGTAAATTGTGGAGATAATCAGGAGGCATAATAATTAATATGGGGAAGCATCAGTGGTTTCAGTGATGCATTGCAGCTTCCTGGGCTACTGTAGCATCTCATTCTCATGTTCATGTAGAGAGTGCTCATAGGTACAAATCCAAAGTACACTAATATATATCCCTCCAATTGATCACTTACCAATAAAGCACATCAAAGTTGGTTTTGAAGGATAATTATGAATATAAAATGAAGGGTTTATAACTATATACTGTACTGATCACACACAAATAACATAAAACAACAGTGGTAGAGTGTTGAATACTGTGCTAAATGCTTTGGTTGAAACTCAAGGAACTGGATAGAGGGATTAATCTGTGGGACACACCATGAAAAATCTTGAAAATTAATAAAAGCACTTTCATAATAATCAATTGATGAGAAGAAGCAAAAAAGAAAAAGAAGAGATAGTCCAAAAGAATAACGGCCGGAGAGTGGAACCATTCACTTGGGTGAGAGTTTAGAGAGAGAGTGTGTGTATGTGTGTGGGGCCCAATTTCTTAATAGCAAGACAAAGGAAGGAATAGTTAAGGAGGAGAGGGAGTTAGTTTAAGTAGGTTCCTGAGGCATAGGGAAGCTCAGCTGGACAAATCTTGGCCGTTGGATTGGGGTTGGCGTAGGATCCTCAGTTGAGTACACGTGCTGCTATCTTTCCTCTCCTTTACCTCTCTCTCACTTTTTTATCTTTGCTTCCATGCATGGATTTCTCCTCCAAATATAGTCAAGTTCACAGGGAGAGAAATAGTGTGTGTGAGAGAGAGAAACAAACGCTCGCTCACTCACTCTCACTTTTAATTTCTTCTTTGGCCTGTTCATCGCCATCATTACCAACAAAGCCAAGCCAACACCACCTCACACCTCACCCTCTTCAAATTCTGTATCTTTTTCTTATTTTTCAACTACCCAAGAACAGAACAGAACATAACAGAAACAGAGAAGAGCAGAGCAGAGCTACTAATTCTCTGGAAGAGTAAAAGCTACTACATATTTCACTGTCAGATCTTTTTTCATGCTAACATAACTCTGAAATCTGGGATTTCTTCTTCTTTGTTGGTTAGCTCAAAGAGCAACAGCATCGACCTTGATCTGATGCAAATTTCACTCCTAGTTTGAGCTTTCACCTTGATTTTCTGATCTGGGTTCTGTCATTTCTCTTTGGAGGTACTCTGTTCATTAGCATTTGTTCTTTTTTAGTGTAATGAGATCAAGCATCTCAGAATTTGGTAAACTTCTTTGATCAGATTTGAAGCCTCCTTAGCTTGGCCGATCTTTACTGTTTCCTTTATAGGAAGAATTTTGATTCCAACCAATGGAATTGGAAGATCAACAATTCAAGCATCTATGCAAGTTCTGCAGCAAGAGCTTTCCCTGTGGTAGATCCTTGGGAGGTCACATGAGGTCTCACTTGACCAATAATTCGGTAGAAACAGAGGAAAAACTCATAATCGGCAAAGTTAAACTCCCATCAGCCAACAATGTTAATTCTGATTTTGAAACCGGACCTCATCATCAGCCAGGTTATGGCCTCAGAGAGAACCCCAAGAAGACTTGGAGGCTTGCAGATTCAAGTGAGGACACTTCACTTCTCCCTGACAAGTTTTGCAGAGAATGTGGTAAAGGGTTTCAGTCTTGGAAAGCTCTGTTTGGTCACATGAAGTGCCACTCAGAGAAAGAAAGAGTTGTTAATTCCATCAATAGCTTTGATGAAGAAGAAGAAGAAGATTCTTGGACTTGTGCCAACCAGAAGCTAGTCATGGACAACCAATCTGACAACGAAACTACTACTCCCAACAGGAGAAGAAGATCGAGACGAAGAAGAACAAGGTACATGGGCACAACAACCTCCTCTTCCAATTTCTCTATTGCTAATGCTGCCACTTCCTCTGTTTCTGAGATTGAGCAAGAACAAGAAGAGGTTGCTCTGTGTTTAATGATGCTTAAAAGGGATGCGGGTCACTGGGGTGGCTTGAAATTTGTAGCACATGACTCCTCTGATAACAATTCTGTGTTCTCTGAAGCTCCTTCATCAGGTCGAACAAATCAGGCTAATGCTGATATTAAGGGTAAGGTTTCTGTCTGCAGTGGTATTGAGATTTTGAAACTGAAGAAGAAACTTAATAAAAAGACATTGGAGCTTGGAAATTTGGATTCTGATTTTTCAAAACATGGGTCTAGGATGAAAAAAGAAGAACTTCTTTCTGCTGTTGGGTTTTCCAAAAATGATAATTGGACGAAAAAACGGAGTTAGCTCAACCTCAATTGGGTTCAAACAACAAGTGCAATTCAAGCAAGAGAAAATTCCAGGAGAGTTATGATTTTGAGTCAAGGTCAGAGCAATCTCTGAAAACATTGAGCACAACTAGAGGTGATGTTTTAGATTCTGAAGCAGTCTGCAAGAGTTCTCAAAAGAGAAGCAAATTTGAGTGCACTACTTGCAACAAGGTTTTTAGGTCATACCAAGCTCTAGGAGGCCATAGAGCAAGTCATAAAAAGATCAAAGGATGCTTTGCCTCAAAAGTTGAAAGCAGTGAAAACACCATTGAAACAGACCTCTCTCCTGAGCCAACATCAGACAGTAAGCTCAGCAAGTCTTGCAACAATGAAAACCCCATTAAGCATGATGTTAAAGCTGAGATTAGTACAGAGAATAAAGGTCATGCTTGTCCAATTTGTCTAAAAGTTTTCCCCTCAGGCCAAGCCTTGGGTGGTCACAAGAGATCCCATTTGATTGGTGGTTCAGCTGAGAATAAAAACAGCCAAACCATTGTAATTCAGAAACCTGCAGCACCTGAAGTCAGGGACTTTCTTGATCTCAATCTCCCTGCTCCTGTTGAAGAAGAGATCAGTAGCAGCCATGCTGCTGCCTTTAAGCCATGGTGGGTTGGAAGCAGCCATAAGCATGAGGCCCTTGTAGGCCTCATCTCCAACTGAGTTTCCTCTATAAGTCCTGCCCATGATGGTTTCCAATCCAATAAAGATTCAAGAGTGTACAGATACATATTTCTGGACATTAATTCATTAATTCTTTACAGATTTTAGAGTTGGCTGAGGCATTGCTGCTCATTGCCAGTTTCCAACAAATTCTCAATTACCATTTCCATCTTTTGTTACAGTATACCATATAAATCTCATTTCCTTTTGAAACTTCAATACTGTAATTGAATTTCATATTCTCTTATAAGAATTGTACCTTTTTTTATATATAGGAAAGTAATTATTATTTTTTAATGGCATCAAAAAGAAATGAGTGAGGTGTTGAAAATTGGGATGCTATATGAAGTCATGAAGAGATAAATAAAAAATAAAAAAAATAAAAATTTATAATGTGCACAAAGATGGCATGTGAGCTAGGTGAAGGTGAAGGTGGTTGTTTAGTCACCTACCATTAAACATGACAACCAATCTCACTTCTTTCTCAAACTTAGTATGTTAAGTGATGCTTATATTTCTCTACTCTAACTACTATGCTCACTAGAATATAATTCATCTTTTTTTAAATTTGGACCACTCCAACTTACAAGTGTCTATATGCAAGTATAAAGTCACTTCATCACGCGAACTCTGCTGCCCTCAAATTAACTGCAAATAGGTTTTATTTTAGGTGGGAAATGCTGCTAAAGCACGGAATATTTTTATCCCAATAATCAATTTGGTCTTTTAAACATAATTTTTTTTTGGAGAACGTCTTTTTTAATTGAAACGGATGATAGCATACTAAACACACACACTACGCATGAGATTTTTTGGTCACCTCTTGATAGAGCTATACATTTATATATTTGGGCAGCTTTTGATTTAAGTGCTTTTGTTTGACAAGAGCATGGAGAAGTCAGGAGTGGTTGTTTCACTCTGGCTTTCACTTGTTGTGGTAGATGGCAGTGGGTGGTGAGTGCTTGTACATAGAATAGAATGATAGAAAGCCTTGCATATTGTTTAGGCTCTTAAGTGACAAAAGGGTATTAAGTCTTATTTCATAATTGTGTTAATGAAGTTTTTAAATTGAAGTTGGAAGAATGTGTTATTGCCATCGTCTCTCCACCTGTCAACACCTCTTTGTCCCAACAGTCCTATTAGATGTAAGAAATAAGTCATCACTCATCAGATTAGTGGCCTTTCTCAGATCCAAGCAAGAAAAAAGCTTTTGTCTTGGTCAGCAATGGAGTCAACTTTAATACAAAGTCAACTGGGTAGGATTTTGGATTAGATGTGGGCCAGGGCTGATGAGCTCATTTGATAAATTGATATGAGATACTCATGCCAAGGGGAAATTTTTCTCTGAAAATGAACACTAAGGAAACTTAGCAATGTTTGCAAATATTCATATATGTAGGAGGAAGGAACATGGAACTCAAACAAGAATAATAATGTGCCATAATACTGAGTGGAACCATGTTTTAAAGTATTTAAAAGATAGTGAAATTTATAACCTTTTTTTTAATAGAGAAAAACAATAATTATATTAATAAATTATACACAAATTATCAACCACAAAGACTAAAACAAATATGAAATTTACATCTAAGAAACTTGGATTTTGATTGGAAAATCTTGGTCCCTGAAAATTTACATCTAAATTATTGAAGTTTGAACTCGTAGCCCAAATTGTTATTGAAAAGGTTTTCCAAATTATAGCCCAAATGATTGAAGTTTGAACTAGTAGCCCAAAGTATTGTTGAAAGGGTTTTTCCAACCCAAACCCCCATTCCCTACATTTCCAAAGCACCAGATACTATTCTGCAAACCCACTTTCTCCAACGAACCACGCCACAATCCCGTCATACACTAACCCTAATTCCAACTTCACTCCCTACATTTCCAGAGCACCAGATACTATGCGTGCAAACCCAACACCTTCTTCAACGAACCACGCTACAATCCCATCATTCACTAACCCTAATTCCAACTTCACTACAAAGTTACACTCCCAAATGTTCAATCCTTCACAAGATTCCACCAATTTCACCTATCACATTCCTTATCAATCCAACACCATAAACCCTAACAGTAACCAACGTTGGTTGTTTCCTCCACCAGTGGTTCCCTCTGCAGTAGCCTTTGATCCAGCCCTTCGCCCGCCTGGAACTGAACCAAATGCCAATTCAGGCTCATACTCGTGGACCCATGTTGTATTCCAAGCTCAAACGCCATTTGGTGAAGACCCAAATGCTGGTTCTCAGAATGGGGCTATCCAACAAGCTGAACCCATTGGACACGAAGCTGTAAGTGCCTTTCTTCAATTCAAGTTTGGTTTTTTGGTGCATAATATAACTCTTGGGCTCTTTTCCCTAAATGGGTTGTGATGTATTTGTTTTGTGATCCTGTTCTATGGGTTTTGATGTGTTTATGTGGTGTATCGAATGGTGCTGTAGTAGTGGAAAATTAGATTGGATGTCTTCTTTTCAAAAGCATTGCTTCATTTTCGCATTACTCAGTTTAGTTTAGGTCATTTAAGTGTATTATGTGTGCATCCACTCGTGGACTGTGTATTCTAATACTCTTATGACCCATGTTCATCGTATGTTTCATGTCTAATTCAGACATTCATAAGTTTTCCCATATGCTTGCATTGTTTAGTATATGTACGATTACAATATATAAAGTCACATTGAAAACCATTTTTTATTGTTTGCAGTCTATCAAGTCTCTGAATGAGAGTTTGTTAGTGCCCACCACTTCAAATTCTTTGTGGAATAGCAATGGGACAAATCGGTGTGATGTTTGTAATGTCAGTTGTAGTAGCAAAGAAAATTACGAGGCACACATATTGGGAAAGAAACACCAGAAAAAAATCAGAATGCAATATAATCCCACTGCCACAGCCTCTAATGTTCTAAACAATATCAGTCTGCCAAGCCAAACAAGCAGTGTAGGTGGGCAAGTGATATTTGGGGGTTCAGGTGTGGCTGCTGGTGCAGAATTGGAAACAAAGAGACGTAAGATTGTGAATGGTGGTGCAGCGGTTGATTCCATGGTGGTTTGCACAATATGCAACGTTGTTTGCAATAGCCAAGAAGTTTACATTAAACACCTGGCTGGTAAAAGGCACAAGGCTCAGGTAAATAACAATTTAACTAACTTTCCTTTTAAGATTCTTCTGTCACTTTTGCCATACATCTTTCCATAGTGTCTGCATTTCAGTATTTTGTTTTTTTTTCTTTGACTTATGATATGGTATTTAGGTGCCCTCAAGTCTTTATTAGTGATTTTGGATACACTTGCTTGTATCATGTGAGTCATCTTGAGGATCTTGCATTCTTTATGTTATTATTTGGATTCTCAATGTTTTCTTATATGTGTCCTTCAAGTGGGCCTTATTTATCTTATTTTGTGATTTTTTACTTTTTTTTATTATTAATATATTACTTACTTTTACTATTTCCATTATGTAGGCTAGCTTAGTGGCTCCAAATGTTGGCCCATATTTTGGTGCAGTTCAATCTGAAGTTACTGGCATTTGGAGTAAAGATCCAAATAAAATCAAACTAGTTCAGTCTGCATGGTGTGAAGTTTGTAAAGTCAATTGTAACAGCAATGACACCTACATCAAACACTTAGTTGGAAAGAAACATCAGAAGAACTTGGAGCAAATTGAAAAGTTAAAGAATGATGGCAGTGCCTCAACCTCAAATGTTCCATCAGCTGCAACAAATGCAATAATTGGACCAATGGAAAACCCAGGAGCCAAGGGTTCCCAGCCAGAGGAGGATTTGGAGACAAAGAAGCGCAAGATCATATCAGGAGGAGCAGCAGCTGGTGCGGTCAAAACGTGTACTGTATGCAATGTGGTGTGCAATAGTCAGACAGTTTTCAGTTCTCATCTTGCTGGTCAGAAGCATGCTGCTATGGTGAAGAAACAGGCAGAAGTTGGAGTAGCAATCAGAGCCTCTCAACAGATAACCGCTTCTTGAAACCTGAATTCGGCTCAAAGATCTTCATTATGGCTCGAAGATCTTCATTATGGCTCAAAGATCTTCATTGGTGGAGTTGTAGAGCTTATTTTGCACAATTGTCAAGCAGCACCAACAGCAATAGCACAGCTCATGAGGACTCCTACAAATTGGGACAAGATGTAGAGAGGTGTGATTTTTGTATCCTTGTATTTTTTCGGTCTATTTTTGAAGATGGCTTGTTTGGAACAGAAGAGAGAAGATTTGCTTGGATATGCTAATAGAGTTGAAGGAAGAAGACAGAGAGTTCTAGAATATTCATAGGGAGGAATTTAGAGGAAATATTTCCTTTTGATTTCTGTATTTCTCATTGAATGAATTGAATGAAACCAATACACATGGGATTACAGACTTTATACTACCGCAGAAATCACATGGATTACACTAACAGTCTAACCATAATGACGTGTCAGCCAACAACCTTCCAAGCTGACTAACCTTTAGCCAAACAGGATATTGTGTGACACAAAATATATATTGGTAATGGATTAGCTATATATGTAAGAATTGACAGTGAATTATGTCATAACAAGCATTTTGAGATAGTTGTGCCAATACATTCCCCTTCCGTTGTATTGGTTGGAGTCTTGATTTGTTCGGTTTTACTGCTTGTTTTTAAACTGGAGCATACTTCTCACGGAATTTTGGTTTAATAATATTTATTTGACTTGCCATCTTGTTACCTTGTGGAAGTTGTTAAATTTCATTGCCAATTACTGCCTTATTTATATGTTTATTACTTAAAAAAAATATTTGATTTGTATGCTGCTAAAGAAATAAAAAGACATGTTGAAAGAATCACAATCCCAAAGCTTGGGGTTGATCGGGATAATGTTTATATTTTCTTTGCATACCGTATTTGCCAATGTGGGTGTTAACAGGGGCACCACCAGTATCTCACTTAGCTGCTAGCCCTCCCTCGCTCACTCACTCACTCACCTGTAGGGGTTCTCAACCAATTTATTACTTATTTGATTACGGATAAGTTTGAATTGTCTCCCAGTCATGAAGTCTGTAGAGCTTACATCTACTGTCTCTGTGTTAAGAGAAAGTGGGGCATGTGGGTGTAGTTAGGCTAGTGGTCTGTGGGATGTGAAGTGTTATGTATGAGTTCTGGCCTCTTGCAAGAGCAAGAGTGCTTATTGGCGCCTTAGGTTTTTTTAAGTTATAATTGTTGTATTGCGAGTGATTAAGTTTATTTTGTAATTAAGGTTATTGTCTTTCAGAGTTTTGAGGTTTTGTTAAGTTGATTATATCTTCTAAATGTTACATTACTTATGGTTGTTAGGAAGAACTGAAAGAGGAAAAGTTGAAGGCAAAGGAAGAAGCAGAGGATCTAGCTCAAGAAATGGCGGAGCTCAGATACCGAATGACAGGTTTGCTTGAAGAAGAGTGTAAGCGCCGTGCTTGCATTGAACAAGCATCTTTACATAGAATTGCTGAGTTAGAAAGCACATATATTGAGGTTCAGATTCGCAGTGTGTCTGTTACCAGTGAGAGGACACATCTGAAGCGGGCAAAATCAATGAAAATCCTTTGCTGCTCTCCGGCATCTCAATGAAGCAAGGTTCAGAGGTAGCATCCCGATGATTACATGGTATTTCAGCTTCAGCTCTAACGTTTGTGGCTGTGGAATTTCCGAGAGACCATTCCAATGAAAGATTGAGCAATGATAAAATATGCAAGCATGTCAGTAGAGAAAAGGATTCGCATTTACATGGTGCAACGTGAGGAACTTGCACTAAATTGTTTCCCATGCTTTTCCTGTATCCCTGTTTGATTATTTGGACGAGACTAACATAAAATTTTCATATACCATATGTATAAACATTAAAAGAGATTAAAAAGGAGGGGTCTTTTGTGTAAAATTTTTAGCTCTTAATTCTTTTTCATGTGCCTTATGAAAGTCTCGCATGTACTATGTTCCCCTTTGCACAATCATATTCATATTACCAATCAAAATTCAAACTTGACAATTGCAGTAAGGACTCAACGCTAGGAAATTAACTCAAGTAAACTACATTGTTAGATCTAGAAGTGGCCAACGTATGGAGGCCCTCCTTAATCATGAAAGTCTTAATAGGAAAATAAAATAAAATTGTAGATGTATTTGACCTTCCATCTTTCCTTCAATTTGCTTCATAAACATTTGAGTCCATTGCAGATGGTGAGACCGTAGTCTCAATTGGCAGAACTTTTGAGCTTGAATATTTCAGTCTTGGTGCTTCAAAAAACTGGTATGTGGCCATATTGTACAAGAAGATATCGGTTACCACCAATGTATGGATTGGCAACAGAAACACACCCCTCACTGGTTCATCAGGTGTACTCAAGGTGCGCAGCCCTGGAATTCTTGGCCTTGTCGACCATAAGAACACTACAGTTTGGTCTTCCAACACATCAAGTTCTGCACATAATCCAATGGCACAGCTTTTGGATTCCGGAATCTTGTTGTGATAGATGGCAATGGTCATAATTACCGTGATAATATTTTATGGCAGAGTTTGATTACCCAGGTGATGCATTAATACTAGGTATGAAGCTTGTTAGAGCATCCACAATGGGCTCCCTAAACCACCTCCTTAGACAAATTTTAAAGAGGAATTGTAAAAATGCAACTCCAACCATGCTCTCTCTCCACCTCCTAAAATAGGGAGTCCTTTAGGAGCTCCTAAATCTGAGGAGAGAGAAATGATTCCTAGTGGCTCCCTATAATTTAATGCTGCTTTATTTAATGAGTAGTTCAAACCTTTATTTAATGCTAACTATATATATATATATATATATATATTTAACAGAGATGGACCAATCAAAAAAGAGTTATAACATTTATGACTCTCCAAATTAGGGAGTATGGTTGGAGTTGAAATTTTTAGAGAGCTCCTAAATAACTTTCTTATATTTTTAGCTAAAAATAGAGAGCATCACTGTGAATGCTCTTAGGAACAAAATCACAAGTTTTAAATGGCATCTTACACCTTGGAAAAGCCCTAGGATCCTTCTCAAGGAAATTATACAGATCAACTTGGTCCTAATGGATACCATGAATTAATTCTGAGGGAGGGTTTTGTTATAAAATATCGGACTGCACCATGGAATGGAATCCAATTTAGTGGGATGCATAATTTAAATCCAAACCATTCGTACACATATATTTGTGTTGGATAATGATGATGAAGTATATTATGGTTATAAGCTTCTCAACAGCTTAACCCTTATCAGGCTGGCGTTAACTCAAGATGGATTTGGGCCGAGCTACATTGGGAGTGATGGAAACCAAGTCCCCAGTATGTAGCTGCTTGAAAGGATTTATACCAGACTTTCAACAAGACTGGGACTTGGTGGATTGGTCATCTAGCTGTGTGAGAAAGACTTAACTGAATTGCAGTGGAGACATCTTTAAGAAGTATACTTTGGGGTAAAATTGCCAAGTATAGAACAATCTTAATATAACACAAGTATGAACCTCAAGGAATGTGAGATGATGTGCATGAACAACTGCTCCTGCATCGCTTTTGCAAATTTGGTTTTGGATATCCGAGATGAAGGAAGGGGGTGCTTGCTGTGGTTCAGCGATATGATTGATATAAGATATTCCAATATAAATGGGCAAGATATTTACATAAGAATGGCTTCATCAGAACTAGGTATGGAATCATCTTGCTATTTAAAACAAAGTTTAAAAGAAAAAAAAAAGAAAGAAAGAAATCTTCCAACAGTTACATGATTAGAAACAAGATAGAGCCAGAAAACTTTTGACATGATTAGAAAAATATTTCTTTAGAATTGTGTCATAAACTAGCATTAATTGTTCGTTGGAGGATAAAAGTAGAGATTTTTTTCTTTATGAATTTCTGACTCCTCAATCTTCTGCTTTCAAATACTTCATTCCTAGATCAAGGAGACAATACAAAGATCATAGTAAGGAGTATTCTATTTGTTATGCAAAAACACTACAAGATATTGTCGTTGATGGACTATACGACGACACACATACAAACCCCTTTGAGAATAAAACACATGCACGTTGAAGAGAGAAAACAAACACACAAGAACACAAATATTTATAAATGTTCGGCCTCGTGCCTATGTCCTCTTGGTAATCCAACCGAGAAATTCACTAGTATGTAAGAACAACTTTGGTTAAAATCTTGAACCCCCTTAGTTCTCACAAGAACCCTAATTGAAGATAGAGACGCCAATTTTGAGCATCGGCCAAAACCAACAGGTCTCCTGCTGTGTTGTTGCCTCATTGCGACTTCTTCTCCATCCTTGCGGCCCTTGGTTCCTCTTCCTCCTCCCACATCATGATGAGCCAAAACTTCAGCAATCTTCACCTTGGCGAACCATCAATCACCTATGAACAATAGTTGATCCCTATAACCTCTTCAACCTCTTGGAAACCGTTCTAGTAATTCCCAAGAGCTGCACAATGGCAAGAAACCTTTTGCATCAACGCACCTTAGGTGAGGAGGTGCTCCACCCAATGCTATACTTGGGCCACCCAAACCTCCTGTGTAGAAAAGAGATCCTCTATGTCAAGCTCCTTGCTCCTCATCTTCTTGGAACCTTGAATTCTTGACACGCCTTGGTATGCAAATCGCATACCAACCCTTGTTCTATAAATCCCCATGTAGCCACCAAATTTGCTCTTGGATTTATGAACTAACGCCTTTCTTTTCATCAAAGCACCCATCCAACTTTCCCTCTTCATACTCCCCAAAGCACTCCGAAACGTAGTTGAATCTCTTTTGTCCATCTATCCAAAACTTGGGGATGATTTAATAGATTCCTTAGGCTTAGACCTTGTTTGTAATGAAGGCTCCACCTCAAGTAGAACCCCTTTATGAGTTTATTGTTGATACCCATCTTCTTTAACCTTTATGTCAAGCTTCACCCACCTTGGAGTCCCATCTATGACCATCTTGGTAAGAAGCATCTTTTTGGTTCCCATCGACCCAACAACATTCTCTCCATCATCCCTTGTCTTGACTTCACTTTTGTGAACCTTATCCTCTAATAGCATCACTTCTACACCTTTGAAATCAAGCACCCTTGATGATGAACTGTTAGTCATACAACCTTGACTAACCTCCCTTCCCTAACTAGTCTTGAGCATAATGGTCATATTTAACCTTCTCACTATCAAACATTCTTCTATGTATTTTTGATAGCGCAATGAAATGATTGGCCTCCAATATGATGCTCATACTTATCCTTCGGTCAATTCTCTTTATTGGGCTTTGATCGCTCTATAATAGGAAAACTAAATATTTAATACAATATATATGTGTAGTCAAAACATTTAAACTTTTAAAACAAATATGTTAGGGAATTGTAAACTGCTTTTTTAGTACCATACACTCGGGAGACTGAAAATGTGCATATAAATATAGCCATTGTGATTTGCCACTCCCCATCATCTCCTTGGGAGGGTTTTCCTTAGCGTGTTTAGCTGGTTCAAAAGACTTGAAGTAGTCATGCAATTCATACTTGAATTCCTGATAGATCTTTTGAAATAAATCCTCAACATAATCCTTATTCACTTGGTATGTACGTTGACATCAAAGTTTCATGTTCGTTATCCTTTGCACACAGTGCTATGTAATGTGCAAATGTTATATATTAGTTCTTCTTAAAATTGGTTGATTAACATGTTTCCAAAATCAACACCAAGATTGCAACTTATTTTTTACAAGCAACATTGCTGCCTCATTTTCAGCAGCAACTTTTATCTTCACACTCGGATGAGCTTTGGTGGAAGAGGTTGCATATTTAATATCATGAAGTCGGGATGCACATAAATATAGTCATTTTGATTTGTCTCTTCTCTTCATCTCCTTAGGAGGGCTTTCCTTAGCATGTTCAACTAATTCCAAAGACTTGAAGTAATCATTCAATTCATACTTGAATTCCCAATACACATTATGAAATAAATCCTCAACATAATCCTTATTCCACTCGACATGTACGTGACATCAAAGTTAACATAAAAGCAATATAATCAAAAGTACATAAGATGTAAACACCTTATTCCATTCGACACGTATGTCGACATCAAAGTTCCCTGTTCATTATCGTTCACCCATATTGCAGTTCTTCCTGAAATTAGTTGATTAACATGCTTCCAAGTCAGTAGTAACATCACAACTTATTTTTCACAAGCAATCATTGCCTCAGTTTCATCAACAACTTTTATCTTCACACTCGGAGGAGCTTTTGTCCCTTCATATTGCATTAATACGACTTTTTGTAACATCCTCGTTATGAAGGCAAAAGATTCATGCCTCAACCTCATTGCATTAAAATATCGATATTCAATATTTGACAATTATTTGTAGTTGATGCACGATTTTTGTGTGTGCAATAGATTTTTTTCTAGCTATCAAACATACTTCTATGTGTTTTAGATAGAGCAATTAAAATGGTTTTGCACCATCATGATGGTCATACTTTTCCTTCGATCGATTCTCTTTATTGGCCCTTTCACATCTTGAGGCAATTATTCGGAAAAAAAGTTCGATAGATCATGCATATTAAAGTGACGTTCCTGAAGACAAGAGAAAAGAACCTTATGGATGAGATCATTGTGAGTGTGCCAAGTATGATGTTAAATATCCAATGTTTCATTATTGTTAATTATAGGTCAGCGATAACATAGACTTAAAGTAAGTATAATTGTCATCATCATGTCAACAAAATCATGGCTAAACGGTTTCGAGACTTAAATAAATATGATTGTCGTCATTAAAATCGTTAATCAAATATACTTATACTATCAAACATTAAAATCATTAAATAAGTACAATTCTTCTTGCTATCAAACATATTTCTATGTATTTTTGATAGCGCAATGAAAATTGTTTTGCTCCAGTATGATGATCATACATATCCTTTGAGTAATTCTCCTTATTAGTTTTTGATCGCTCTACAATAAGTAAACTGAATATTAATACAATATATATGTATAGTCAAAACATTTGAACTTTTAAAACAAATATGTTAGGGAATTGTAAACTGCATATTTAATACCATAAACTCAGGAGACTGAAAATGTGCACATAAACATAGCCATTTGTGATATGTTTCTTCCCATTATCTTCTTGGGAGGGTTCTCCATAGCATGTTTAGTTGATTCGAAAGACTTAAAGTAATCATGCAATTCATACTTGAATTCCCAATATATCTTCTGAAATAAATCCTCGATGTAGTCCTTATTCCACATGCCATGTATGTCGACATCAAATGTGACCTAAACGCAATATAATCAAAAATACATAACATGTAAATACTTTCGAGTTTTTCCCATCAACAGGGGAGGCTTTAGCCAACTCACCATTGGAGATACTTGATAGAGATGTCGCACATGAATGTGCATTTTTGTGTACTCATTTCTTTCACCAGAATTTTTGGTATTGATATAATTGTATTATTTATTAAACTAATTTTAATTACCTCTTCATATGAATTTATTTTTACTTTGTAACTATGCAGAAAGAATTTAGTGCCAATAAAGTAAACTAAACCAAAAAATAGATGGAGCATCATGCATGTTCGTTATCATTCGCACACATTGCGATGCAATGTGCAAATGTAATATATTAGTTCTTCCTGAAATTGGTTGATTAACATGTTTCCAAATCAATAGTAACATCACAACTTATTTTTCAAAAGCAACATCGTTGCCTCATTTTCATCAGCAACTTTTATCTTCACACTCGAATGAGCTTTTGTCTATTCGTATTGCATTAATATGACTTCTTGTAATATCCTTGTTATGAAGGGCCAAAGATTCGTGCCTCAACCTCATTGCATTAAAATATCAATATTCAATATTGGACAATTATTTGTAGTTGATGCACGATTTTTGTGTGTGCAATAAATTTTTTTCTCACTATCAAACATACTTCTACGTGTTTTTGATAGAGCAATGAAAATGGTTTTGCTCCATCATGATGGTCATACTTTTCCTTCGATCGATTCTTCTTATTGGCTCTTTCACATCTTGGGGTTATTATTTGGAAAACATGTTCGATGAATCATGCTTATTGGAATGATGTTCCTGAAGACAAGAGAAAATGACCTTATGGATGAGATCACTGTGAGTGTGCCAAGTATTATGTTAAATATCTCACGGTTCATTATTGTTAATTGTAAGTCAACTATGACATAGACTTAAATAAGTATGATTGTCATTATTATGTCAAAAAAATCATGGCTAAGCTGTTTCGAGACTTAAATAAGTATGATTGTCATCATTAAAATCGTTAATCAAACATATTTATACTATCAAGCATTAAAATCATTAAATAAGTACAATTTGCAAAATATGCAACGTTGTTTGCAATAGCCAAGAAGTTTACATTAAGCACCTGGCTGGTAAAAGGCACAAGGCTCATGTAAATAACAATTTAACTAGCTTTCCTTTTAAGATTCTTCCGTCACTTTTGCCATACATCTTTCCATAGTGTATGCATTTCAATATTTGTTTTTTTTTCTTTCACCTGTGATATGGTATTTAGGTGCCCTTGAGTCTTTATGAGTGATTTTGGATACACTTGCTTGTATCATGTGATCGTCATCTAGAGGATCTTGCATTCTTTATGTTATTATTTGTATTCTCAATGTTTTCTTATATGCGTCCTTCAAGTGGGCCTTATTTATCTTCTTTTTTACTTTTTTACTTTATTATTATTATTAATATATTACTTACTTTTACTATTTCCATTATATAGGCTAGCTTAGTGGCTCCAAATGTTGGCCCATATTTTGCAGTTCAATATGAAGTTACTGGCATTTGGAGTAAAGATCCAAATAAAATCAAACTTGTTCAGTGTGCATGGTGTGAAGTTTGTAAAGTCAGCAATGACACTTACATCGAACACCTAGTTGGAAAGAAACATCAGAAGAACTTGGAGCAACTTGAAAAGTTAAAGAATGAAGGCAGTGCCTCAACCTCAAATGTTCCATCAGCTGCAACAAATGCAATAATTGGACCAATGGAAAACCCAGGAGCCAAGGATTCTAGGAGGATTTGGAGACAAAGAAGCGAAAGATCGTATCAGGAGGAGCAGCAACTGGTGCGGTCAGAACGTGTACTGTATGCAATGTGATGTGCAATAGTCAAACAATTTTCAGTTCTCATCTTGCTGGTCAGAAGCATGCTGCTATGGTGAAGAAATAGGCAGAAGTTGGAGTAGCAATCAGAGCCTCTCAACTTAAAGTAATCATGAAATTCATACTTGAATTCTTGATATATCTTTTGAAATAAATCCTCGACATAGTCCTTATTTCACACGCCTTGTACGTCAACATCAAACGTGACCTAAAAGCAATATAATCAAAAATACATGACATGTAAATACTTTCAAGTTTTTCCCATCAACATGGGAGGCTTTAGCTAACTCACCATTGGAGATAATTGATAGAGATGTCGCACATGAATGGGCATTTTTGTGTACTCATTTTCTTTCACCGGAATTTTTGGTATTGATATAATTGTATTACTTATTAAACTAATTTTAATTACCTCTTCATATGAATTTATTTTTACTTTGTACCTATGCAGAAAACATCTAGTGCCAATAAAGTAAACTAAACCAAAAAATAGATGGAGCATCATGCATGTTCGTTATCATTCGCACACATTGCGATGCAATGCGCAAATGTAATATATTAGTTCTTCTTGAAATTGGTTGATTAACATGTTTCCAAATCAATAGTGACATCACAACTTATTTTTCAAAAGTAACATCATTGCCTCATTTTCATCAGCAACTTTTATTTTCACACTCGAATGAGCTTTTGTCCATTCGTATTGCATTAATATGACTTCTTGTAATATCCTTGTTATGAAGGGCCAAAGATTCGTGCCTCAACCTCATTGCATTAAAATATCGATATTCAATATTTGACAATTATTTATAGTTGATGCACGATTTTTTTGTGTGCGATAAATTTTTTTCTCACTATCAAACATACTTCTACGTGTTTTTTATAGAACAATGAAAATGGTTTTGTTCCATCATGATGGTCATACTTTTCCTTCGATCGATTCTTCTTATTGGCTCTTTCACATCTTGTAGTAATCATTCAGAAAAAATGTTCGATGAATCATGCTTATTGGAATGTCGTTCCTGAAGACAAAAGAAAATGACCTTATGGATGAGATCACAGTGAGTGTGTCAAGTATTATGTTAAATATCTCATGGTTTATTATTGTTAATTGTTGGTCAACTATGACATAGACTTAAATAAGTGTGATTGTCATTATTATGTCAACAAAATCATGGCTAAGTGGTTTCGAGACTTAAATAAGTACGATTGTCGTCATTAAAATCGTTAATCAAACATACTTATACTATCAAGCATTAAAATCGTTAAATAAGTACAATTCTTCTCACTATCAAATATATTTCTACGTATTTTTGATAGCACAATGAAAATGGTTTTTCTCCAGCAAGATCGTCATACTTATCCTTTGATTAATTCTCTTTATTGGCTTTCGATCGCTCTACAATAGGTAAACAGAATATTAATACAATATATATGTATAGTAAAAATATTTGAACTTTTAAAACAAATATGCTAGGGAATTGTAAACTACATATTTAATACTATAAACTAGGGAGACTGAAAATGTGCACATTGACATAATCCTTATTCCACTCGCCCTGTATGTCGGCAACAAACGTGACCTAAAAGCAATATAATCAAAAATACATAACTTGTAAATACTTTCGAGTTTTTCCTATCAACATGAGAGGCTTTAGCCAACTCACCATTGGAGATACTTGATCGAGATGTCGCACATGAATGGGCATTTTTGTGTACTCATTTTCTTTCACCAGAATTTTTGGTATTGATATCATTGTATTACTTATTAAGCTAATGTTAATTAGCTTTATATATGAATGTATTTTTACTTTGTAACTATGCAGAAAGCATCTAGTGCAAATAAAGTAAACTGAACCAAAAAGTAGATAGGGCATCATACACATTGCGATGCAATGCGCAAATGTAATAAATTAGTTTTTCCTGAAATTGGTTGATTAACATGTTTCCAAATCAATAGTAACATCACAACTTATTTTTCACAAGCAACATCGTTGCCTCATTTTCATCATCAACTTTTATCTTCACACTCGGAGGAGCTTTTGTCCCTTAGTATTGCATTAATATGTCTTCTTGTAACATACTTGTTATGAAGGCCAAAAATTCGTGCCTCAACCTCATTGCAGTAAAATATCGATATTCAATATTTGACAATTATTTGTAGTCGATGCACGATTTTTGTGTGTGCGATAGATTTCAATCATGATGGTCATACTTTTCCTTCAATTGATTCTCCTTATTGGCCCATTCACATCTTTAGGCAATTATTTGGAAAAAAATGTTCGATGGATCATGCTTATTGGGGTGACGTTCCTAAAGACAAGAGAAAATGACCTTATGGATGAGATCACTGTGAGTGTGCCAAGTATTATGTTAAATATTTAATGTTTCATTATTGTTAATTGTAGGTTAGCTATAACATAGACTTAAATAAGTATGACTGTCATCATTATGTCAACAAAATCTTGGCTAAGCGGTTTTGAGACTCAAATAAGTATGATTGTAGTCATTAAAATCGTTAATCAAATATACTTATACTATCAAGCATTAAAATCGTTAAATAAGTACTATTCTTCTTGATATCAAACTTATTTGTTTGTATTTTTGATAGCACAATGAAAATGGTTTTGCTCAATCCATGATTATCATACATATCCTTTGATTAATTCTCCTTATTGGCTTTTGATTGCTCTACAATAGGTAAACTGAATATCAATACAATATATATATATATATGTATAGTCAAAACATTTGAACTTTTAAAAGAAATATGTTAGGGAATTGTAAACTACGTATTTAATACCATAAACTCAGGAGACTGAAAATGTGCACATAAACATAGCCATTGTGATATGGCTCTACCCATCATCTTCTTGGGATGGTTCTCCTTAGTCTGCTTAGCTGATTAAAAAGACTTAAAGTAGTCATGCAATCCATACTTGGATTCCTGATATATCTTATGAAATAAATCCTTGACATAATCCTTATTCCACTCGGCACGTCGACAATAAAGTTGACCTAAAAGCAATATAATCAAAATACATAACTTATAAATACCTTATTCCACTCGGCATGTACGTCGACATCAAAGTTGTTTATCCATTATCGTTCGCATACGTTGTGATGCAATGTGAAAATGTAATATATTAGTTTTTCGTGAAATTGGTTGATTAACATGTTTCCAAATCAGCACAAACATTGCAACCTATTTTTAACAAACAACATCGCTGCCTCATTTTCAAAAACAAATTTTATCTAAACACTCGGAGGAGCTTTTGTCGAAGTGGTTGGATATTTAATATCATAAAGTCAGGAGATTGAAATTGTGCATATAAATATAGCCATTGTGATCTGTCTCTCCCTATCATTTGCTTGGGAGTGTTCTCCTTAGCATGTTTAGTTGATTCAAAAGACTGGAAGTAGTCATGCAATTCATACTTGAATTCCCGATAGATCTTTTGAAATAAATCCTCAACATAATCCTTATTCCACTTGGTATGTACGTCGACATCAAAGTTGACATAAAAGTAATATAATAAAAATACATAACTTGTAAATATCTTATTCCACTCGGCATGTACGTCGATATCAAAGTTGCCTATTCGTTATCGTTCGCACACAATGCGATGCAGTGTGCAAATGTAATATATTAGTTCTTCCTCAAATTGGTTGAGTAACATGTTTCCAAATCAGCAGCAACGTCGCAACATATTTTTCACGAGCAACATCGTTGCCTCATTTTCATCAGCAACTTTTATCTTCACACTTGGAGGAACTTTTGTCCCTTCGTATTACATTAGTACGACTTCCTGTGACATCATCCTCGTGATGTAGGTTTAATGGGTTCAACATGCACTAATATGCATCACAAAATCTACAAGTACGTGTCTTCACATATGGTACAAGGGGCAAGGATGATGAAGGTGACTTTTCTCATAATTAGTTAGAAGTTCTCTTCGGACAAAAACAAAATGTACAAGTTGTTGGTATTTCCAAAATCACATATTCTGAAATCTTGGAAGTAGTAGTTTTTTCTTATGTTAATCAAATACCAACTTGTTAATAAATGAAAATACAAACAAAAAAAAAAAAAAAAAAAAAAAAAAATAAGTTAAAAAAGCAACATCAATCAATATTTATCATAATTTTGATTATCTCATAATATTTATTTATTTATTTCTTGTCTAAAGGAGAAGGTTAAGCATTGAGAAATTATTGTTTGGAAAAGATTATGAAGGAGAATAAGAAGCATAAAGTGTACTCCATCGTGTCATTCTCTTTAGATAAAAAGATGGGGGTAAAAGGATAGACTTCTTTTGTATTTCTTTTCCTAAACTCTTTACATAGATTGGTTTTTTTTTTTTTTTTTTTTTTTTTTTATAAAGAGAGAAAAATTAATTATACATAAGGCCAAAATAAATAATAATTATGCACAGTAGGCTTTATTGAGGGGAGAGAGACCCCACATAAAACGTTTTTATGCCTCATATCTTTTGAACTCTTTCAAAAATGGCTACACTCGGTATAATGGTACAAAATTATTTCTGTTTGAGTTTCAAGGATAATTTGGGTACCAAGGATAATTGGGTCACCGTGGCATCTCTGAATTGGGAGGATGTGTGTTTTGTGGAGCTGATGAAACGGTGGTCCATGTGCTTCTCCAATGCCCCATGGCTATTGCTTCTTGGTCTCTATTTCCGGCCTGGGCTCACTTTAATACTGATTCCACAGAGGAGTTCAAGATGTGGTTCCATGGATTTGCTGCGGATCACCCCACTCATGAGCTAGAGAAAGTCATGGTGTGCATGTGGATGCTGTGGTTTGAGAGGAATCAAATGATCTGGACAGGACGTCATCGGAGTTCAACAGAAGTTGTGAGTGGAGCAATGTACTGTCTGCAGGAGTTTCAGGAGTTACACCCCCCTCCCAAGAAACATATTTCACGTGCCAAAGCCAAATGGCTACGGCCACCGACTGGAGCTATTAAAATAAATGTGAGTGGAATGTTTCATGTTGAATCCAGCTTTGGTGGGGTTGGTTTGGTGGTCCGAAATTATACAGGTGCTTTTCTTGCATGCAAGTTGGTTGTGCTACGTGGAGTATCAAATCCCATGCATGCCAAGCTAGTTGCATTAAGAGAAGGCTTAATCTATGCTGCCAAATGGTCCAACTTGGACTGTCATATAGAAGGGGATTCTCAAGGCGCTCTACACTCAGTACAACAGGGCCAAGCTGATCTGTCCCACCTTGGTTGCCTAATTGAGGATTGTAAAACACTTTTGGCCAAACAAGAGCGTGTCTATTTGAGGTTTACAGAGAGGAAGGCTAATGGGGTTGCAACTCGCCTGGCACACTATGCTCTACACTCCCAGGAAGCAGCAGAATGGGTTACTGATCCCCCAGTTTTCCTACAGGATGTTCTGTTTTCTGATGTTATGTAATTTTCCTTGTTCTGTACGTTATTGGCATAGGTGGTACTCTTTCCTACCCCGGGGTTTTTCCCTTGTGGTTTTCTCCGGGAAGGTTTTGACGAGGCCACACTTTACATGCCTATTATTCCTCCCTTCTAATGGAATGAAATCAACCTTTTCAAAAAAAAATTTAATATATTTTTTAAAATAATTATAATTTATAAAATTTTATAAAGAAAACAAAAATTTTACGAATTTTAAATTTGAAATTTTTAAAAAATTCGTAAGGACCATTTGTGATAAATGTGTGAACCTCAAGGATGTTTTGTGATATACATAACATCAGCAAACTAACGGAGTTTTTTACGGAACCTAACGGCAGAGACCATTTGTGATAATGCATACTAACCTTAAGGATCACGAATGACAAAAAAAATATTAAGGATGCAATCTGATAGTTTCGTAAACCTTAGGGACGTTTTGTGATAATAAGCCTTGTTTATATACACATAATTATTTTTTATTTTTATTAATCTACTAAAATGAATTGAGTGGTAGCTTATATTTGAAACATCTTGTTTTATGTAAAAAATGTGCTTAGGTTCTGATTTTCGAAGCTCTCATGTTCGAATTTGGTAGTGTGTATTTGTGATAAAGTCCCCCTCCTCCATGTAGTTTAGACTATCAATTGTATTTTAAAAAATGGTACTTCATTTAGCATAAACATTTGTATAATACTAAGATCTTTTGTAGAGAGAGATAGGTTATTCATATAAACTTCACTATTCTTTTTTTTGGTAAATTATACTCTACTAGCCCCTTGGCACATGCTCACACGCATGTGTCAATTGGTTTTCTTTTTTCTTTTTTATTTTCTTTTTAGAATTAAGAAAAAATAACATGGGTAGTTATGTTCTATAAAAGTATGATATATTATCTGAGTTTAATTTTTTTAATATGAAAAATATGAATTTACCATATTATCCTCATTTAATTAATAATTTTAATTCTTAATGTTTGAATTAACCAAGAGTATTTTATGATATTTTGAATGTTTTACTATTCTATGCCTTTAGCTATATATATATAGTTCACTTCTTCTTGACCCGACCCGAACGTTTGTCAGCTGGGACTCAAAACTACTCCGTCGGGCCCACTCGAACCAAAAATGAGTTGGCAGCAATTCTCAAGTAAACCCCAAATTCATCATTTAAACAAAACGGTCTGAAAATTTGGAGAATTTCCACTCGAACTTCCCGAGGCCCAGTCTGAAACTCTGATTCGTTTCACCCAAAGCCACAGACCACAGGTATTGAATTGAAGCTTCCAACTTTATTCTCTCTGTCTGTCTGGGTGTTTAGCTTCGGATATTTTGATGGGCTGTCTATTTCGCTTCGGATATTTTGATGGGTTTTGAAAATTATATCCTTGAAAGTTCTCAAATTTATGATTTGGCGATTACTGTATCATTTCAATCAAATGGGTCTAAGCTTAAATTTATCTTTTTGAAAATTTTAATGAACTTTTTTTGTTCTTCATTCAGAAAAATGTAATTCCGATTGTTCTCATACGAAGTATAATTATGTTGTTCTTAATTCCGTGTGGTAATCTTTTGTTCTCTAATAACAGATTTTGAGTACCCAACAAATTTAAAGCAGTGCTTTTCATTCACCTTACTGGAAAGTTTTGTAAGTTGTATTGTATTCACAGGGAACGATACTTGAATTGAAATGCAATTTGTAGCTATTTCACCTTGAGCTATTTCTATTAATAGAAATGAATATCTTGAGCCAACATGCTTTTTCTTTTTTTGGTTATTCCCATGATTACGCAGCCTATCAGATTGGATTAGACAGAGCAAATTTTCTGGTGTAGGCAATTTTTATGATGGATATTGATGTTTGTCTTATGAATGCAAGATTTTAGGCCATTTGGGGGGGTGGGGGGGGGAGGAGTTGTATAGCTTACTCTTGCACAAATGTCAAGCAGCACCAAGGGCAATACCGTCAGCTCATTTGATGTTGAGGAACTCCTACAAATTGGGACAAGATGTAGAGAGGTGTGATTTTTGTCTACTTTTTTTGGGTCTGTTTTTGACGATGGCGTATTTGGAACAGAAGAGGGAAGATTTACTTGGATAATGTCTAACACAAAATATATATTGGTTATGGATATATTAGCTATGTACGTAAGAATTTATAAAAATTATATCGTAACAAGCAGCTTGAGATAGTTTTGCAAAGACGTTCCCTTTCCGTTGTATTAGTTGGAGTCTTTATTTGTTCAGTATTACTGCTTGAGAGAAGAATACATTAGGTTTCTTGTTTTTAAACTAGAGCATACTTTTATTTGTCACAGAATTTTGATTTAATAATATTTGTACTTGCTGCTGGTATCTTGTTACCTTGTGGAAGCTGTTAAATTTCATTGCCAATTACTACCTTATTTATATGTTCATTTACTCTTTTTTTTTAAAATTATATATTTGTATGCAGCTAAAGAAAGAAAAAGACATGTTGAAAGAATCACACTCCCAAAGCTTCGGGCTAATCAGGGTAATGTTTATATTTTCTTTACATACCGTATTTGTCCACTGAGGGTGTTACCAGGGGCACCAATACCTCACCTAGTCGTTCTCCCTCCCTCTCTCACTCATTCACCTGTAGGGGTTCTCTGCCAATTATTACTTATTTGATTACGGACAAGTTTGAATTACCTCCCAGTCATGAAGTTTGTAGAGCTTACATCTACCAGTGTGTTAAGAGAAAGTGAGGCATGTGGGTGTAGTTAGGCCAGAGGTCTGTGGGATGTGAAGTGTTATGTATGAGTCTGTGCTTTGTGCAAGGGGAAGAGTGCTTATTGGTGCCTTGGGTTTATATAATTGTTGCACATCAATTAATAAAATAATGAAATAAGAAATAACAGAAGAATATTAAAAAATACGGAGCTGTTAAATGCACTTCCACAAAGTCATCCTGCACTCCTTGAAGTACAATTTCTGTCTTATATTTTTGTAAGGGAGGAGTGTAGGCCTTTGGGGAGTACCAATAACATCTCCCTAAAACAAATGAGAGCTGGAAGTTTGGATCTTTTTATCCACGTCTACCGATGTTAAATAAAGAAAAAGTGATGCAAACGATGTCGTTGAAGCTTGAAGAAATTATTTCCTCTGGGAGAGTATCTGATTTCAGATTTGGTTAATTCAGAGATTAGAAGTACATGTGAATTCATTATCTGAAGCCTGCACAGAGGACAAGAAACAAATTCAAATGTTAGAGAAAGAACTCAAGAACTGCTCTCAAGAAATTGGTAATCATCTGTTTTGACTTTCTTTTCCTTAGACCAACAATTTCTTCTGGATGATATAGTGAAAGATGCTTTGTATTGATTTACCCCAAAAAAAAAAAAACAAAAAAAAAAAAAAAATGCATTGCATTGATCATTGTAGGATCTATAGATCACACAAAATTTGTAGTTTTCAGTTCATCTTCAATGGACTCTTTGGTGCTAGCTAGATATATCAAAGTACCATATTATTTTGAACTTAACCCATACAAAATATTTATGACAGATTATCTGCAGGATCAACTAAATGCAAGGAACACTGAAGTGAACCTCCTCGAAGAGCATACACATAGCCTTGAGTTCAAATTAGCAGACATGGAAAATTTACAAGAGACGGTTGACAGGTTAAGGGATGAACTTAAGAAGTCCTATTCAGAGCGCATGTTCTTAATGGAGGAACTAGAAAGCAAAGAGATAGAGTTACAGAATTCATCTTTGTGCATAGATAAACTAGAGGAGTCAATCTCATCCATGTCATTAGAGTCTCAGTGTGAAATAGAGAGTATGAAGCTTGATATATTGGCCTTAGAGCATAGTTTCCTTGAAGTTAAAAAAATCCAGGAAGAAACTGTTCAAGAAAAGACTAGGATGAGTGAGTTAATTCAAGAGCTTGAGGTTCAATGTCAAAATGCACACAAAACTGTTGAAAGTTTATACATGGAAAATAAGGAACTCAGGAAGAAGCTTGATGTATCCGAGACAAATACTAGGATATTCTGCCAGAGGGTTGAAAAATGGCTGGAAAAGGACAGAATTCAACTCGACTCAGAGTCTTCGTTGGGGTCAACTAGAGGGAAATTACATATACTCAAAAGAAATGAGGTATGCAAGTATTTACTGTTAGTTCACTCTTTATGGACTAACTTGTTCACTTTGTTCCATCAAATATAATACCAATTAATATCTGTACTAGACACATTTCATCTTTTGAAGTTCGTCATGAATTTTGTCTTAACATTTTTCTAGTAATATCTTGATATTTCTGAAGCAGTTGTGGAGAAGTCCTGGGCCCACTCTTTTCCAAACTGGCAATAGTAGTGGCACCAGATGCAGATTCAATAATGAAGATGGAGAAGATGTCACATCATATACAAGAATATGAACTTCTTGTGAAGCAATTAAAGGTATGAATACTGGGGAGGAATACTTGATAATTGCTTTTGACAGCTTTTAATAAAAAAATCTATGTAGACTCTCAGAAACAGTTTTTCTGAATGTGGTGTTTACAAAAAATATATGTCAAGCTTTCAAGTGAGAGTTCAGTCAGTTGGTCATTGCCCTTTCAGAGTTTTAATGTTTTATTAAGTTGATTATATCTTCAAAATGTTACATTACTTATGGTTGTTAGGAAGAACTGAAAGAGGAAAAGTTGAAGGCAAAGGAAGAAGCAGAGGATCTAGCTCAAGAAATGGCTGAGCTCAGATACCGAATGACAGGTTTGCTTGAAGAAGAGTGTAAGCGCCGTGCTTATATCGAACAAGCATCTTTACAAAGAATTGCTGAGTTAGAAGCACAGGTAATGAGGTTCAGATTTGCAATGTTTCTGTTAGCAGTGAGAGGAAATATCTGAAATGTATAATCTTGTTATTTGGTAAGGTTACAAAAGAACGGACACAATCGGTGAAATCCTTTGCTGCTCTCCGGCATCTCAATGAAGCAAAGTGATGTGGTGAAGGTTCAGAGGTAGGATCCACATGGGTATATTCCAGCTTCAGCTCTTACCTTTGTGCTGTGGAATTTCCAAGAGACCATTCCAATGAAGGTTTGGCAATGATAATATGCAAGCATGTCCGTAAAGAAAAGGAATCATCTTTACAAGGGACAACGTGAGGAACTTACAGTGAATTTTTCACCATACATTTTCATGTATGCAAGTGTAATGATTTGAACGAGACTTTAAATTAAATTTTAATGTAATATGTGTACAAACATAAAAAGATAATAAAAATGAGGGGTCTGGTTTTCTCTTGTCAAATTATTTGCTTGGTTCCAATGTAGGGAGGTAATTTACATTTGTTCAGATGTTTAGCGGCGGTTTTCAAGACCGTCTATATAAGGTCCTATAGCAACGGATAGCGACGGTTTTTCCCGCAGGTAAAGCAATTTTGCAGATTTGGAACATGTAAATCGTCACGAAAAGTAGAGAAACCGTATCTAAAAGTCAAAAAGCGTCGTTAAAAGATAAAATACCGCCACAAAAAACTAGAACGTCAGATCTTCCCTGATAAAACTCTTTCCTTCTGTTTTTTTTCCTTACGGTACAGCAGCAAAGTCAGTTTGGAAGGAGTTGTGTAATGTTTGTATTAATCACCCTTAATCATGATTATATTATTAAATAGTTACATGTCCACAAAAGAGATCATTTTCATCAGTTTAAGGTGTTTGATAATCTTTGGATCTTATTTCTTATCTTCTGAGCTCTAACTTTTCAATTCTTTTGCATGCATGGAAGTCACACATGAACTATGTTACCTTTAATTATCCATATATAAATATCAATAAACTCCATATTTGAAATATATTTGGTTGAAGTTCAAAGTATGTCTAGCCGCAAAAGTTGGGTGACATTCATGCTAAAGGTTTTTCTTTTGGCCGTAAATGAAGAGCAAAATGAGGGGGGAAAAAGAAACCTACAAACAAGACTCATGCAATGCAATTGATGGTAAAACCAATTTTGTTTGTCTGTCAAGAATCCAGTGAGAAGTCTCCTCCTAGTATTGGAACCTCAGTTAAGCTACATTCTTAGAAGTGGCCAAAATGGAGGCCTTCCTTGTTTGTGGTTTAGAAAAAAATTCTTAATGGATAAGAAATTTGTAGATATATTTGACATTTCGTCTTTTGCCATGTTGACATTATTGATGATGTATTGCAGGCTTTCATATGTCTTGTTTTGACTGAAAGCTAGCGTAAAAAGCCTTTGTGAGTTGATTGTACGCAAGACTTCAACATGCACCAATACGCGCATAGCAAAACTGACAAGGATATGTTGTGTTCGCCAAAACCGAGTAAAATGTATAAACTTCTGGGATACCAAAACGATGAAAATTTGTTCTAGAATGAATCATCCCAAAATGACGGAAAATTATTCTAGAATATGATCATTTTCTTACCAACCAAACTGAGCAGATGGCTTTTGTCCTTGTGTCTGTTTCTCCAGATTTCTTTGTCAAAAGAGATCATTAATATTTATTTTAGACTTCTTCACATAAGGCAAGGATGATGGTGACTTTTCTAATAACCCATAAAAATTATGATAAGATAATAATGCATCGTAGGGTTTAGTTATGGGGAGAGAGACCCCCATATATAAAACGTTTATACCTAGCAATGAGGCAACATGTAGTCCATCATTGTTAAGAAGTGACAACAACTATTATTTATTTTTAATTATCCTAACCAAATGTTAATATATATCTTAAGGCTGGAGTGGCTGCTACTCTAATCTCTCTTCTTTATTCAAGTCCGAGTATAGATTTTCCATCTTACCAAAAAAAGAATGTTGCTTGTGAAACATAATTATCCCATTCGATTTGAGCACACTTTAGGATCTCATTTGTCATCATGTTATGAGCCGATTTGTAGTGTAAAGGAAACCCAACTATTTGAAAAAACTTATGAGAAATTTCGCAAGGTGGTTGGAAAAGATTATTTAGTAATCCCTCGCATACATCATTTTGGTATATATTCTTTAGTTTAGTTTGGTAATAATACGTCCTAATTCAATGGCAATTACACTAATGTAAATGCTCATTTGAACGTAACTTGGTGACAAATTAACATCAATGTATTGTCTCTATTAGTTGCAACTCATCACACAAAGCCACCAAATAAGCTGGATTCTTCCGGCCGGCATAGGGTCACAAAAATCAACTACAACTGATGGCCGGCTGCCTTTGCAAGATGTTATTGGAGCCTCAGAATACCAACCACCGATCGTTGGTCGGATTCCATGAAACGGTGTTTCTTGTTTTAAACTTTCATGCCATAAATCTAGCCTAGGACTTAATGCTATAATTCAAACTTTTTTTTTCCATAGGTTTATGAGTAAGGGATTGGAAAATATGTTATGGTTTGGTGGCTAGAAGACTTGACTTTGGTAGTAAATGCAAAGGATAGTGTCGCTATATAATATTTATGAGCCCCAACTTGCCAAGGGATATAACAAACAATTACAAAGAACTAGTCCAAATGATCCTCTTAGAGAAAAAGACAGGAATGGAAGAAGTGGGTTCAATTAAGAATCATTTGATTTGTTCAACTTCAACCATCTATAATTGAGATGGAAGCGAGATTAACTAAAAAGGATACCTAAACACGTTAATTAAATAAATAGAAGGAAAAGGAAGTAAGTAATTATTATATTATAAAAAAAAAAAAAAAAAAAAAAAAAAAAAAAAAAAAAAAAAAAAAAGAAAATTTTTAAAGTTATTTAAAAAGAAAGAAGAAAGAAACAAAAAGGAGGAAACAAAAAAAAACACTGCGTTCCTTTGTTGAAATTTACAAGACCCAATCACCCGAATGACCAGTAGCAGTTTCCAGTTTCCATCCTAAAGGCTACGTTTTGTGACACCGCGTTTTTCCAATTGCCAAGTCTACCTTTGAATACCCCCTTCCCTCTTTCCCACCCTTTAAAACTCTCTCTCTCCCCCTCTCTCTCCGTAAAAAGATCTGGCTTTTCCTCCTTGCAAGACATTTGATGCAATTTCTCAGGTATGCAAATCTTTTTCTTTTAATTGATTTTCTTTGATTCTGGTTCTCCTTTTTGATTATTTTCTCCTTTTCCACTTGGGTTTTCTGTAGCTTCTCTTGCTTTGTTCCTTTTTTGTTGTTATCTAACGGTCAACTTCTCTATTTAATTTCAAGAGCCCATTTCTGGCTATCTCTACATGGGTTTCTGATTTTCTTTATTCATCTCCTCTGTTTGGTTGCTGAGAAAAGGGAGGAACACAAAAAGGAAAACGGAATTTTTGATTCTTTTCTTTGTGTAGTTGGGGTTGTTCAGTAAGAAGGTCAAGTCAACCAAGTCAAATTGTTTAGTTTTCTGGGATTTAATTCTTTTCCTTGTTTCTTCTGAGCAACCAAATTAAGCAAATGGGTTTGTTGTTTGTTTGTTTGTGATTAAATATTATAGTTGTTTCGTCTTTTGATCTCGTTTTAAAGTTTTAATTTTTCAAAAGTTCTCATCGTACCGGGAGATTGCACGACCCAAGTGGTCGTGGGCTTTTAAGGAATTAGGGCAAACTTTTCAATTTGTGTATGTTTTCTTTACAAGTTTGTGTTGCTTGATTTTGTGTTCTCGGTTACTTCCTTGAAATTTGTTCTTGAGCTGTACTGCCCAATTTTCATTTTATTACGAAGGTTTTGAACTTTTGCTAAGTTGGCTCTTCTTTGTTTGAGTGCTGATGCTTTTGGTGTATTGCCAACATCTCTCATATTGTTCTTGTTTGCTCTTCCAGGACTGCTGTTGATCTTTGTACAGATTTCTGAAGTACCATTTTTCAATTTCATCTAAGATCCTCAGATCTTCTACCCCATTGGTCGCTCGACTAAATTGTGCATATTTTCCCATTGAAAATGTTTGGCTTAAAGAAGTCTCCTTTGAAGGCTGCTAAACATATCACAGTTAATCCGGTATATCCTGCTTCTTCTGGCTCAAACCCTTTTGAAAATGCGCCAGTTGGACAGAACACTAGCACTAATCCATTTGATGAGGGTCAAGGAGAAGAGAAATATTCTTCATATTCATACAAGACTACGTTGACAGAGAGAAACAAGTACAAGAATGATTTCCGTGATACAGGAGGAGTAGAGAATCAATCAGTGGAAGAGTTGGAGAACTATGCAGTGTACAAGGCTGAGGAGACTACAAAATCAGTCAACGGCTGCCTGAAGATTGCTGAAGAAATAAGAGAGGATGCTACCAAAACTTTGGTCACGTTGCATCAGCAGGGGGAACAAATCACTAGGTCCCACATGGTCGCTGCAGACATTGATCAGGATCTTAGTCGGGTATGGTTTCCTTGATCAAATTAAAGTTATATACATCAAGAATTTAAGTGCATATGAAAGATAAGACTTGAAAGTATTATGTTCCCAGTATTGATGCTGTTGGTTATTGATTAGACTATCTACTACCATTTATCATGATTAACAATTTAATTTTTGCATTGCATACCAACGGAGTTGATGGTTTTTGTATAGCAGGTGATCTTGTTCTTACATGCATTACCTGTTTGTGATATGCCTATTTGTTTCTACTTTTGGTCTGGATTTGTGTTGATAATTCCCCATCCCAAACCCCTTGCTCTTCCTTCTGAAGAGAGTTTGATTTGATTCCTATATAGGTTTTTGGTTTTCTTTTTCTGTAATCCTGATGTAGATCTTTATCTGATTTGGGGATGGCAAGCCTTGTCCATATAAGAGTTTATCAATTTAACTTTTTATAAGTTACAAGGAAATGATGATGGAATGTATAGTACAAACAAGCCACTAATGGCAGTGATGATAAATATAGTGTATCCTCCAGTACTCTTAATTGTGAAAATTGACATATCATACTTTCTCCAATAGCCTCCTTCACTATTCTATTCTCTTCAGTAAGAAACACGTTTTAGTTCTTAAGTCCTCTTTCAACAACTCCTATGGTTTTGTTATTGTTGTTTTTGGTATTAATGGTGATCTTCTTTGGTAGAATGAACAATTTCATTACTTTCTTATTTCAGGGTGAAAAACTTCTAGGAAGTCTTGGGGGCATCTTCTCTAAGACTTGGAAGCCAAAGAAGACTCGCCCAATAAGTGGCCCTGTCATCACAGGAGGTTAATTTGCTTTCTTTTCTGTCCATTACTTATATGCTCTTTGTTGCCCCTGGAAATTATGTATATTATCTCCTTTCTCTGGAAAAATAATAATATTATCATTTTCAAAATTGGAAAATGCAGATAATGCAGTCAGACGGGGTGGCCAGTTGGAGGAGAGGGAGAAGTTGGGACTCACTTCTGCACCCAAGGGAAGGTCAACTCCACAAACACTACCTCCTGGACCTGTCAATGCCCTTCAGAAAGTTGAGGTTTGTATTTGTTTGTTTGGCTTTTGTTCTTTTTCAAATTTTCCAGTTGACTGACTTTTTGGCTTTAACAGTTAGAGAAGGCGAAGCAAGATGATGGATTGTCGGATTTAAGTGATCTGTTGGGAGAGCTGAAGGATATGGCCGTTGACATGGGGTCTGAAATTGAGAGGTTAGTTATGATGATTCAGTTCAGATACATTGGTGCCTGCATCTTTCCGTTCATTCTATGTTAAGTTGATTATCTTGATCAACATCCTCTATTTGCTCATCCAGCCTGAACCTTTTAAGGCAACATTGAACTAAATGTAACTAGTATCTCCCCAATGATTTATGCAGGCATAACAAAGCTCTGGGCCATCTCTATGATGATGTTGATGAGCTAAATGTTCGTGTTAGAGGTGCAAATCAACGCGGTCGTCGATTGCTTGGAAAGTAGAATACAGGGTTGTAGATGCCTTTCTGGAGAGACCTGATAATGTTTGCGTTTCCAGTGCCCCCCAACATATTCTTTGTTTCACTATTTTTTTAGCCCGATTTATGGATCTGGATGTAGACACGTTGAAGTATCTGGATTTTGTATAACACTTTGTTCGTGAGACATAAGTTGAAAGGATGGTTAGTAAAGGAAACTTTTTCTTTAAGATGAATGTGTTGTCATCTAGAGCCTTGTTTGTTTTATACCTGTCTTAGCCTAATCAAAATTCTCAACAAAGTAATGAACCTGCAAGGAAAGAAAATTCTCAATAAAATCCAAAACCCATATATATATTATCAAATCATCATTTCCATGCTCATGGTAACCTGTAAATCCCCATTACACAAGGCATAACGAAACTAAGCAAAATGCATAGAAAAACACAGTAAACAAAACATACAAAAAATCAAGTAGCAAAGCTCGTTTATTGTTGTTGTTGGAGGAGTTGGTTTTCAGATGGTGGGCTTGAGGTCCATGATGCTAGTCATCTTTGGGGCATAGAGCTTGTACACGAGTGCTTGCCTTTTAGCGAGGTCCAGCTGGGCCTTGCCGTCGGAAAAGACTGAAGAGAGATGGGAGGGCTCGGAGAGAGACTTGTTGTGGCGGAAGGCGTCGATGGTGCGACGCTTGGTGTACTCTCTCACGTTGTAGTCGCAGAACTGCCTCGCCGTACGCAGCAGCGATCGAAACAGCCACAGCACCTCCGCTTTTGTTGGGGTGGTCGACGCCATAGATAGAGAGATCAAGGCGAGAAAGATGCGTGTGTTTTTTTTTTGGGTCTGAGAGAAAGATGCGTGTTTAGATAGTGTTTTTTCTACTAAAGCGAACAACATGTCGTTTATTTTTATATATATTTATTTTGGTAAAAAACAACATGTCGTTTTATGAAAAGAAAAAAAAAATTCTTTTCTTTCTTTTTAAATTTTTTAAAGAATATATATTATTAAATTTAAACATAAATAACTTGTTACAAATTCTCTGGAGGAGTTCGTCAGATAATTTAGAATATTAAAGACAATATGAAACATAAGTTACTTATTATAAACTTCTCCCTTTTTCTCTTCAGCTTGTTCTCCGCATGAAATATGTGCTGAGAATATTTCTTGTTTATTGTACAGATTTTACAATTGCCATTGGCTCACAAATTCTGCAACTTAGGTGTATGCTTGTTGACCAAGGGTCAAGTACAGGGAAATCATGCACAAGCGTAGTGAGCATCAAAGTAAGGCAACACTACAAACTTGATGGAAAAAGGGCTGATCGTTAGCGGAGAATTTGCTAGGACATGGGCAGGTTCCAATTCTGGGATGTTTCCGTCCTTAGTAATCTCCAATGGAGCTCCATTGAGAACCATGGTTTTGCTTCTAAGGTTCCCCTTTTTTGGTGTCAAATGGTATTCTTCTCTGTAAACTGGTTTGTCTAATGCTTTGCGTCCTACCCATGACACCGTTTTCTTAAGGCTGCGCTTGAAATAACTTTCTTTGCTAATGTTTCTCTCGTGAGCACCCAAATTGAAGTCCAAAATATTTTCAACATTGACAATGAAATCGGTGTCATTGCTTAAATTGATAAGGACTACAGTTATACCTGCCTGCGAACAGTAAGAGTAAGATCAGTGTAAAAATTCGAATTCAGTTAAGTTATTGCACTATCAGGCATTTACAAGGGACGTTCACTACAATATTTTCATGTTTTATATAGGCTTAGTAGTGTTGCTAGACTTAGACTTAAAAGTATTCCTGGTTTCCTATGAATTTGAACCAATTTTATTTCCTTTTATATGCTTGGCACAAAATCTTCCTACAAAGCAGACTTACTCTTCCTCTTGCACAATGGGCGTAAGTGCGTAAATCTGCTGAAGCATTGCTGTTAACAGCAAGAACACCTTGTCCCATAAGTCGATGCCATAGAAGCGCACTATTCAGAATATAAAAAAAACAAAAACAAAAATCAGTTTTCGATAAGTAGTACATCAAGTAAAAGAAAATCCTTCTTATACCCCACCCATGCTTTACCTGTAGTAATCAGGGTTAGGAACAAATGACGTTCTGTTGAGGAGACCATAGTTTCCACCAACTAGAGACTGCCTGCAATATACTCTGGTATTGTACTTGGCTGACATTCCAAGCTGATCCAAGTACCTGAAATTCATATATAAATAGTAACTGTGGCTTGCTGATTACACAAAAATACAGTGAACAATGGTAAATTTCTCTGTTTCTACAATCAAAAGCTTGCAATGAAAAATACATAATGTTGCAAGTCGTGTGACAATCAAGATTACCAAAAGCTGTTCACAAATGTGTCAGACACATTACGACCACCACTGTTATAAGCCCCTCCAGACTCTCCGACCCATATAGAAGCCCAAGGGCCGTTCTTTTTCACCATTTGCTCAAGATCACGGAATGTTCCAGATGCACGGTCCAAGTAACCGGGATTCAAAATTCTGCTCATCAACTTGGGATCAACACCTGACAATCACAGCTGAATTGTCAAAGCAGAGGGGAAATAGGAAAATAATTTATGCATATGGGGCTTCCTGTGTGTGAATACTTACTATACCTCAAAAGAGTACTATTTAAGCATATATTAGAAAATTATAAACTGTGCATTTATTAAAAGTCTTAACAGAATTACCTGCACCCAAATTGTACATATGCTGAGTGATAACATTGACTATCCCTGAACCAGAAACCTGAAGAAGCTTGGCAAACCATGCTTGGTCATAGAATCCTCCAGGTGCCACAAGTGCAGGTTTAGTGCGGGACTTATTGTACAACTGGGTGATAATATGTTTAAGCTTGATCAAGTCTTTTCCATATTGTTCAGCTCCGACACTAGCTCCAACACCACGACCACTGAGCTCATTACCTAAAGCAACATGGACAAGAACATAAGTGACGCAAAAGTAGAACGAGGGAAGAAAAGGAGATTTGTCTATTGTTCCATACCGAATTCCCATGAATCTATCTGGTATCCCTTCGAAACGGTATAATTAATAAAATCATAAGCGTTGCTAGAGTCCCAATCTCCAACCCAAACACCCCCGCTTTTGTGGTGCCTCCCTGACAGTGCATTCAAGCTAAATGTGATGATGGGCCTGAAAATGTAAGATATAAATAATAGGTCAGCACAAGGAAGCATTGAAGCCCTCTCCCTTCTACATCCACGCACACACACCGACCCTCCCTTCTCTTTCCTCTTTTCTTAAACAAAGAGGCTATCTGCAATGAATTTTTGAATAATACAACCAGTGAAAGTCGTTGGACCTCTGATGAAAGTTTTACACTTCTAAACAATTAGAGATTCTCCCAATATGCATTTGACACAATGAAGACTTTTATTTTAGATTTGTTAGGATAGACAACAACATAGTAAAAGATGTTCCTCAGACACACTATCTAAGATAAATAATAAATCAAGCATCAACCACCTATTTTGAGGAACGAAGATGGAGAAGACCCAACTTTTTTATAAAAGTAAAATAAAATTTGGTTGGGGTAGGAAAGTTGATAACCTGAATCTTACCTTGTCTTACTGAAAAATTGGTTCAGTTCATCCCATCTACTCATAGGTAAACATCCTCTAGAAAATCCAAACAAGCCATGACTCTGCTTTCTGAAAGGATGGCAAGGATATTTCAAATTTCCTACATCGTACAAGAGTTGGTCTTCCAAGGAACCTCCAATTCTGATCCTTAACTGATTGAAAGCTATCAAGCCACCAATGTTGAAGAGTAAATTTAGTTTGTAGATAAAGTTATTCAAACAAACATAAGTAGAAGACTTTAATTCATCTGTTCTAATTGACACTTGATTCTAACTTAAATAAATAGTATTTTCCAAAAGATGTGAACTTATTAACACAGATAGACAAACCTTGGATTGACTTGGCAAGCAAAGGATGAGACAAGTTCTGGAGAAAAGAAAACCAGAGTATAAATTTAACTTCATACTCCCCTTCTTACTTTTTGACATAAAAAGAAAAAAGCAAATGCATACAGAGGTATCTCTGGGTGCTTACCAAATTTAACGCAGATGCAGATCCCCATGGACACTGGTTGTAGTCGCACTTTTCATGATTCCACCAATCAATAGTGGCACAGATGAAATTATTATCAACTTGTGCAATAGCTAAAATCCCATTAACCACAACCTTAACATTTCCAACTTGTTTAGTATTCCCAACACCTTGAGCTAAAATTGCAGGGAGAGAAACCAGAATGAGAACTAAGGAGAGACGGAATTCCATAGGAAATTCAATTGTGCCAGTATCGCTACCACCTCAACTAATCCAAATTAACTGCAAGAAAAGATAAACTCATTGAATCACAATTACATCAGAGACATTTAAATTTATACGTAAAGGCTAACAAATTATCCTAATGAGCTTAACTAATCTATGATGAGCTTAACAAATTATCCTAATGATTAGTTATGACTGCTGTCTACCAATTCTAACAACTTTGACTGTGTAACTAACTAGGAAGACTTCTGGAAGATTCTTCAGTTGCAGATACTTCTCTGGCTGTTGACATGGCAGCTGATGAGGCGACAGCTATACTAGCTGAGGTGGTAATGCTATCACTAATAATGGATGGAGAGGAGGAGATTCATAAGTGCAAATGGAAAAGAAAACAAAGAATCTGTAATGGTCATTTAACTGAAAAGACACATGTACTATTCTTCATATTTTCAGTTTCTACAGAGCTTATAAATACATAAAGCTAAATTTTGCATAGAAAATCAGTGGAAGCAAAAAGTAACATTTGAAAAACGCAACAGAGAAAGAAATGCATTGTCTTTGGGACGTAAAAGTAAAGATAATTAGTACCAGAAGCTCCTGTTTTCTCGTAAAACCAGATTTAGGATTCCGAGGAAGCTCCAGTGATGGAAGCTCACTGGAAATTCCAAGGAAATCGCAAGTGAGTTTGGAATAACAAACACTACCAAGGAAGACAAGGGATGAATACTGAGCCAATTCGAACTAGGGGATGTCTATATGAATGGTGGCATTGCATTGCCAATTTGCCATGAACGAACCTTTATTCGCATTAATTGTTGGTAAAAGCAACGCACCAACATTTACCAGTTGCATTAGATAAAGAGAATCCGAATCAAAAGTACAAATTTAAGATCTCAAATTCAAGATATAACATCAAAAGACTATATATAGATGTGAAGGAGAAGAAGAGTTTTTCACCGATTACCAGAGCTTATCATAACTGAAGACAGTGGGTGTTTATCCATGGCTGCCCACCAAAATAACAAAATTCAAGACAAACATGGACAACCCAGTTGAGAGTTACCACAAATAAAGCCAAAAGAAATAAGCTTTTCCTTAGAGACATAAATCTAGATTTCAAGAATCAGCATCTGAAGAACTAAAACCAAAGCAACCCAGACACCTACTGATCAAAATAAGGCTAACCCAAATGAAAATTAAGCTCAAAACTAAAAATTTACCTTTGACAACGCCATTGTGGAAGCTCAAACTCAAAGCAAACTCCTTCAGATAGAGCACATCAATTATGTGATGCTTTGCAGCTAAAAAACGAGCTTTCTCTGTCCCCCAATTGGAGTTGTTGGCATTGCTGGACCTTTCAGAGACACGAAACAGTGATGGGTGAAATGGGTCCAGCTTGGAAAAGTGACATTCATTTAGCGACCAATTGAGGATCGTTGAACTCGCGTTTTAGTTTGTTTAAGCATACGAACTGTTCATATGGTTCCATGGCACACTGTTGCGGTGTACTCTCGGAAAAAAGACAAGAAAAAAACAGAGGTAAGATGTGAGAAACGGTTAAGTTTAATTTTAGAGGGGAAAGGTTTAGATTTCAGACAGAGTAGAACGATATTGTTATTTTAATGTAAAAAGTGAGAGCTTTTGGTTAGCACATATTCTTTAATTTAATATACTAATATACGATCTGGAAGGTGGCTCATTTATTTATTATTATTATTTTAAACAGCTTTGTCTTTACCCATACGTTATGCGAATACCAAATGTTCTTCTCCTTCTCCTAGAGGAGAGGTTTTTGCTTTAGCTTTAGAGAATGTCTTTCAAGTCTGTAGTATTTTATAATTTTTGACTCTGGTTTGATCAATCAAATTCAAAGCTCACTTTTCTAATCTTGCTTTGTTTGTTGTCATGACGAAAAGTTGCTCTTAATAATAAGTTATGAAAATAGAAAAACGGTGGAATATATATTCTTGAGTTAAATATGTATCGATAAAAAAACTTTATTCCTTAAATTTGAGAAGTTCCGAAAATATAACATGACCGTTTTCTAGAAATATAGTTTTAATTCCTTTCAAAGATTTGTCCTAAGACTCTTGCATCAAATGATTGAGATGTGTTGGTCTAATATTTCATGATTAATTTCTTTCTTAAAAATATAAGAACTGATGATATACTATTTATAAACCAAATGAGTTTTTTTGTGTTAGTCGGATTTAAGAAGTAAAATTACTAGTTATGGTTCCAACTTCCATAATTTTTTAAAGGATAAACTGAAATAATACTTAAAAAAGCAAGAAAATAATAACTTGAGAGGGCTGCTACAAAAACTAAGGGCAGCCATTCAGGCTAATTAACCTTAAATAGCATAGAATTACCAGAAAATATCACATTCTGTATTTGAACGAGGACGAGCATCCCTGGATTTGTACACAACATCCAGGGTTCACGATCATGAGTGGCTTCTCCGACAATATCCATATGTTCAAATCCTTCTTGAAAAATGGTGGGGAAATTGGCCCACACCATCTCATGGGAGCAGCCATCACTCACAAAGAGGAGTTTCAAACTCTTGAGGTAGTCGACTGAATGACACTCAACTTCAACTGGTGTGAATGTGGTGGCAATTAAGAATATCAACTAAATCTGTTGAATTTGGATTGGAATAGCCTTTTAATTTCGATTCCTTTACTTTGAATTATTTCCTCTGTGACTAGGCTAGCCAACAACATCCTCTGCTATCTGCTATTAAAGTGAAAACTACTGCCACGCCTTATGGCTATGTCTTCAGTCTTACTGATTTACATTGAAGTTTTTGCCTTGCCCTTATGTCTTCCTCAGAACCAAAGGCTCGTCTCGCCTCAAAATTCAAAGGAAACCATTGCGTGACTGCGTGACTATCATGAAACTCCTCTGCTCTGTTCACTACTCGTACATGAATTCACAGAGATTGCATGGCTGGCGAGAGGTTAAAATTGGATTTGGAGGGCCTACCTACAGCCACACCACAAGCAAACTCTTTTCCATTATAAACTAAACTGAAATCATTCTCAACTACAAGTCCTAAACTAACAAGTGCTGTTGAAGTATCAACTGCTATATATCATTCATGTTTCCAAGCGGTGCTAAAGAAAGTCAAGACAATATGTGTTGATGCTAATATTGAAGCCCCATCTTTTTTCCTTTTTTTTTGGTCGAAACCCCATCTTATGCTTATGCCTTCTTGTAAGTTAGAACCAAAGGCTCATCTCGCCTCACAATTCAAAGGTAACCATTTGTCTATCTTCAATATCTTTAGGATATTACTTGCCTTCTTCTGTGAAAAAAGATACTCTTTCATTCAAATCACAGTTTGACTCGTGTAAAATAATTTATCAAAAATACAAAAAAGAAGAACTTTTGCAGACATGTCATACTGTCCTGAAGCGAAGTATTTTCCATTTTTTTTTATCAAAACATTGTCTTCCATATGATTTTGTCTAATGCTACTACAAAAACCCATCCAATGTCCATCTAATTGCAGCAGCCTCAAATTGGGCCAATGGACCTTTATATCAAGCAAGAAGCCCAATAACTGAGTGATTGGGTTTCAGGCCCCACTGGTCAAGGTCCCAGAAATGCTAAATTGGAGGGTGGCAATGAAATGTAACGACAAACTGAAAATGTCGTATCTTTGAACAACATGGGCAAATCAATAAAATAACTTTGTTTGCGCAACTCGTTCCTCTTTCACCGACTGTCGTCTCACACTCTCTTCTTCCCTCCCACCACCTTACACCCAAAAAAAAACTCTCTTTTCTTCAATTTCGCTTCTCTCAAACACAGAAGTAAATTCCCACATTCCCAATTCCCTGTAAATTCCGTTTCCTCAGAGCTTCTTTCTGTCTAAGCTGTCATTTCCCTTTATACTATTCAAAACACCCTCCCAAAATTGTTTAATAAAATAAAATCAACCAAAGTTTCAAACTTTCCCAAATTTGTTTGTAAATTCAATCTGTTTTCGTCTTCTTTTTTTATTTGGGCTGAATGTAATTGGGGTTTGCTCAATTGGGAATGGAGAACAGTGGGGAAGCAGTAGATGATGAGGGCTCTGGATGGTTCGAAGTGAAAAAGGTGTTTTTTTGGGTCTCTCTCTCTCTCTCTCTCTCTCGCTTGGTTTACTATTACCGCATTGGTCTTCCATTACCAACCTTAGCATCCATTATGCAATGCAATGTTGCAGATTTCACTGGAGATAATTAGGTCTAAATTAATAGGGATCTGCTTATTTTATTTTAATGGAATTTCTTTTTCTTAACAATGAAATGGTTTCACCAAACTTATTTGAAGTTGCAATATACATGTTAGAGATTTTGATATTATATAGTAATTGAAGCTCATAGAGTCTTACTGACAAAAGCAATTAACTTGGCATTATCTTCATTGAAATGTATAAGTGGAGCTTAAAGTGTAGAGACCGCAGGTTTGGTTGTATTCATCGTATCAATCAATTCTAGTAATGAATGCGCAGGTTTCTCATTATTATATTTTTAGATGTAACATTTTCATGCTACTAATACATAGATATAATATTGTAGATTTACATGTTTTACCAGAACGTAATCGATTCGTTCTTGTGTCACTGACATGTTCTAGAACTTTGCTTTTTATTTGTTTGCCTCCTGTCCAGAAAAATAGAAGTAGCTCAAAGTTCTCTCTACAGAGTTGGGTTGGGGGATTCTCTGGAAAAAATGCTTCTAACCATTCGAGTAGTCAGACCTCATCAAGTGAAAACAGTGGAAATTCTTGTGGCAAGCGCAGATCCCAGCTTCCAAAGGTAAGAGAAAATTATGTGGTACATAGCCGGGGAATTGATTCTATTCCTGTCCCAAATGAAAACAAAATGGGTGCGCCCTATATTAATACTGGTGTTATTAGGCAAGATACTAGATGTCCTAAGTCACCTCCTTTTATTAAAAATTCTGATGGTGGAACTAGAGATGTTGAGAAAATCCCTGCAAAAGATAATTCTGAAGTGGTTCATAAAATCAAGTGGGGTGATCTCGAGGATGAGGGTTTGGCACTTCCTCATGCTAACCTTGTCGGCAGCAGAATCAAGTTTGGTGCTATTGGAGATGATAATCTGGTGGCCTCTAGTGAGCATGGAATTGGTCATAATTTTGCTTCTTGTGCAAATTCACAAGAAAACACATTGGTGGCAGAATCTGTGGATGCACGTATTGTTTCTCATCAGATGTTTTCAGTGACTGCTAAGGACCAATTACGTCAAGATAGTAAGGAGGTGAATATAATATCTTCTCAAAATGCTGAAGAGCCAATATTGAATGGGAAAAAGGTTGATCTGGATAACAATGTTTCGCATTGCAAGGATATACATACTGAACACATCGAAGAAGTAGTTGATGATCATTTAAGCGCCCGTACTTTAGCTGGTGAAGAGGCTGGGGTAGTGGGGAAACTTCAGGCACCTGTTATTCTATCTGAGGTAGGTGACCCTGAAATTGCTGAAGTATCAGGGAAAATTGGGGGTTCAAGTGAAGTTCATATTGCCAAAGATAAAGGATTAGTTCCACCAGAGAGTGATCCTGAAATTTTGGGAGTGTCTACTGTCACAGCCTCTGTTGAGGATCATGGGGATCAACAATGTGGTATATTACATGATATGTCAAACTCACAAAATGTGAGTGCCCTTGGAGACGACACAGGGGAAAGCAAAGAAAGGTTTAGGCAGCGGCTTTGGTGCTTTCTTTTTGAGAATCTTAATAGGGATGTGGACGAACTTTATCTTCTTTGTGAACTAGAATGCGATTTAGAGCAGATGAAAGAGGCCATTCTTGTTCTTGAAGAGGCTGCCTCTGATTTTAGAGATCTAAGCACCAGAGTGGAAGACTTTGAGAAAATAAAAAGGTCATCTTCTCAGTTGATTGATGGGGTGCCGGTTACGTTGAAGAGTGATCATCGTAGGCCACATGCTCTCTCATGGGAGGTAAGCTATATGAAATCTTTTATGTTAAGTTACTATAGTGTAGAGAGGGGGGATATTTTCTTAGTGTTCTATACAGAAAGAGGTTTCATTTTAGCATCTTGTACTGTTCATTAAATTTTGGTGCTGATAGTCTATAAATGTGATTATGTGGTAGTTTACTTTTTTCAATGCCTGAGGAAATTATGTTTGCATAAAAATTCATTGAGTGATGTAGTTTGACAACTTCCATCTACGTTTCTGGGTTTGCCGCTTAATGGATATTTATTTTATGTTCCAGAGGTTCTACTTCCTATTGGCCATTCAATTTAGTGAAGCATGGCATCTAGACTTGCAAAAGGTTATAGGACAATGTAGTTCTTGTTTTATTAGACTTGAAACAAATAAAATGTTCTGATCCTTATTTTACTCACTTGTA